AAAGACAGGGGGTATCATATGCTCCAAAAACACATCATAGTCAATACATTTCGCCATGTGTGACAAAACACCTCTACCATCCCCATGTCCTCGTTGAAGCTGTGAACACAGGCGGCTTCCACTGGATTTTGCTGGCGTCAATGAGCCTCTTCTGTTTCATTTTCTGCTTCTCTCTTTGCTGGATCAGCTTCTCCGGGATCACAATCTTGTGCTCGCCCTTGTGGTACACCTGCATCTTAAGCGCTTGTAACGTGTGCTCCACGTCCTGGGGAATGATGGCGAGTGCTGTCGAAATAGATTCGATCGTCGTCTTCTCATCACGCTCATTGTACCCTATCAGGAGGTCCAAGATGTTCTCACCCCAGTATTGGCGGTAACTCAGCAGGCCCAAATCCGAGAGAGGCTTCTCGGGCGACCCCAGCTTGCCTTCAATCCTGGACAGCTCATACGAAAACTGGATCAGCAAGCGACCGTAACCTTTGCGCTGGTATTGAGGCAGCGTCAGGATGCAAGCAACGTTATAACCGTCAGCACTCTCCTTTTCCTTGGAGAAGTATCCTATTATGTGACAGCCCTTATCGTCTCGAGTTGTCATGACGTAGAATAAAAAGGGGTCGACATCGTAGTAAAGTGTTTTGTGGTCAAGGAACATTTTGGACAGTAAACATAAGTTGCGGCAGTAAGTCCGCTGCCTCCTACCGTCGATCTCGAAAAACGACACTGAGTCGTCTCGGTAGATCTCGTTGCCAGGAGGGTGCTGCAACGTGCACTTTCGCCTATGTCTGGTAAAAGACTTCTCATCGCCGTAGTATCCGAGACAGAACTCGCAAATGAAGATAACATCCTCCTGGCTGAAGATCTCGGGATAGGGCGAAAAATACCAAGGAAATAGATCGTGCTTTCCGAACTGCACCTTGGAGATATTTCGTATTCGCGAGATCTCGGCAGGGTTCTGGGTCATGGAGCCGTGCGTCCTGAGCTTCTCGATCTCGTCTTCGCGGCTGAAGCCACCCAGTAGGTCCTTCTTTTGTACATCTTCTTCCAGGTCAATTTCCATCTCGTCGCCTCCTGCCGCGGGTGTAGCAGTTGCATCACCAGTAGCTGGTGTTTGGGCCTGGCTTTCCTCGGCTGTGGGCGTCATCTTCTGACTCTGAGACTCGACGAACTCGGTCCATGGGTGTGGGGTGGCGGCCTCTGACGGTGCCGACTGCTCCCTCTTCGCGGGCCGCTTCTGGGATTTTTTGGAAACCTGCTTCTTCGATGTGGCGACGCCCTTCTTCGTTTTGGGGTCCTTGGGTTTCTCCTTCTCGGGCAATGGCCATTCGACATCGTGATCAAAATCGATGCGGGCCGTTGGAACCCATTCGTCGAGACGCTTATTGAAGTTATCGAAGTTGCAGTAGAATTGCCGTCCGCTTTTTGTTTCTTTGATACTGAGGATTTCGGCTCTGCGTGGTATGCCCTCTTTCGTGACCATGGCAATGCATCCTACTCTAGACCGAAAAGATTAGTGAATGGCTTCAAGCGGACCGCCTTACTGGAGAAATGGCGGGGTTATGGCATGACTCACCTGATGGTTTCCGGAGTGGCCTTGCCCCTTTGTCGAGGTTCGCTGGAGCCTACAGTGGGCTCGCCGTTGGCGCCGTGTGCCGCCATGATGGAATGTTCGGTTCGTGGTTGTCGGTTGATGGAAGTTTCTGCTCGCTCTTGTTGGCCTTCTGGTTCCTATCGCAAATTATGGGAAAGTAGAAAGCGGGAAGAGGAAGGTGGTGTATGGCAGAAAACGCGAGCTGCTCCAGGCGGTGAAGATTCTGCCGCGAACCCCTGCGCATGTGTACAGCGAGGCGATGACCCCACTTTATGTCACCCCGATAATTGCAATAGTTTTGAAATTTATCCTACTGAGAATCGTTCATCGCTGACACCATCCTGCTGTTTCTATTTCACCAAATCTCAAAAAGATTAAGGGAAATATTTCACTTTTTTTTTGTGCTGCAGGACATAAGTGCCTATTTCTTGCTCCACCCCAAACGGCAGAGAATATGGCCCCTGAGCTATCGTCAAATTGGAAGAAGCTTCAAGCTCAACTCAAAGCGGCGAGCCCGTCTTCTTCCACAACAGCTGGACCGGTGAAGCGGAAGGCAGACTCCTCTGATCAGCAGCCGACGAAGAAGCCGAAACTTACATCCGACAAAAAGGGACCAGTCAAATATCCTCAAAAAAACGAAAAGGGAAAGAAGGAACGTATGGGTGTCACGCAAAGCTCAAAGGTTGAAGTTGAACCAAAGGTCGGCCCCTCGCCGTCCCTGGCCCTTTGGGCGGAGGAGAATGACATCTCTTCCGAAGCGCTGGCCGAAGCCTATGGACTTGGTCTGAAGAACAACTCTATGCTCGTTTCAGAAAAAGACAAGATTAACGCGGGCCTGACCGAAGCGCTTGATGTCGGCAAATATGTTGCCATAGACTGCGAGATGGTCGGTGTCGGACAAGGGGGGTACGAATCTGTACTGGCTCGTGTGAGCATCGTCGACTTCCACGGACGACAGGTGTATGACTCATATGTACGGCCTCAAGAGCGTGTCACCGATTGGCGCAGTGCCGTCAGCGGAATCCTACCTAAGCACATGAGGTTCGCTCGAGATTTTGACGAGGTTCAGGCAGACGTCGCCAAACTGTTGAAGGATAGGATCTTAGTCGGCCACGACATCAAGCATGATTTGGATGTGCTCAAACTGAGTCACCCAAGCAAAGACATCCGCGACACATCCAACTACCCGGCGTTCAGGAAGTACGGCAACGGCAGGAAACCAGCATTGAGGAGGCTGGCGGAAGAGGTCCTCGGCGTCACGATCCAGAGCGGCGCACACTCGAGTATCGAAGATGCCAGGGTGACAATGCTCTTGTTCAGAAAGCACAAATCCGGGTTTGACGTTGACCATGCGAATCGCTTCCCTGGCTCCGCAAGCACATCGGCGAAATCAAGACCAAAATCTAAAAAGCCCAAGAAAAAGAAATGAGCTGGAATTCTCCAATGCAGAAAATTCCTACCAAGACCTGAGCCTTTTAAATCATCTCTTCTAATGCCCCTTAAGCCCCGGATGCCGAATGCAATCCAATCCACCCAACTGCTCCTCATCCCGGTTGCCGCCATGAGCCACCACCCTTCATAGCGGAATGCCCTCCATCAACTCCAGGGCTCCTTCTCGACCCACTGTTATTATAACGTCGCCTAGTGTCTTCGTTAGGAAACCGGCTTCGCAGTATGTGAAGTAGTACTGCAAAACATTAGCATAGAGCGCATGAGGCACATATGGTACGTGTCTTACCTCCCACTTCCTCCTAAATACATCTATTTCTTCTTCACTCATGTTGTCATGTTCACGTTTCAATGCCGGTCGAATCTTGGAGTCGAAGTTTCGCAGGAACTCCTCCTTCCACAATCGCAAGGTCTTGGAGTAATGGCCTCCAATGTTCTCGACGTTTTCCACGATGAGAGTTCCTCTCGACTCTTTGCTGATGTGGTTCAAGAGCTGTGTGGTGGATGGAAGGTATCCTCCAGGGAAGATGTAGTGATTGATGAAACTGTTATCTGTCAGCGGCACAGTCTTTTTGCTGCAATCCCCTTTACTTACTCCTCTCCTTTTGAGTACGCCTCGTGACGGCCTTCGGGCATGGTAATGCATTGGAAGACAGCAATGCCTCCGTTCTTTTTCAACAATCTGTCGATACACGCAAAATATGTCCCAAGGAATTCTTGACCGACAGCTTCCAGCATTTCGATTGACACAATCTTATCGAAGGGTCTTTCTGGGGTTTCCAAAGCTCGATAGTCTGTCAAGCGGACGTCGATGCGATCGGAGAAGCCCGCCGCGTTTATGCGCTCTTCCGCAAGTGCCTTTTGTTCCTTGGAGAGCGTCAGGCTCGTCACTCGGCAGCCAGTCTTCCTCACTGCCTCAATTGCGAAGGAGCCCCATCCAGTACCGATCTCCAACACATGGTCCGACGGCTTTATGCGGGCGCCGTCAATGAACCGATTTAGCTTCGTCATTTGCGCCTGCTCCAATGTTTCTTCGGGCTTGCTCAGATCGGGGTTCTTCTTCCATATGGGGCAAGAATAGGTCATGTCCGGCGACAAGAATGCGGCGAACATGTCGTTGCTGATGTCGTAGTGCGCCGAGATGTTGAGGAGCGCATTGGAGAGGGTGTTGGTGGTTCGCGCCAGGCTCGAGATAGCGATGGATAAGCTCGAGAACCAGGTTGTCCCATTACCCATTTCTTCGCGGTTAACAATGAAGAGCTGTATCAGGATCAAGTCAGTGGCAAGAGCGGCAAGCCAATGGCTGATTGGAGCCAGCTACGGGTATACTGACTTGGAAGAAGGCGGTCAAGTCTTCGCACTCAATCTCTCCGAGCATGTACGACTCGGCGAAACCCATGTCGGCGAACAAGAATAGGCGCATCCAGAAGGCCTCACTCTTTATAACAACCTCGACCCGAGGGATGGCATCCGCGCGGCGAGGAACGTAGTCACCGTTCGTGAGGCTTTCATTGTATTTTGCGCCAAGCTTCTGGCCAAAAACCTGCCTAAGACCGGCAGGCTCGTCAACGAGAAGAAGCGTGCCTCGCTCGATTCTGGAGAAGACGGAGAGGATCGCAGGTTTGGCTACAGACAAAGCTGGTCCCCAGGTCAAACTGCCGACGGCGCCTCTCACCAGCTCTGTACCGCGGGACAAGGGCTGGGCGACAGCCGCCGGAACTAACGAGGGCAGCTTAGGCATGAGGAGCAAAGCTGTAAGGATGCCGGAGACGACTGTGTATAATACGGATAATAGATCGGAAGCTCAACGGCCTGGGGCGGGTCGAGCTGGAGTGGAGTGAAGGCCAATTGAGTTGGACAGCCACCGGGAAGCCTAAAAACAAGCTCTCCAGGTGGTGAGGCACACTGGGATGCTTGTTGGGGCTTTCTGGAGGATGGAGGGGAGGGGGGGGGGGGGGGGGGGGGGGGGGAGGGCTAGAGGAGGGGGTGGAATGCAACAATCAACAAGAGCAGAACATGTTCGCATCTGAGACTCGACGGCAGGGCGGGAGGATGGTTTTAATGCGCCCGCGCATGTCCGTGGCTAGAGGCCATGCTACGCCAGGCGCACAAACGCACCATCTTGACCGCCGGCCTGATGTACAGGAGAAACCAGCGTATGAGCTTGCCTTCTCCAAGGATACTAAACAGCAAAAGAGATCGTCTCGTCCATCGGCAACGTCGCAAGCCTGAGGAGCAATACCTACGTGGGGACAGGGGGAGAATCCATCCTGAATTAGGATAAAGCATGGATGCGGAAGTGGGCTGGGGCAAGGGTAGCTCGGCGGGAATCACTCGGGAAGGGGGCGGAAAAGAGAGGCCTTGGCCATCGCTTGTTTCACCGGGGGAATCGACAAATTTGGGCGGGCGGGCGTTGACTGACGATCCCATCGGCACTTAGCGTCCGTAGCATCGTGGGCACGCTCTACCTTACATAAGGTTTTTTTTTTTTCGAGGTCTTCGTCAAACTGACCGCTATGAGTGATTGTCTGAGCACCCAATGACATCGACTCGTATGGATCTTCGTATCTCGAAGCAACATCAATCAGCAAGTGAAGCATTACTCCAGGCAAGCCTGCTTAAAATGGAAAAAGTAGAGAAAAGAAAACACCCTTGCCAAAAGACTGCTTAGGACAGGCCTAGGGATGATGTCGACCTCTGACGGAGGGGCGGCGACCCGAGAGTATAGGACGTGCCCATGTGGGTGCTCTTGCAACTCGAGTCGGAAGTTGGACGAGCAAGCTCATTCGTCCGTGGAGCATACCACGTATGCGATAAAGGCCTGCCCTGCCCCTACATTGTGTGCTACGGGGGGCATTGAGCCAGTGCGCCGCCGCCGGAACGCTCGGCCACGAGCAGCCCCGAACCGTTAGTGCCAGGAGGACTAAGAAAGGTCGATAGAGATGTAGGCTATCACAAGGTGCAGGTTTCGAGAAGACTGTCGAATCTGTCCCGGCTCACATGGCCCGGTCAAGGCAACGGACGGCCTAGCGTGAGGTTGACGACTGAGGTTCTGGCCATCGGATGAAGGCAGAGATTAACTTCGGGCGGGTGAGTGGGTCTCCTTCCATCCAGGAAAACAAGCTGTGTTTGCAAGCGGCATGAGGGCACATGTTGATTGAATAGTGATTCGACGTCAGCTACTAACATGTTCTCTGGACAAAACACACACACACACACGCAATACGGCAGCAAAAGCGCTTGGCAAGTCCCTGCATCCCGACAGAGAGGAGCGTTTCCAGACCAAGACTCTCAACAAGTCGTTATTGCACCGACTGCAGAGTACATAATAGTTATTCCCCGAGTTGGCTGGGCGCAGTAGGCTGCAGGCAGTGGTTCCCCTACTCAGTATGTACTAACTCCGTACTGTTCGCCTTGATGAAAGCTTATTTTAGGTCTTGGTAGGAGACCGGCCGATCGACCATTCAAACCTCGATGATCGGGGTCGACGGAAATTAGTAAAAGAAATCCTGCCGTAAAGGCGTGGCCCAGCTTGCATCGTGCGGCAGGGTCTTTGGGCGAGTTCGCGGAGCTTTGCGCGGAATTTCTCGACCGCAACTGGGGTCTTTTAGGGTCTATGACATCAAGACTTTGGCTTTCCCCCATTGCAGGGCTGTCGGTCCATGTCAACTGGTTGCTCCAGAGTCTAGATCATACTGGGAGCATGGACCCTGGATAGCGATGCGCTGAAGAGTTCTGGATAAGTCGACGGAAAAAATGGCAGAGAGAATATGATAGGTATTTCGACCGGATGGTACGGCGGCAAGATGGTATTCGAGTCAGGGGACGGCCGAGCCTCGAGAGTCTAGCATTTCAGTGGGACACACCTGTCACACCGTACACCCCTGTCACAAAACACCTAGGTAACCCGGCCCCCAGGAAAACGAGCAAACCTACCTATCCATCCTGTCGCCCATCCGAATACCTACTACCTAGTAAGAGATTTAAGAACGCCATGAAGTGGGGCTGACTTGCTTGAGGATTGGACAAGTTCCAGATACCGATCCGAAAGTCTCATCGACCGTGCCTGACGGCTGCCTCACTTGTCACTCATGTCTCTCGCCTGCAAGCGCAGCCAGCCACCAACGCAAGTGTCAATGCCGGGTGTGGTGGGGAGGTCTTTTCTACCTTTCGCCCTAACTGCAGTGATACACCAGCCCCTGCCGATGACTGCCCGGGTTGGTGAAACAGTGATCCTGAAGGCGGCCCGTGCACACGGCAGCCCAGAACGTCTTATCGATAATGATGGGTCTGCTTATCGCATTTCACTTATCGGCGGTTTAATTGAATTCGCGTCGTCGAGGACCGCTGTGGGGTTTGGACGCGTCTGGTACGAATACTCACGGAGCGAATGAACACACATCAACAAACCCGACCCCGTTGCTGAGCACACAAGACAGGCCACCATGTCGAAAGCAATTCTCTCTATTCGGTCCAACGAATCCGATGAAAAGAGCAAAGCAGTCGCCAACCTGTTGCCATGTCGCATACACCACAATGGACCGATTGGTGATGCCAATACCTTCTGGAATCCTGTTCGGTCAGAAGGTGAGCCATCTACCGACCGAGCGATGATTGTAAGGATAATGTGTAGTTGGTGCTGACTTCAGTCAATAGATGGGAAACCCTTGGCATACTTTCGTGGTCGGAAACTTTACGGCACGACTGTCAAGCTGCCAGAGCAATACCGAGGCGTTGTTATGGAAAAGAGCGACGAGGTCGAGGCCCAGCAACTCGAACTCGAGGACGAGGGAGAAGGGGCCGAAGGCGATTTGGTCGAGCTGGGAACCATGGACGTCAAGGCTGTGTTTGACGAGATAGTCATCTGGGGTCACGAGTCGAGCGCCGAGGCGGCGTCGGATCCTTACGTGAGGAGTATCGAGGAATGGCTGACTGTCGCCGAATCGGTGTGTCCTGCTGTGGGTGTTAAGAGATGAAGTTGACTAACTTGCTTGCAGGTACACTCGTACCCTTCGCCGGAGATGAAGAACGGCGCATAGGCGGGCGAAGGCTCGCAGAGTTTGGTTCTAGGGAACTGTACACTGCGGTTTTCTGTGGGCACGGAGTAGCAGGAACATTGCATGGTTTAGGCGTTATGGGAGCTGTGCGAAGCAGAATGAGTACAAAAAGGCCAAGTAAGCTCCGAGCTTCGAATTCTCTATCTGGATTTCAGAATATGATCAACTCCTTATGCCCTGTCTGTTTCGCGGCGATATGCCTACAGTACATACCTACCACCTGTAGGCGTATCCCAAGTTTCCGCCAACAGTACTCTCCGGATTGAGGATGATTCTCAAACTGGACTAGCGCCAGATGCAGTCAATTAAAGCCGTCGCGCCAGCAACGCGCGCTGACGCGCCTCCTGCCCCTCACGCGCCAAAAATCAATTAAGCCCCCTATTGTCTCCGCCTCCAAATGCGAAAAAGGATCCATCGCATCCCACCACCCAAAATACCACCTCCGCCTAAAAACAACAACCCGCATATCAGCCTCGTTCCCGTCCCTTGCGCCTCTTTTACCCATTGTTGACCTCCCACCCCAAACGACAATATTTTGCAGCTGCTGCAGACGACATACTGTCAACAATGGCTCCCTCCAGCGACGCCGGCCTCATAATGTCGGATGCCCCGTCCCGCGCGGCGGGTACCCCTAGACGCTCCTTCATGCCCAGCTCCTCCGCTGGCGGAAGGCCACGAGTGCCGCCATCCGAGAGCATGGGTGCTGTCAGCGACGATGAGGCCGAGGGCTTTGCTGACGATCAGGTTCCTCGCGGATCAAGGATACCCGACATCACAAACATTCCCCGCGTCGAGGACAAGATTGGTCTGATGGTTCAGGACCACTTTGAGTCCTTTATCGAAGGGTGAGTCGCGGCCTCTTGCTCTTCCTTCGCTACGTAGCATATCTGACCATATTGAAATGCAGATTCATAGACGACCCGACTTCTTCTGGCGCACCGACATCGAGCGCCGTCACAACGGACAAGTACTATATTGCCCAGATTCACGGCATGCGCACATACCAGCTGTCCACCTTCTATGTGGACTTCAAGCACTTGGTGACATGGCAAAACGGCGAGTTGGCAGATGGCATCATGCGTGGCTACTACCGCTTCATGCCTTTCCTTACCGCCGCCTTGCACAATATGATCGCCAAGCATGAGCCGCAGTACTTCCGCGAACATAGGCAACCTACCTCCTCCAGCAACCCTACCAACTCGACCGCAAGCCAGCTGGGTTCCGCTAGCCAAACAGAAATGGGCGGCAAGACAGCCAACCAGCAAACTGATAAACTTTTCGCCATTGCGTTCTACAATCTGCCCCTAATCTCACGAGTCCGCAGTCTCAGGGCGGCCAACATCGGCCAGCTCCTCTCCATCTCCGGCACCGTCACGAGGACGTCAGAAGTTCGCCCTGAGCTTTCTCTTGGTACCTTTGTGTGCGAGGCTTGCAGGACGGTTGTTCCCAACGTCGAACAGACCTTCAGATACACGGAGCCTACTCAGTGTCCCAACATGACCTGCCTGAACCGCCAGGCGTGGCAGTTGGATATCAGACATAGCACGTTCGTCGACTGGCAAAAGGTGCGCATCCAAGAGAACAGCTCTGAGATTCCTACGGGGAGCATGCCAAGAACGATGGACGTTATCATGCGCGGAGAGATTGTAGACCGAGCCAAAGCTGGAGAGAAGTGTATCTTCACCGGTGCGCTCATCGTCGTGCCAGATGTTAGCCAAATGGGTCTGCCCGGTCTGAGACCAAGTGCCGTTCGAGACGACAAGAATTCCAATGGCGCCGATGTGGGCGGCTCTGGCGTCAGTGGTCTCAAAGCACTTGGTGTCCGCGATCTTACCTACCGTCTGGCTTTCCTTGCTTGCATGGTCACCCCCGATGTTTCCAACTCGGGCCAGGCATCAAGTGGGCAGGTTTCAGACATCATCAACTCGTTGACCCAAAACAACACTCATGATGCTTCAGAGTCGGTTGAAGATGTTCAAGCCGCAGTACTTGCATCCATGAATTCCTCGGAAATCGAGGAGCTGCGCGAACTGGTCCATAGCGATCACATTTACTCGCGACTGGTAAACTCGATTGCACCGACGGTCTATGGCCATGAAGTTGTCAAGAAGGGACTCTTGCTTCAACTTATGTCTGGTGTGCACAAAACCACAGCTGAAGGCATGGAGCTGAGAGGTGACATCAACATCTGCATCGTAGGCGACCCCTCTACGTCCAAGTCCCAGTTTCTCAAGTACATCTGCTCTTTCGCCCCTCGCGCCGTCTACACCAGTGGCAAGGCGTCTTCCGCTGCTGGTCTCACAGCCGCTGTGGTCAAGGATGAGGAAACAGGCGACTTCACCATCGAAGCCGGTGCCCTTATGCTGGCAGACAACGGCATTTGCGCCATTGATGAGTTCGACAAGATGGATATCGCCGACCAGGTCGCCATCCATGAAGCTATGGAGCAGCAGACTATCTCTATCGCCAAGGCTGGAATCCAGGCCACCTTGAACGCCCGCACCTCAATCCTTGCTGCCGCCAACCCAGTTGGCGGTCGCTACAACCGCAAGACGACGCTCCGCGCCAACATCAACATGAGCGCCCCCATCATGTCTCGTTTCGATCTCTTCTTTGTCGTGCTCGACGAGTGCAACGAATCCGTTGATCGCCACCTTGCGGAGCACATTGTTGGACTTCACCAGCTGCGCGACGAAGCCATCGAGCCTGAGTTCAGCACCGAAACCCTGCAGAGATACATCCGCTTTGCCCGCACCTTCCGACCCGAGTTCACTCCTGAGGCTAAAGAGCTGCTTGTTAAACACTACAAGGAGCTTCGCGCCGACGACGCACAGGGCGGAATCGGGAAGAACTCATACCGCATTACCGTCCGTCAACTGGAGAGTATGATCCGTCTATCAGAGGCGATCGCCAAGGCCAACTGTGTGGAGGAGATCGAACCACCTATGGTTACCGAGGCCTTCAACTTGCTCAGACAGAGTATCATCTCCGTCGAGCATGATGATGTCGAAATTGACGACGAGGAGTTCCCAGAGGAGGGCGCAGCTCTGCTTCGTGCGGCCTCTGAGGCAGCAGGCCAACCAGTCGAAGAGGGTGACATGGTCGTTGACGGAGCCGAAGGGACAGCAGCGGCCGCGGCCCGCCCCAAGCAGACTATCACGTTCGAAAAGTACTCGAGCATGGTTAACTTGTTCGTCGAGCACGTCGCTGAGGCCGAGGCTGAAAACGGAGAAGGCGTCGAAGATGATGCGCTCGTGGAATGGTATCTGGAGCAGAAGGAAGATGAGTTGGAAGATGTTGCACACGCCGAGGAGGAGAGGGCGTTGGCCAAGAAGGTGCTCAAGAGGATGGTCAAGGTATGTGATCTTTTCTTTTTGCTGTCGATGTTAAAATGGAAGCTAACCTCATGCTACAGGAGAATATTCTCATGGCTGTCCGTGGCCAGGGTCTTCTCGACGAAAGCGAGGCAGGCGAGGGAGCGTCTGCGGCCGCCGAGGCGGAGCAGCGCATCATCTACGTCCTGCATCCCAACTGTGCTGTCGAGGACTTCTAAGTAACTCCGTCCCATAAGTGTTGACGCCTTTGAGAGTGGCCTTGAGGTAACTGGCCTGATTTGGACGAGGATCATGAGTAGGAAAAAAAAAAGTAAGCTAATGTCCGCGGCATTTTGGAGACTTTCCCCCCCCCCGAGCCATGAATGGGTGGGAAGGGATTTTGGGCTTGTGTTATTGCAGCCTAGGAGTTGGGGCGTTGATCGGACGAGCTGAACTGTCTTACTCGAGATAAGATGCATATGAAAAAAGAGATTCCCACCTAGCAGATGACTAATGTTTGTTATTCCATGATTATACGTGCATGTTACGATTTACATGCTTGTGGGCTTTCTCCCCGAGCCAGTCCGCCTCGCTCGGCCAGCACCTTGAGTTCAGCCACTCAAACGCTCCTGAGAAAGCCAAGTCCCACCAGCCTTGAGCAGCTTCGGGTGGGGGTTCATCATGCTGATAACCCTCCCTCTCAAAGACGGCATAAACCCCGTGGAACTACCCAATGCGGGCTTACAACATGCAAGAGAAGCTGCGACAAAAACTCCATTCCGATTGGTTCACAAACGGACGGCGCGTCTTCTCCATCTTTGGGTTTCATCGGACGTACTGAGCTGGCTGACGGTTGTCTTTGGCATTCCTGCTCCCCTCCTCTCGCCATTTGATATGTCAACACGCAAGTCCTCTTTGTATATAGCTTGCGTCTGATCTCGTAAAGGGCTCCGCAGAGAAGCCGAACCTCACGAGACCAGCTATGACATGAATATCATCACATCCATTCGAGCTAACAAGATTGTATAACTTTTAAATTGGATTTGATATATGACGAACGAAAACCAAAACATCGCAACGCCTACCCCCGGATGCTGAAGCTAAAGCGGATATAAAACATACATCTTACAAATTGTACTTTCCTTTTGCCGCCCCCTTCCACTTCTAATGTCTTCGACGGTCTCTCCGATGCTTGCTCCTCCCGCTTCTTGACGTGTTGATCCGTCTACTCAATGCAATTTATTCCTCATCGGACTCCTCCTCGGCAACCTGTCGTCTCGTTAGTCACTATCTCGCGGTGATAAAACGCTTTCATTCAGCACAGTCACTCACCCCCTCGTGGAAGTCCCGTCCCTCCTTGGTAGCCTTGATGACGCCCACACGGATGCAGAAGTCGCCAAACCTCTCGCCCTCCTCTCTCTCGACCGCGTACCGCTTGAGCAGCGGTTTCATGATGGCCAGGATCTCGTCCTCCTTGATACTCTGGCGGAACAGCTTGTTCAGGCGTTGCCCATGGTAGCCACCGCCAAGGTACATGTTGTACGCGCCGTACGCCTTTCCGACGAAGGCGACCTCGGCGAGCCATGGACGGGCGCATCCATTGGGGCAACCTGTCATACGCATTACGATCGAGTCCTGGCGCAGGCCGTTCTCCTCGAGGCAGCCTTCCAGCTTTGTGATGAGCTGGGGCAGGTAGCGCTCCGACTCGGCCATGGCAAGACCGCAGGTGGGGAAGGCGACACAGGCCGAGGAGCTGAGGCGCAGGCCGGAGAAGTTTACGTTGTCGAGCTTGTACTTCTTCATCAACGCTTTGATAGATTCCAGGTCCTCGTCGGCGACGTTGCTGAGGATCAGGTGCTGGTTGCCCGTGAGGCGGAACTCGCCCTTGTGCACCTTTGCGATCTCGCGCAGGCCCGTCTTCATCTGGAACTCGGGTGTGTCCTCGATACGGCCGTTCTCTATGAAGAAGGTGAAGTGGTTGAGGCCCGTCTCGTCTTTCTGCCAGCCAAACGTGTCGACGTTGGACTTGAACTCGAACGGACGCTCCTTGTCAAACTTCTGGCCCCAGAGCTCCTCGACCTTGGAGCGGAATACGTCGACACCCATGTCGTCGATGGTGTACTTGAGACGCGCGTGCTTGCGGTTCTTGCGATCTCCGTGGTCGCGCTGGACGAGCATAACCTTTTCGCAAGCGATGTGGACCTGGTCCGTCGTGACGAAGCCGAGCATGCGACCGACCTGGGGGTAGGTCTTCTTGTTGTTGTGCGTGGCACCCATACCACCACCGGCGAGCAGATTGAAGCCTTCCAGGCGGCCGTCCTTGCCCTTGATGGCGATCAGGCCGATATCGTGAGCGTAGACGTCGGTGTCGTTGTGGGGAGGGATAGCAATGGTGATCTTGAACTTTCTGGGTAGGTAGGTAGGCCCGTACAGAGGCTCAAAATCTTGGACAGCATCACCGGCGATCTTGGTCTTGGTGTCATTCTCGTCCGCCAGCCAAATCTCGTGGTAGGCAGTGGTTGAAGGCAGCAGGTGGTCACTGATCTTCTGGGAGCTGGCCCAGACCTCCTTGTGATACTTGGATTGCGTGGGCAGCGAACTGCACATGACGTTACGGTTGACGTCACCGCAGGCGGCGATGGTGGTCATGAGCGCGCGGTTGATGGCCTGCATGGCGGGCCTCAACTTACCCTTGACGACACCGTGGAACTGGAAGGTCTGTCGAGTGGTGAGCTTCATGGTCTCGTTGCCGAGGTCATTGGCAATGTCGTCCATCTGCACCCACTGCTGGGGAGTGGAAATACCGCCAGGCAGACGGCAACGGATCATGAAAGAGTAGGCGGGCTCCAAACCCATGGCCTTGCGCTCGTCTCTGACATCGCGGTCGTCCTGCATGTAGGTACCGTGGAATTTGGTAAGTTGCTGGTCCGCGGCGGAGATGGCACCGGTGCTGGTGTCCTTGAGACCCTCAGCAATGGTACCGCGAAGGAAGTTGGAAGCAATCTTGATGTCCTCGTTGGTGATCGGAGCGGGTTCCTCAGGGAGACCGTCGACGTTGTCGACACCAAGAGCGGCCCAGATCTTGGGCTCCCACTCCTGGAAGCCTGTCTGGTAACCATCGGGGTCTTGGTCGTCACCGAGCCCGACATCGGCAAGTCTCTTACCACCAAGGTTGGCAAGAACACGGTCGAGGTCCTTGGCGGGTTTGTTGTAGTATATCTTGTCCTCCTTGCGGGGCCAGTAATGACGGTCACCGAGACCGAAGACGGAGTAGTTGACGTTGGCGAGGTCAAACTCGGTGTTGTCCTTCAGAGCGGTCCACAGGGCGTGGCCGTTCTGGGGGAACTCACCCTGACCCGCGGTGGACGTCACGAAGATGATGTTCTCCTCGGAAGGCAAGTCCTCAACAGGGTAGTCCTCCATGACCATGACCTTGATCTTGAGGCCGCGAGCCTTGCCGCGGTTACCGAGACGCTTGGCAACGCTGGTGGCATTGCCGTTGTCGGAGGCATAGAGAATCGTCAGAGGGGCTCCGAAGAGGCCCTCGAGCAGTTGGTCGTAGGCATCCTTGGCCTTACGTTTCTGCTGGGCTCTAACCTCAGTGCCAAAGTCCTGCGATAGATTGGCAGCGAAGACGGGATTACGTTGCATGATCTGGGTCAACTGGTTGTCGCGGTCCAGGAAGGCCTTAAGCTCGCTCTTGATGCGCTCAGAGTCGAGGGTGAAGTTGGGCTCGCCTTTGGCCTCATTGGCGGGGTTCCAGCGGTATAGGGGCCAATAGCCGACATCGATGGCCTTCTTGGTCTCCTGCAATACAGTCAGGGGAGAATCGGTCTCGCCGAAGTAAGGGAGGTAGGCAAGGACGACCGAGGGGCCATTGTGCTGATCGGCTTCGAGCATGGCCTGCAGAACCTGAGTGTAGGAGCCGTAGACGGCGGTCGAGGCGACGTAGGCGTTGCCAAAATTCATGGCGTACAGGCCAATGTCCTTCTTGCGACGGTTGGCGTCGGCGGCTGCACGCTCGGAGTAGGGAGTCGAGTCAATGATGAGCATGTTGACGTTCTCGCCAGAGGCCAGAACGTGGTGCACGCCAGAGTTGCCAAGGTCGTAAGCCCAGGCGTCGGATCCTACAAGCCAAAGAGACTCCTTACGGAACAGGCGCTTGCTAGATAACAGACTGCGGGCGATGGAGGAGCCATCAGTCTCAAGACGAGGAATGAGGTCGTCGGCGATCTCGTTCGCCTTCTTCGCATCGGCCTCGTTTGCGGCCCAGCGGGCGAGCCAGCTCTTGGGAGCATCAGTCACAAACTGGTTGCTGTTGGCAGCCTCTTTAACCTCGCCGACGAAGCGCTGGCGCCGCTCCTTGCGGGCCAACAGGGAACCGAAGCCGAATTCGGGGCTGGCCTGGATGGAAGAGTTGATGCCGGCGTTGCTGGCCTTTAGCGCGTTGGCAACATAGGCCCTCTGGCCGAACAGCTGGTCGAGGATCTTGGTGTAAGAGTTCTCAACCTGGGGTTTCTCAAGCCCGTATTCTAGTGTCTGCTGGGGGACGTCCTTGCGACCGACCTCGAGGTTCTGGACAGGGGACTCGGAAGTCAGGTTTTGCAGTACGCCACGCAGAGCCTGGATAACGGTCTTGGGGTCAATGTAGCCAAGCTGGTAACCGACGACAGTCTGGACGCCGCCGAAGCCGCTCTTCACACTGGTGAGGACATCGAGGAGGACAGGGCCCCATTTCGTCGTCTTGCGGTGGATCTGCTCGAGGACGGCAATGCGCTTCACAGACTTGGGAATGGCATCGGCCAGAGCGGAACTGAGCCAAGGGCGGTACAGCCTCGGGGTGATGATGCCGACCTTGGAGAAGTCACCGCCGCGGCGGGCCTGGTCGATGACATCTCCGAAAAAGTAAGCGCCGGAGCCGAAGACGAAGAGGCAGTTCTCCGCGTTGGTCGGGCCGGCGTAGAAGAAGGCCTGATACTCACGGCCTGTGAGCCTTTTGAAGTGGGTCCAGATGCCGTTGGCGTACTTGAGGATGTCATCGGAGGAGACGACGGGCAGCGCCGCGTCAATGGTGGTGGCGTTGGAGGAGACGACGGAGGGGGGGCTGTCGGTGACGCTGTGCTGGGCGCTAGATTGGACCGAGGCCCGGGACGAGTCGAGCTTGGAGTGCACGGACGAAGCGAGGTCGGAGGAGCTCAGGCCACTGATGGGCGAGGAGCCGGTCGGCGGCACGTCGGATCGATCAGAGGCGATCGGCAGTCGGCCGTCATCGGCATAGATGCCGACAGCCGCTCCTGTGCCGTTTGACGGCTGCTGGAAGCGCCTCGCGGCGTCAACATCGAGAATCTGGCGCACGAGCTCGGGGTCCTCAGCATCGATGGGCGCGTCGTCGTCGCTCGAAGATGAGGCGAAGAAGTGGACGACACCCTTGCCGGAGCGCAGGGCGAGGGCATGTGCCGTCAAAGCCATGTCCTGCGCCTCCTGCAGCGACTCGGACTGGAGGAAGGTCCATCCCGAGTTGCGGATGGCTGTGATGGTAGAGAAGTCAGGAAAGCCGGCAGGCTGGAGGGAGACGTGCAGGACGACGGGGTAGTTTGCCAGCTTGTAGAGGTGGGAGATTGCGGGCAGGAGGGCGGTTGAGGATGTCGTGACGGCGACGAGCTTGCCGGCGCGCGAGGGCGCAAAGACGGAGAGGAGGGGGTCGGCATTGTGTCTGACGTATTGAACCTGGGAGGGGCTTCTGTCAGCCAATGTGTTCCTTCACGCGCCGAGATAAGACCACGAGCAAGGGAATTGAATGCTCACCTCGGGAATAGAGGCCTTTGCGACGAGGCTCTTGTCGCCGCGAGCGACGTAGCGCTTGAGGTGGGATGAGAACTCGGAGTCCTTGGCTAGCGAGGGCTGGACGGAGACGACGACATCGCTGGAGAGGTATGCGATTCTCGCAACTAATTAGACCGCAGTGTTAGCAATGCTATCGTGGCTGGCCCGCGCCTGCGCCAGCGGGCGGTTGTCCATCACCACCGCCTTCTCCCGTCTTTCCCATCGTCCATCGTCCCTCTTGGTGACGGCCGCTGGACGCTTGGGGATGCGACAAATAGCAGAGCTCTGATTGGCCCACCGATAGTGCCGCTGGAGCTTCGCTATAGCTATAGCGGGCAATGCGCTGGAGGACAACGCTGCTACAGGCAGTAAAACAGGGGGAACGGGGCGTAGCTTACCAGCCTCTCCAGGCGTCTGGATCTGGCCTCTTGTCGGTGCCATTGTCGATTTGTTTAATTCAGGAAGGGGGGTATCGTATAAGTCGCAGGTCTCCCTATCTAATAGTTGCCTTTTGCTCTTCTCTTTCCCTCTTCGAGCCCGACTTCGGAAGAGTTGTCGGTACAAGAAAAGAGAAAACGTAAATAATATACGACAGCGGGAGCAGCAACCACAGCAACACGACGACCGGTAAAGAAGGTTGACGATGGAGGGGGAGAGAGAGAAAAGGCAAAGTCGAAGGGGTGGGAAAGAAATAATGCAGAACTGCGAAACAAGTCCGATGTCTCCTGCTTTTGGATATTAATTCCCTGGTCCAGGTCTTCTTCCTCCTCAGCACGTCTTAGACTAGGCCGACGGCTTGCTCTTGCTGGCCTTCGTTCCCACCGACGAATTTTGCCCCGCAGAAAACAATGAATTTTGTCGACATCAGGGTCGATTGCGTGATCGGCTAGCGCAGCGTCTCCCCCAGTCCCAATTCGCTGGGCGTACTGATGCCGCCGCACTGCCCTTGCTGCGGCTTTGGGGAGGAGGGACATGCTCCAAGCCCGCCACGGCAATCAGCCACTCCCCAGTCAGTGGCCAACGGCCGGCGCGAGTACCGGTACCATTTCCGACATGTTTTGACCTGCTGGGATACGTTGCCATTCTTTATCATTGACTGTTGGCCCTATCCTTGTATTACAACCTTGTGTTGTCTACTAATCATGAATTTCTTGAGTGAAGCGCGTGTTATCGATTTTCCTAGTAAAGTATTCCATCATGATCCGAAGAAAGATGGCACTTGAGGAGACATTGAGTACGTAGAGAAAGGTGACAAAAACAGAAGGCGTCTACCGTCTCAAGACAGAAATCAATGGCCGAATGCCGAAAAAGGCCGTTGTCGGCCGGGAATTTTTACTCGTTCCTCAGTTCTCATACCTTTGGGCCGCTCGATGGAGAAAATAGTCCTTCATTCATACGGGGACGAGACGTCGTTAGGTAGTTAGTATGTACTAACACCGGACACCCAACCCCCCCAACGTGCTCCATATCCCGCCATGGACCCCGTCGAATCCAGTGCCCCGGGGAGTATTTCGGATTACAAATGGTCAGAACTGCACTTGCAGCTCCTGCTCTTTACCGAACACTCTCTCCGAAGCCCAGCCCGATCGGCAATGAGCTGGTCTCCGAGTCATCATCCAATTACCGCGCCCTCATTGACATCAGCGTCTTTTATTAAACATTAGTGTATTCACACCATGTACCTAGTGTAGGTGCCTGGCTTATGCTGTAATTACCTGTCTGGTGTTCCTGTTCGGGATTTGGAACCTTCTTTACCAATGGCCCAAAGTCCCACACTTCGACGTCTCTATGGCCAGAGCCGAATGAATACACTCTTCCCGACCGTCCCAAACGCCGATATCCTCATCACATAGGAATCATGCTATTAAAAAAAGAAAACCAAGTCCGCAACACGCAGAGCCCGGTGATCCACCACATCGCATGCGCTGTTCTATCCACATTGACCAAAGCTTCCCCCATTTAGGCGATGCACCGCCGACCAATGACACCATCATGAAATGGCATCATCGAACCCCGTTCCCGGACCCGCCCAAGGGCGGTCAGCCCAGCCGCGATGCCGCCGACCTGCCGCGCCGATACCCATCATTCCCGACCGAACTACCACCGTTGCTTTCCGTACTTCGAGATGCTTAAACCCCGGCGTGCCGGAATTTGGCGCTCACCGCGCTTGCCCATTCATCCTGCGGTCTCTCGCTCATCCAGTAACCGCGACCGAGCGCGAGCATCACGCGACCCAGGCGACCGCGAGATCCCTCGCCACCGGGCTCACCCTGTGAAAACGGGCCGTCAGGGCCCTTCTTGCGGCCCTCCTCCTCCCAGCCCATCTCATTATACCGCTGCAGCACCTGCTGCGCAAAGGACATAACCACCAGCGCAAAGTAGACGCGCACCAACGTCACGGAGCAGACGAGTCCCAGACTCATCCACGACTCCTGTGGGCCGATGTGCTTCGTCGTCTTGGGCACGTCAGGGACGACGGGAGCGCCGTTTGCAAGGGCCGTCTCGGCGATCTCAGCGCCCGTGGGGGTGCTGGCGCTGCCCGGATGCTTATCGAGAGCCGTACTGTTGACATACCAGTTGACGGCGAAGAAGGTGGTGTAAGCGACGTTGAGGATCGTGTCGATGATGTAAAGCCATGCGAGGCTGAGGTTCTCAAAGGGACTCTGCTTGCGGATGTGGGGCATGAACATGGCCAGAAGCACAACCACGCCGAGCGAGTAGAGGTACATGGACAGCTGAGTTACCGACAGCTCGTAGCCCGTGAGGATGGCTAGGAGACCGTAAAGGCCGGTGAGCCTATTGAAGAGGAGAATCAAGGAAATGACCTCAGTACCAGTCTGGAGGCTGATGCAGCCCAGAAACGTCTATTGAGAAAGCATCGCATGTCAGCGTCCTTAACGATGGCAAACGGAGTCACGAGGTCGCGATCGTGCCAGGCATACCTTTGGGCGCGGGAAGCGCAGTCTGAATCTCGATGGCGCCATGTTGCGCAGTTGTTGACTTTTGCGAAAGGTGAGAAATTGTATGTGAGCGTATTGCGTCAGAGGGAAAGGGGTCCAAAAGCTCTGCTCAGTAGTGGAAAGCTTTTGGAGGAATCGACGGCTTTATGCAACAAAGCGGCAGCGCCGGATGACATAGGAAACATCCGAGGCGAAATAAGGGTGGAAGGACCCTGCGTTGTTGATGACATATGACGAAACCCACCACCGTACCTATCCGGCATAGCGTCACGCCCCGGCGTTTGCGTCCGAGCGCTGGCAGGTACAGCTGGTTGGCACCACGACCCAGCGGAACGAGCGTGCCAATCGATTTCGGCCCACCACACATCCCCGGTATTCGGTGACAGACGGCCCACCGGGGGGCATCACGGACGCCGAATCATCAGCGTGAGGTGGTCTGCGATCCCGGGCGGTGAAGAAGTCCAGTTTCCAGCCTCTTGTCAAGACGGCCACTATCACCATCTCACACGTCAGCAAAGCCAGTGACAGAAAACTACGTGCATCATAGGGGACGAATTGACAAGAAGAAGAAGAAAAAGAGCCATTAAATGTAGGTATGTACTAGCGACCGTGGATTATAGCCCGTTGTTATACAAACTGCAGCTGAATGCTGAAATCCCCATTGCACGCTATGCTTAAGATGTCCTGCCCCGCCAGTCATGCTCGTAACGTAACGGCCATTCAGCCCCCCGTCGTTCGTCATAAGTCTCGCCTTGGGTTTGCCACAGTTTTCCACTTTCATCTACCAATTTCGTCTAGCACGCGCATCCCTCTTGCGAGGACTGGGCCGGGGTTGTCTTCACATCAATCACTGCAACGAGGTTAGCAAACCTCGGTCCGATAATCACTGTTCTTGGGGAAATACGCACTTTGGCTAGAGGCCTGCGCTGCGGCGTCTGTTCCTTCCATACCCGGAAGAGCCTGCGCTATTCTCTTGAACAACGTCTTGACGTTGTGGCCCAGCTTCGCGCTGGTCTCCACAAACATAAGGTTGTTCTTCTTGGCCTCCTCCTCGCCCTGCTGGGTCGTCACCTCTCTCTTGTCGTTCAAATCCGTCTTGTTGCCAACGAGGACAATGATCACGTCATTTCCTCTCTCGGCCCGCACATCGTCTATCCACTTCTTTGTGTTCTGGAAAGACTTCGCATCTGTGTGCCCATTGTCAGTTGCTGGCACTTTTCTCCCGTCCGCCTTGTCCGCCACATACTTGAGATATCGTAGACAACAACGGCAACGCTGGAGTCGCGGATGTACGAAGGAATTAAACTACGGAAGCGTTCTTGACCGGCGGTATCCCAAAGCTGTAGTCTGACAGTGCGATCCTCGAGGTACATGGTCTGCAACGGATTAGACGAGCTGTTCAGGCCGGGCCGAGGCGACGACCCTCAGAGGAATAATGACAGCTTGCCTTGGAGAGAAAGTCGATTCCGATGGTCGCTTGGTACATGTTGTCGAATGAATCGTACATGAACCGAGTAATGAGAGATGTTTTCCCCACTGCAACATGGATTTTATTAGCGAGGGCAAGAGATACCAATGGGCAAACAGCAAGCTTACCACTCTGTTCACCCAAGAAGACAAGCCTGGTTGCAAATCGTCAGTTGGATATACAATTTTCATTGTCGTATTTGCGCATCATACTTGAACTTCTTGAGGGGATTGTTGTACGACCCGCTTGCGCCGGACGCCATGGTTGCCGAGTGTTCGCGTTGATCAAAAAGAAGCTTGACGTGGTGTTGGGGGTTGGTTGCTTTGTAGGACAGTCGAGACTAACGATTGCGGCAAAAAGGTGCAGGATGCAACGGACACGAGTTTTGGGACGAGGCGGGAGGCCAAGGACAGAGAAATAACAGATCAAGGGCGATCAGGGAGCCAGCGGGGAACGTGTGATTTTCTGGTCGCGACCTTGGTTGAGAGCACCGGTCGGTAAAAGGAGGTCAACTTTCGCTCCCTTCAGGCGCATTGCACATCCCGTCATCCACTCTGAGGATCCAGCCGGAAAGACGGGGATCATCACGTGGAGATAACTGATAACTGATAGGACAATCGATAAGCTCGAGACCCTGTCGACCGTATCTCAAAAATTTCTGGACGGCCCAGGCCCCGCCGTGGTGCAGTGCAGAAACAGACGACCATTAAACTGCAGGGTGCGCAAATCGACTTTTTCAGCCAGAGGAAGTCTTCCCTGGGAAACATTTCACATCCCGAAATACGCGAAAAGTCACCACTCCTGTTTAACTTGGTTCACAGTCAGGATGCCCGTTCTCAAGCCCCTTTCGGGCGAAGGCGATGCGCCGCAGCAATACAAGCAACCCTCGAGAAAGGGCAAGAAAGCGTGGCGGAAGAACGTCGACGTTACCGAGGTGCAGGACGGTCTCGATGAGCTGAACAAGCAAATAATTACGGGGTATGATGCATCTCCTTCCCGAGAGGGGGGGAAAGTTGTCTTGTCACAAGAATATGGCCAAAATACTAACAGGCCCCAAGTGGTGTCGTCGCAGAGAAGAACTCGGCCGACCTCTTCACCCTCGACACGGTCGGCAAGATCGAGAAGCGCCCTAAACCCAAGAAGACTCTCAAGTCAGAAGAGATCATCGCCGCCCGCTCCTCCATTCCCGCCGTATCCTCCCGTAGGAAGCGCGAAAACGAAAACTCCAAGACGGCCAATGGCCTCCTCCCCGTAAAGCGTCAGCGCACCGACTGGGTCTCGCACAAGGAGCTCGACCGCCTGCGTAGGGTTGCCGACGGCCAAGAAGACTCGAGCATCGTCCCCCAGGAAGCTACGTACGATCTCTGGGGTGCCAGCGCGCCAGCCCTCGTAGCGGCGGCAAAGGCAGACCCTAGCACCACCAAGGAGAACAACTTCATCCCGCCCGTGGTGAAAGCCAAGCCCCCAAAGACACTCAAGCACAAGCCACTCTCCCTCGTCGCAAGCGGCAAACAGATCCCGGCGGTTCTGAAGCCGACGGGCGGGTACTCGTACAACCCGACGTTCGACGACTACGCCGAAAGACTTGAAGAGGAGAGCGCCAAGGCCGTGGCAGCGGAGGAAGCCCGTCTAGCCGCCGAGGAGGCGGAGCGCGTTAAGCGTGAAGCCATTGCCCGGTCCGCAGCTGAGGCCGAGGCCGCCGAGGCCCGCGCACAACTGTCCGAGTGGGACGAAGACTCGGCCTGGGAAGGGTTCGAGAGCGGCGTCGACGACGACAAGCCGTCCTTGAAGCGGCCGCAGCGCAAGACGCCCCAGCAGAGGAACCGTATCAAGCGTCGCAAGGAGGCCGAACGCGAGGCCAAGCATCAGCTGGCGATGAAGAAGAAGGCAGCCCAGGCGGAGCAGATTAAACAAATCGCTGCGGAGATCGCGGAGCGGGAGGCCTCCAAGAACGCGCTGGCTTTGGCGAAGGAGGTCGGCGAGGGTAGCGACGCGGACGATGACGAGGTCGTCGACGAGGGTCGGTTGAGGAGACGGCAGCTCGGCAAGATGAAGCTGCCAGAGAAGGATCTGGAGCTGGTGCTTCCCGACGAACTCCAGGACTCGCTGCGGTTGTTGAGGCCGGAGGGAAACCTGCTCAAGGACCGTTACCGCAGTCTGCTTGTCCGCGGCAGGGTCGAGGCCAGGAGACATATCCCCTTCAAGAAGCAAGCCAGGACGAAGCTCACGGAGAAGTGGTCCTACAAGGACTTCAAAATTTAAAATTGGGGCACACACTAGAGGGTATCGGGACAGTAATTCAAAAGCGTGCTTATTTAGGAATTTAACTTGACTCGGTCCTACGAGATGTGCAATTGCAAATAGTTGAGCGACATATTAGCAGCGGAAGAGATCATCTACATAATACTTTACTCTCTCTTCTCTTGGCCTTTGACCCGATAACTCTATTGACTTTGTCGTCCACTGCATTTTGTCCCTCGTACTCCACAGAGTATGCTAACATAAAATAATATCAAGACTCGTTCTCACTTCACCGCAGTTAGATTTAGTAGCTCATCAAATCTAAATCACTGTTAGCAACCAATCCTTTTATCGCATAGAACAACAGTAACGAACCTCTTCCAAAAAGGCCACGCTTGGCCCAGTCCATGGCAAGTAGGATACGTGTCCGCAAGCTAACACTCTGCGCGAAATAAACGGACCGCCACATGTAGACAGCCCACAGACCGCCAGCGAAATTCCATCCTTCTCCCCAGTCGAACACAGCCGAGTTGCCGATGTAAGCTAGGCTGCCGAGATGGTGATACTCAAACGCCTTGTAAACGACGGAATCGATATCGCCGTCAAGGACCATGTTCGCCCTAAGGCCATCCGAGGTGCGGGCCAGCTTGTTGAACTTGTGTGCGAGATACTGGCCTTGCTGGTGGGCGCGCTGCGCCGTAGCGGGCAACGATGTAAGCTTGGAATCGATCTGCTTCAACAGCTCTCTAAGCTCGCCAAAGTCGAGGGTGCCGGACTGGTCCTTGTCAAATTGCTCAAACAGCTTGTCAAGACGCTTCAGATGGCTGATGGCCTGAGGGAAGCGCTTCTTGACGTCGTTGGCCACGTCGCGCCAGTCGCTAAAGTGCAGCTCTAGGGTCTCGGGGTCCTTGCCGCGCTTGAAAGCGACGCCGCGGAGGAAGGTGATGATGTGGTCGGCTACGTTGTTCTGGACCGTTGAGCAGTCGCCGATGGCGTAAACGTCGCCCAGAGGCGTGCCATTGAGGCGAAGGTGGGTGTCAGTTTCGAGAGCGTGTCGGTTTGTCTGCGATGGGCCAAGTTTGGCGGACAGCCGCTTACACAGGTCGGCCTGGGCGACGCCAGTTGACCAGAGACAGAAGCCCATGGGAAGCTCCTTAGTGACGAGGGATCCATCAGGCTGCTTCTGGGTAAAGACAATCTTGTCGGGGAGGACCTCCTTGACGCGGGAGTTTGTAAGGATGTCAACTTGATCGCGGGCAAAGTGCTCTTCCGCGTACTTGGAAACAGCTTCGTCATAAGTGTTGAGGATATGACTGCGGCTCTGGATCAAGTGGACAGAAATCTCGTTGCGGAGGAGCTTGGGAAAATGCTGCGTCAAATCTTCGTTGAGCATGTCGAACAGCTCGGCCGCGAACTCGACACCGGTAGGCCCACCTCCGCTCACAACGAAGGACAGGAGACGTTTGCGCTCTTCGTCAGAGGTTGTCGGTACGCAAGCTTGCTCAAGGTTGTGCATGACTTGGTTCCTAACCTTGCGCGCATCGCTAATGTCCTTGAGAAAGTGGGCATTCTCTAGCCCCTTGACGCCGTGAGGATTGGTGGTCGATCCAACAGCGATAACCAGCTTGTCATAAGGGACGTAGAAACGGGTCTCGTTGCCATGAGCGTCGGTTTGGGAGCATTCGATCAGCTTGTGTGAAAACTCCACGTCCTCAGCCTTTGCGCAGATGAAGTGGCCGTGGACGCGGGAAAGAATACGACGGACCGGTTCAACGAGCGATCGGAGTTCTAGTGTTCCTACGGTGGCAGACGGGAGCATAGGCGTAAACAAAAAGTAGTTGGTTGGCGAGATAACAGTGACGTGGTATTCGTCCGGAATCAGCTCTTTGAGGAGGGCCACGCCACCCCATCCGCCACCCAGAATAACCAGCTTTGGCTTGTCCTTTGCGCTCGTCATTTTTTCAGTATCCAGGTCGTCGATCAAAACTTCGGCAATGGGTAGGTTTTTGGGCCCGCCCTTCTTGGGGTTCAACGCCAGCTCGGACACATTGATCTCGAATTGATCGGGGTGTTCTTTATATGTGGAAGCGTCGTAGATGAAGAACCCTACCACACCTAGGCCGACGAAGATAACACCGCTGCCGAGCCATACTGCGCTACGGTATGCGAAACGCAGGATTCGTGAAGTGGGCTTATGAGGAGGAGTTGTGCCCGAGATGGATCGGAAGGCGGTTCTTTTGGGCAAGCCATGAGCATTGAAGAAAGAGTTGGCAAGAGGCGTCCGGGTTGTTCGTGATCGTTGAGGCAAATTAGCAAATGCACGTCTCTGAGAGGCGATGCTCTGTTGTCGGCATATCGGATAAGCCTTAGTAAGGCTGGTTGGCGAGATCTGGGACGCGGCGCGAGGGAGGCGCATCAGCGCCGATGTAGTAGGAGGCATTTAATTGCCGAGACTCGGTTTTGGAATGTCTGACGATGGAGTCGTGTGTGTATCTAACAGAAAGATGTCATGTCGAAACGAATGTAAGGGCAGCAGTTGAAGCTGTTTGCTGTCTCCTAGACGCGATAGGTACCGAGAACTGGGTCGGGGGGGACGACTTCAAGATTGTGTTTTTCCAAGAAATAGGAATTCAGGCGTACTGGTTACGGGAAACAATGATCTAGCGTTGGCGGGATAGCTCCCTGACATAGGTATGCGTAATGATGCTAGTGCTGGTCAAGTCAGGTCAGGAGCGACAAACCCGAGGAGCTCCAATCCTAGCAGCTACAGCACCTACGTCATTAGCCGGTTAGGCCGAAGAGGACTCTCATGCAATTACCCAGCAAGTCCGACAGCGCCAGAATATTCCAAAGGACGCCGCACTTTCTTCCGCAGCTAGCTACAATCAAAATTTCTTTGCCAGTCTTGATGGTAACTGCATATCGCCGCTGCCGCCGACAACTCGGACTTTCGTTTCGACTTTTGTCCCGAGGTCGGCGCCGCCATTCCAGTCCGCCGAGCTGACAGGATCTTCACGGGATCCTTTCCTGCCAAGACCAGTTTTGCAGCGACACTATGATCTCAGTAAGCGACGTCAAGGACGCATGCCGCGTGCCGGAATCTCCACCACCATACCCGCTTCTCGGTGTCTCGCTCGGCCAATTGAACCTGCATGCCGACCACTAAACCAGAGTCTCTGATTGCGCAGCACCGCGGAAGTCGCTGATTTGGAGACCAGCTTATACTGCGCCGAGCCTCACAACATATAAAGCTTGGTTTGTCCCAGCACTACCATGGATCTTTTACTGACTGGCTTTGCTGTTACTATATAACGCCTTGTTGCAGGTGAGCTACAACCAGTGTAGTTGTAAGATTCCCCAGAAACGCGTGTACGCTAGCATCGGAAATACTTCTTTTCGACCCATCGATCCTCGATATCCGGAAGCATATTGCAAAGAACGATAGTGATGCCAGGGAAAACCTTGGCAAGCCGGTGAACACCGAGCCTTCCTGCGGCGTAGCATGCCAGCACGATCTTCTCCTGTGCAACGCCGTGATCAACGAGAACCTGCACAGCCATGAGTGCAGCACCTCCGCTAGCCATCTGGGTGTCAATCAACAATACCGACTCGTGTTTATCGATGTTATCCGGCAGCTTCAGGTAATGAAGCTCGGGCTCTCCAGTCCGTATGTTGGACTGAATAAGGACTCTGCCTGTCCTCATGTCCGGAACAACCCTCTTCAACGCGGTCTCGAAGGCAGCACCGCCCCGAAGGACAAGTACCGCACTCACGTCGCCGGTCGACTGAAGTCCACTGTACTTGTAACCTTGGGGAGTGGAAATGGTCTTCTCCCTAAACTGTACATTGTTGAGCGCCCTGAAAGAATCAGCCACCTGTATATTTGGACACTCAAAAGTCAAATATACTCACTGCTCGATCAGTAGGCAAGCAAGGCGGTCAAAGTAAAATATAAAGTCTTCTGCCGACGTGTCGATGTTCTGGATGATCGTACACATGGCCCTGAGTTGCGGTGTCTGGTCCAATATCACAACTCGGTCAGAGAGGGGATCGCTGGCAGCAGCTAGCTCAAGCTGTGTTAATGCTGCCCGGTGGTGGGTTGATTTTTCGATTAGCTTCCGCTCAATGTACTGAACAACCATTGCTAATCGATATTTTAGCTGAGTGCTGCTGACCTAACTCTATCGGCCCACTTACCCATTGCGACATGGTTTTCGATACCTCGGGGTACGATAATGTCTTTATAGTCAGTAACAAGGCAGAAGATCTGCGAAGAGAGTGAAAAGTACCTGCTACTTTACGCTGCGGCTCGACGAACTAGAGATGGATGCGTCAGAACAGATGGTAATAAAAGAGCCTGGTCTGAGGGCCGTTACCTTTTCGAAATTGGGCTTCACAAACTTGAACCACTGCTTTATGATGCCCTCGACATCGCGTGCGCGCTCCTTAACATCTCTCAACACTATCCAATACGGTCAGCTTCTATTTGGATAGACAATACCTCCGATCTGCACGTTACCAACCTCTCCGAGATAGGCATGTATCGGCGTCCGCCTCACAGAATATCTAGAATACTGTCAGGTTAAGTTCATATGATGATCTAATGAGAAACATACCCTCATATCCAAGAGATCTATGATGCGGGGGTCATGCAGGGCGAAGATGCCTTCTAAGATAATGACGTGAGGCGAGTAGATGGTTGTGGTTTGGTCCAGTCGTTGATGCTTGGCAAAGGAATAAACAGGAACCTCGGCCCGTTTACTAAGGGTGAGATGATTAGTTTGTTTCACCGTAAAAGCAAACGATCACACAACACCATTATAGAAATCAAGTGCAAATACAACCGCCGTGGCTTGTCAACTTACCCAGCCTTGAGGTCTCGCAAACATTGCACGAGAATGTCGAAGTCGATGGCCTGTAAACACAAGATTAACAACGAGACTGCCCAGCAGGCACAAGAAACAACTCACATCGGGGGCATCAAAGTCAAAGTCGTTGTCAAAGGCTCTCTTGGACTCCTCAGGAGTCAGGGGGTTGTAAAAAGAATCCTGTCATCACTTCGGGTCAGAGGCAGTGGTTGACGTTTGGCGGGGTAGATGCACACATACCATAGACAAAATCACCACCCATGGCAAGTTTAGCTTTCTTACAATGGCATGCGACAGAGTGGACTTTCCTGAGCCGGAACTGCCAGCAATACCGATGATACTGACATCTGCCCACGGTGGAGAGTAGTGAGTCCGCCGTTGGACCGTGACATGAGATTCGGTGCCGCTGTGGTCGTCAGCCATTGTGAGTCGGAAGTCGCCGACGTCGAGGTATGGGGGGGCAATGATATTGGTCGACTGCAGCTAGCAACTCAAGAATCTACAGCCAGGCTGACAAAGGGACAACGATAAGGCACTGCAGAGGAGGAGTTGGGAGCCGCGGATTTGCTTCCTTGCGAGCGGGTGAAGGAGAAGTGGAATTCAAGGACTAAATGAAAACAAGAGGTAAAAGCCAGGGTCCAGAGACCTATCTCCAGATAAGCGCTGAGGGGATGTTGGACTTCGACGAGCCTGGACAAGTGGAGCTTCTGAACGTTAAGGGTCAGGTAGTGGGAAGTGAACTTTTTCCTCGCTGTAGTTGTCTTGCAAGTCGTTGCCCAAAACCTCAGCAATTGGAGGATATTGTCGCTTTTCTTGGGTCTTAACAGTACGCCTCAGGAGACAAGGAGAAAAGGAGTAGCGACGTAGAAGTAAAAGTGCTCGTGTGTTATCTTGCCTCTTGGGCGTCGCATGGCGCTCATGGTCTTGACGCTTGCAACACCTCGCTGACGGCCAGGCACGTTGCTCAGTTTTACAGCCTAGGGAGGTACCTCGGTTTTCGTACTTGCCTCTCTCTGACTATGCACTTCTAACCCCGTCAAGACCGCTTGCAGCTTCTGCTCATGTGGCTGGAATTACATAATCATGGCTGCCCCACGTCAAGCACCGGCCTGCAGCCGCAAACTCTGGAACCCAATAAAGCTCCGCTCCAGCCTCTTTCTCTTTGTTCAGACGTTTCCTTCTTCTTCCACATCCAATCCCATTTCTCCCTCAGTTTCTTTCAACCCTTCCAAACCACAAACAAACGGGAGTTCGAACGGCCACTCAAATGTGACTGCCGCCCATAGTCTGATCCTGGCTTGCTTTTCCTGCTTTGCGCACCTCCCATCGCATGTCAGGACTGCCGGACATCAACGACCCAACAGCGATAGCAGTCTGGAACAGAGCTGCTGCTCGTCTCGTTCGGGAGACCTTGGAGAGAATCATGGTCCGTTGAGCTCCTGTGTGCCCTTCTGTGGGCTCTGGTCCTGTCTGCTCTTGCTGGACAGCAGCTAAGATGTCTTTCAGACTTCGTCTGCGTCAACGGCCACCCCAATGAAGCATGCCTTCGAGAGGCGTGTTCAGGACGTTCAGTCGCCCAAGAGGTAAGCCTCAATCGTCCTCTTCCTGCCCACTAGCCCGGCGTTAGCTTTCGAGCCGCCCGCCTTCCCTCCCCATCCAGCTCACATGATGATCGACTATCAAATGGGAATCTCTCCTAGCAATTACCATGCGGAGAACTCGATATAAAATTTACCCTGACACCTTGCTGTTTTCCATCTTTGCATCTATTGGCGCACCAAAAGAGGAGACTTTTTGCTAACGGAATTCTCCAGCGATATCAACGCCCTGATCCTCGACTACCTAACTATGGAAGGCTATCCTAATGCTGCCGCAAAATTCAGCAAGGAAGCCAATATGCAACCCCACCAAATTGACGAGACGATCAAGGTTCGTCAGCAGATTCAAAAGTCAATCCACACCGGAAGCATTCAGTCCGCTATCGAGGCGCTGAACGATTTTGACACGGAGGTATGTGGTACCATTTTTTTTTCTACACCCCTCCCGAATTTGCCGTGATTAGACATCGAGTTATCATGCACCACTCATAGAACCTTCGGGTCTTTGATGAGAAACAACCACCTTTTTTATGAGCTTCCATTTACTCTTCTACTTTTCAATACGTATTTGCTTCCAGGTACACTGTCTAACAAACGCACCAGATTCTGGACCATGATCCGACTTTGCACTTTGCTCTGCTCCGTCTACAGCTTGTCGAGCTGATTCGTTCGTGCACAAACACACCTGGCGGTGATATCACTCCCGCCTTGACCTTCGCCACAAATCACCTTGGTCCTCGGGCGCCAACAGATTCCCGTTTCCTCAAGGATCTCGAAGAGACTATGGCATTGTTGATCTTCCCTCACAATGACCTCGAGCCTCAGTTGGCAGCCATTTTGCACCCAGACCTGAGACGGGATGTGGCAGACCATGTCAACAAGGCCATCTTGCAGCGTCAATCTGAGCGTAGGGAAGCGGCGATTCGACAGCTAGTCAAGATGCGGGCATGGGCCGAGTCGACTGCACGAGCTGAGAAAAAGGCTCTTCCTGAACGAATCGGGCTCGGTTTGAATGGAGACGAGAGCGATGGGCACGACCAAATGCAGCTGTCCTAGTACGATGAAGCACGAGCATGCTGCAGGAAAGAGAACAAGCACTCGTGTGGATGCAACAGGATGCTGTGTATGTTTTTTCAAAGGAATCACGGCCTGAGTAACTGGCCTCGGATAGCGCATGGAGTTACAGAGCAAGGTTTGATTTAGGGACATGGACAACAGGATTGTAGGTATTCTGCAGGCGTTGGGCATTCGGTCAAGACTGAGTTGATTATGGTACATGCATTTCATCGCGGGTGTACCGCATCGGGTCAAACAGAAGACCGACACGAGTAGAAACAATACCGCTCGGATTTTTCACTACCTTATTTCTCAACCTTTCTAGTGACACCGCGATCTGTCGTTATTCGATCTGGCTCTTTTCGGGCTTCCCCATCAACGTTGAGTGGTTAGTTGAGCGAACTGTCTAACGGTGGCCCGGCTATCCAATCAGCATGCAAACAAGTTCGCTTACAACTGAACAGCCGTATAGACGTTCAAAAGCTCAACATCGTTTCTCTGTTGTGTGTGTGACAGTAATGAGGTTCATTGTAATTAATCACATCAAGTGTAAACAGGGCCATTTCTTGGTTCAGTGCCCTGGTATAGGAAGCAAGAGACGCCTTATATTATATACATTTGGTACAACGTCTATTTGGTGCGGATATGCTTGAGCTTGTTGGGCGAGTAAAGGAAGTTGTTGGCATAGGCCTTGGGCTTGATTCTCCTCGACTGAGGCTCCGACACGAAATATTCGTAGCCTTGCTTCTCGGCGAAGTGGATGGCGTCTTCCTTGGTCTTGAAGTTGAGCTTGGTGCCTTGCATCATGTCTCCTGATGATTGCCAGCCCATCAGAGGATTCTCCCATCGGTGGCCCTTGGGGAGGATGTCCCAGTCCATGCGCCAGTGGTGTCCCTGCCAGTTGCCGGACTGCGTCGCGGGCTTGGCCTCCTGGTAAATGCTGCACACAAGCCGTTGTTAGTAACCAACTCCAAAGAGCCTTCACGCCAAACGTGTGTGCGTACCGGACGCTGCGTGCCTGGAGCTCAATGGGGGCACCAGAGATGACGGCGGCTGGGAGGTAGGGAACGTCCTCGCTGGCGTTTTGAAGCTTCTTAGGAACAGGTGTGAAGGTGCTGTGACAGAGTTTAGCAACGATTCCCGTTTTCATATCGACCTTGAGAGGCTCTCACGAGGTCGCCTTGTCGGCGGTAATGGTATAGTCAGGTCCGTTCTGTTCAGTAGAGGGGATTGCGGCGGGCACTCCTGTGGTGCCGGGCGCGAGCTGGCTCTCGAATCGGCGAGCGGTCATCGCGACAGAAACTCGGACATTGGCACTGCTGCGGAGCAGGCAAGCTGCATTGTAGGCTCGGAGCGATGCCATTGCGACGATTCGCTCCCTCAATTGATGTAGGGAGACAGCGTTGTCGTCGTTGGGAGAATTGGTGTTCAGGGAATGTGGTGGTGGTGGTGGTGATTGACGGTCGGCATTCATGGTGAAAGGGCCTTGCTGGGGCTCTGTTTGGGGTGTGCTGATTGGTCGCCGCAAGAACCTTGACCCGAAGAAACGAGTGCTTTTCGTCAAACCTCACTTCGGCACCGGAGCCTCACCTCGTCCACATTACAGCATCAGCCTCCCTCACGTCGAAATCGAAGTCAATTGATCCCGCTCAATTGACTGCTTGCGCTGAGCGATCGACGGATCCCTCCCTCATCGTTTTTTGCGACTCCGATATCCAGACACCATGAGCTTCGTCCCTCGCCGCGGTCTCTCGACCCTTATTCCCCCCAAGGTGCGCGTCCTCCCTCTTGCCAAACAGCCGGTACCCGGAACAAGGTGCTAACTTATTAATACCAGGTCGCCTCTCCCAAGGTACGATGTCTACCTGATTTTTCAATGTTTTGATGCTTGCGATTTCGTTGCGAAGATTACCCTGTCAACCGGAGCCTGGGCGTGGAACCTGGAGAAGGAAGAAACGCGGACGGGGCTATTCGGAGCTATGGGAATATCAACATGGGCTAACATACGGATCTCTTTTCAGGCCCTTGGCGCGGACCCCAACGCTGTTCGCATGCAGCGCGTTGTCAACTTCTACGAGAAGCTCCCCCGTGGCCCGGCTCCCGAGGCCAAGGCCACTGGCATCCTCGGCCGTTACGCCGCTAAGCACTTCAACGGCAAGAACGCATCGGCGAAGCGTATGTGTTTCCCGGTGGTGATGCCCCTCTAAGTAATGATCTGACGTTTCAACGCAGCCATCATTCATGCCCTCGGCCTTCTCCTCGTTATCGGCTACGCCCAGAACTACTACTTCCACCTCCGTAAGTCGGACCATCCGCTCCACTCAGATGAGTAAATGAGCGAATCAAAAGATCTGCTACAGACGATGCTGACGGTTTTCAGGCCACCACAAGAACAATGCCCACTAAGCGACTCAAAGTCACCAGTTGTAGTCCAGCTCAGGGCTGTGTAATGGCATTGGGACTGTGTATATAAGAATTAGAATCCGTTTCCCGGGAGGATGCTCCTCGGCAAAATCTCGTTTGTGTGTACGTCATCAGCTGAATGTAACCCGACGAAAGACCCAGTTCCTCTGTCCACCAGAGTGCCAACACGCAGAGCCAGTTGCCGAAAGATCGGGTCAACTAGGTAGTGGAAGATTAACTGAGTGCTATTGCGTAACACTCCACTGCCCCTCTGTCACAAGGGACAGATTTAGTATGATGTTTGAGGGAAACGGATCGTTGGTTGTGGTCCAGCGAAGTAGGCACTCACTCATTGACTTTGGTTCGCTCTGAGTATGCAATCTACAATTAGTCTAATGCAAGGATTTTATTAGCAGTCCATTCTTTCAGAGTCAACAAAACACCCATCAGTTGGGGCCTGCGGATGGGCTGCGTCAGCCTTTGAACCCCAGAATGCTCAGACCATGGCGTTGCTCGTCAATGCAGAAATGTCCCAGAATAGCCTGTTTCCACATCGGGGAATCCCGCGTTGACTCTTGCCCGCCCGAGCTGACCGTTGCACAGTGCTAGTAGCGCACAGTAAGCTGCGTATAGGCACTGTCACAGCCTTCCACTGACCACGTCGGCGGGCAGGACCCCATCGGATCCACCCATTTTCCTCACCTGCCTCCCCCATTGCTCTGGCTTGCTCCCCTGCCGCACGCTAATCCCTGATTAGGCGACTGCAGCTCCTCAGGAAAATCGACTTCACAACCATCACAGCCGCATAGGTGTGTCCTTCTACTACCGCCTCACTCCCATCAGCCCAGCGCTCCTATTTTCCCTACTCCCAAACCTCCCCCCCAAACAATTACCTTGACGACGATATACGTCCTGCCGGTAGGGGAGTCTCGAATCCGCGACTCTCGAGATCGCATTAACCCCGCGATCCGATCCCCGACGCCCGATTTCCGCGACTCGTCGCTTAGTCGACAATCAACCGCGAACCCGACCATACCAACTCATCCTCTACAATACCCATACTTGTTCTCTCTCGGTCAAACTCGAGTTCGGAAAAGCCCAAATTCGCTCTTCCAGCGCAGAACATCCGACGACGTATGATGGCAACTGAAGCCACCCTTGCCGCCCCCGTTGATGCTTCTGTCCATTCTGACTCCAAGCTCGTGAGTTCCTTATTTTCCCCTCTTTCAACTTCACCGCTGGCGCCAGCCTCATTGCCCGATCATCTGCATGACCCCCCTCCCACTTGTACCCCATGCACACATCTCCATATCTGCCGCCCCATCACCTGCCCTGGCTAACCTGGGATCCTTCGGCAACCCCGTCAAGCAGACTAACGACGCCAACGACGACTCACATCATGTCGGTCCAGACCGCGCGAATCTGAACGGTAGTCCCGCCGTCGATGACTTAGAAAATAAGCACATCACCGGTGTTGAAGATCAGGTCGTTTCGGCAGATGTTAGTGTTAGTGGGGGATCGGATACGGAAGCATCGCGGGCTGCCCCAGATGGAGAGAAGGGCCACGGAAGGACGTCGTCGTCTGTCAAGAAGCCTGCAACGTTCAAGGCTGTGTCGGTCAACAAGAAGTTTCTAGCCTCGAAAGGACCCACGAGTACCTCGACGACCAAGCCGGGCGACAAGACGAACTCAACGTCGATCTTGAGCTCCTCTCCATCGGGAACCTCGACCCTCTCATCGAGACCGAGACTTGTCGCAAAGTCAGGAACTGGCACGGGCTCCACTCCACGCGCCAACTCGGCTGCCAACGGAGGCCAGTCCGCTGCAGGCCCTGACCCCAGCGCAGTGTGGAACAAGAATCGACGTAAGGCTACTTGGGTGTTGTTGACAGTGGTTGCGGTCGGTTGCTAACGAGATATTTCAGCCGTTCCTGTTCCGGAACCCAAAAAGCTAACAGATGAGGAACTTAAGAAGTATGGCATTCATATGGCAAGTCGACTTGCTCCTGAAAGCGGGCCGGCGCAAGGAAATTGGGCAGACATAGAAGACGACGACGATGACTGGGCTCCCGAGACCATTACCTGGACGGACGGCACCAAAACTACGCTCCCGCACCCAGACGAAACGCCTGCCCCACCGCCTGAGCCGATCCCAGCGCCACCGAAAGAGAAAGTGATAGAGAAGCCACAATCACCCGCACCACCGCCTCGCACTACCGCGTCACCTTCTATAAAGTCTGGAGGCCTTGCTTCGGGGAAGGGGTTGATACTCAAGGCCGGCTCTGCCGATAAGCCAACTCTCGTCGCAAAACCGCCTGCGCCTCCGACTCCAGTAAAATCACCGTGGGCGCCTCTTCCACCCATTGAGAAGGCTCCGCCGGTTGTTGCCGAGCCACCCGCGTTCCAAGCCGGCACGCGATACTCTGCAAAGGACCACTCCGCCAAGATCAACACCCCGCCGCCTCACCATGCTAAAGAGATCGCCGCCGATGACTTCAGTCGATCCGCTTGGAGAGACGGAGCCGCCGCGGGCGGAAACAGGGAACTCTTCAATTCCCAGTCTGGACGTTACGAGCCGGCCCCTGACCGAAGGGGCTCGATGCGGTCCGATGCCCACTCTAGACAGCCTGCCTTACTGCAACGTCCATCCCAGTCTGATCACCCTGAGCCGTCCGCTGCTTTTCAAACCAGTAGAACTTCGGTACCCGATGGTTCCTATGGCAGGCGTCGCGGATCTTCTGTTGCTAGTGGTGGAAGTGGATCCTACCTGCAACGACCGGGCAAGGGCCATGAAATGCCGGGACCTCCCCAAGACCTGCTGAACGCGCGCAGAGGTTCCATGGCTGGTTCGGTTGATAGCCCTATTTCCCCCCGAAATTTCTCACCCTCGGGCCTGCAACAGGGACCTCGAATGCATGGCAACCAGCAGTGGCAGCCGCGACCTTCGCCAGGAACTAATCATGCTAGCTTGCACACAACCAGCTCTCAGCCGGTGCAACCACCACCCATGGCCCGCTTGGAGGAGGACCTTGAACTACAGAAGAAGATTATGCGCGAGAAGCGTGAGTTGGCAATGCAGAGAAGGCGCGAAGAGGAAGCCCGTGAGGAGGCCGCAAGAAAAGAGCGCATCAAGGCGAAGCTGGAAGCCATGGGGCCGCCTCCGGAACGCAAGAGCGCCAAGAAGGATTCGTCGCCCGAAGATATCAAAGCCGTTCAGGCGCAACAGCAATCTCAACAGGACGGCTCTTCTGGCCTCAACGCGGGCTCACAGCCGTCAGCAGCGGGCCCTGGCTCGTCAATTGTGTCAGCAACTGCCTCTCACGTGAGTGACAAAACGTTTAGCGACAGACCTACCACTGCCAGTGGCGAACACGGCAGAAGACATGGTGGCCAAGAAGCGAGGCAACCCAGCTCTTGGGTGGCACCTTCACCCCAGCAGGAACGGCTTCCGACTTGGAGCTCCTCTAGTCCTCAAGCCCCTCGTAACGTATGGGGATCACCTAATAACGATCGTGGACTCGGTAATGGAACTTTCAACACTGACTTGGGTCGTCTGGCCGAGTCGCAGGTGGCTCAATTGCCTAGCCAGCTTCCGCCGGCCCAGGCCAAGAAGGGCCCTGCGCCCATCGCACCACCCAGCGCGCAGCGAGGTCTACCTCAAGTCCCGACTGTCAACCAGTCTCGCCCTGCATCTGGAGGTACACGTGAAGTCAGCGAAATGAGGAACAGATGGGCCAATTCGGTGTTGGAAGGGGATAAGACGGCTTTGGATGAGAGGAGAACACAGCGTCTCGAGCGTGATCGAACTCTTGCTGACCGCGGGCTCACTATCGAACAAGCTCAAGCCTCGATCAAGGATACATGGCGGCCTTCCGGGGACGGCAGGCGCGATCCCACCCACGTCGTTCACCACGATGTCTCCGGTCACGGGCTTGACCAGCCCCCAGTACCTACCGGTTCATCAACAGGTTCAATTCTGCCCTCTACCGGACCATCAGCCGCGACCCAGTCTCGAACCTCTTCAAGATTCTTTCCCCCCAAGGACAGCAGACATGATTTTTCAGGTGCTCATACGGAGCCGTCGAGGCCTAACTCCCCTTCACCGCCGCCTCCGGATATGCTTGGTCACCCCGCTTTCGACGGAGACGCGCTTCATCCTCATGTATCCCTTCCTCGCCCGCACCCTGTTGTGAAGCTACCTCCTTCAGCTTCAGCTACGCAACCTACGGCTTCTAGAAACTCTGGGCAATTCGCTTGGGCTACCCCCGCCGGGTACAAAGACGGACCTGTGTCTCACCCTCGTGGGCCTTACCAGCCGAGCCATGTGCCGCATCGGTCGCAAGATCAAAGTGGAAACGAGAATTGGCAAGATCGTATAAATAACCTGCTCACAGGACGAAAACCGAACTCTCCCCCGAAAGCACCGGGTGTTGAGCCCGTCACTAAAAGTGCACTCGATTACTCGGGCCATTTTAATCCGGCTACCGTCTCTCTACCTCGTTCGGCTGCTGAGCAGTTCGCAGATGACGTGAAGTCCTTTAACACGAAACCAATGGCCGAGGAGTGCTTTGAGGAACAAGAGATGGGGTCGCTCCCTCAAATTCGACTTCCGCATAAAACGCCAGATGCCGCGTGGCATCCAGCTACCGCACCAACCAAGCCATTGCCGAGGCGTTTCTGGGTGTCCGATGTTGAGACAGTCCGCTCACTGTGGTTCCCTCATGAAATGTCGACCAGCGGCAGCGTGTATCGCGTCCTGCTCCCTGGAATGGCCGAGGCCAAGTCCGTTCCCCTTCCATTCTCTCGATCGGGTAGTAACCCTCGGCGATCCAATGTGCGAGGTGCGCAGCGTGGGTCTGGCCCAACTCATCGAGGCGGTAAAGGCCGCGAGCCCTCTTACTCTGGCGAGACAAGCAACTCAACGCCCCCTCCCAGCCGGGGAGGCCGTAGCAGCTATCGTGGACGCGGATCCGAAAATTGGTCTCGCCGAACGCCTCCCACGCAGGCAGCATGAGGAAATGCTGTCAACACGACACTTTGAAAATACAACAACACGTTGTTCAGTCGTGGTGGGCAGCATGCACTACCAATCGTAGCCGACGAAATCGAAGGCCACACCAAACGTACGAATACTGTTCATTATGCGTAACTACGCATGCGCGGACTGCTCCGCTACGAGCGATAGGCAGTAGGTACCATCTCGAAACTTTGATTATTTCCGCAGGGAGCGTTTTGCGTTTCCGGATCTCGATGACCCGCGGTCGACTGGACTGATTTGGTCGGCACATGAGCATGACCGATTTCATACCTCGTAGGAACACAGACAAACTGGTGGTGTAAAGATGAGGACGGACTCTACCGCTCTTCACCACAAACGAAAAACTTCAACTACTCCCACCGACCAATTTCACCTACTCGACGCGAACACCGAATACCTGCTAGATCCGCAGAGAAAAGCGCTAGGCACATTGCTCAGGGTCAGGTGTTTCTTCGTATGATTGGTTTCCATGACACGAATAACGAAACGGCTGGAGAGAGGGCCATGGAAGGGGTGACGGGGGCCCAGGGGGATACTGGAGGGTAATGCAGTCTTTTACAACTTCTGATGTGAAAGGAAGTAGCATTACAGGGCTCGAATAAGAGTGATTGATCGGTGTCCGGCATATACTCGGTACTGCCAGATCAACGGGCAGTAACTGCTTGCGGGCAGATGAATGTCCTTGGTAATTGCAGCTCAGAAAACACACAAACAAATGATGAAACCACCAGCGGTTTCGAGTCCCTTTGCAATTTTTCACATGTATTGATGCCGGGTAGAGGATTCTATGCGTAGATGTTGTCAATGTTCAACGTTGCTCAGTGTTGCTTGTAAGCATGCCGTGTGTCTTTTAACAACTCACGTGCCAACTCTTAACTTCCATCGAGAACATAAGCATACCTTGGGCGTAAGCTTCACATCGTAGCCTATGGCAGATGAACCTTTGAGGACAGTTGACTCATAACAGTTCAGCTCCGCCAATAAGTCAACGCGGTGGCTGCGCGAATTTGGACAGCTTTGTTTTACGTCATCTTGGAAAGGAGTCAATGTTAACATCATGTCGATTCTTCTCGGCGAATTGCTGAGCCGTCTTAGCCACTGCAAGTCCCCTTCTTCGCAGAGTTGGCCGTTGCAACACCCATGAAACTGAGTGCCGCGTCTTCAAAGTCTCTGGTGATGGACTCACTCAAGGGACACGCTTCAGTTTAAAGAAGAGGTATATGAGCAAGAGGAACCCTAAGATCTTCGCTGAGGTTGAAAAAACAGGAAAATGCGGAGGGCGGAGGATGGGAAAGGCGGGAAGGTGGGACAGAGGGCTGGCTTCTCGATGCCAGATTTTCTTTTTGATCCTCGATTTTTGAATCACGTTTCCTCAGGAAACGAGTTACGAGCAGAATGGGAAGGGGGAGGACAGCTATCTAGTGGGGCTTTTGGTCGTTTGCGGCCAAAGTCGTCACGGAGGGGAAATGCCGACTTGGACCTGGCTAGCGGTATAGGAGAGTTTGTGGCTTGAGTCTGAGACCTCACTTTGAAATGATGGCGGCGGTGGCCGAGAGCGGTAGGCCCCTTGCGGCCGAAGAATGTCTCGTGCATGTCACCATGTTCTAATGGTGATTGATTGGTGCCTATTTTGTTCTCACTGTCCCCATTCTCGTCCTATCCTTGCTATCACTGCTATATTTCAACAACACGGCACAAGAACAATAAAAGCTGACCTCCGCAACAGGTTTGCATCCGTCGAGAGTGGTGACCTCAAACCGTAGCGTCCAAATGAACTGGTAGGTTGATCCATTAGCAAGGCGTCTGGCTGTGACTTCAATTTCCACCTCCATCGGCTCGAACGGGATAAGACACATAACTGCAACTATCGGGAAATTCTGAGTCCGGCTCCAGGTTGATGATGTTCTCAGCCGATCAAGTCAGGTCTGATACACTCATAGTTCAAAGAACTATAAATGATCTTTCATTCCACGACACTGTTTCCGTGTACCCGTGATAACTGCCACAATATATCTGCCGTGCTATGGTTGTGTGGCAATGAGACTCAATGTCCTAGTACACCTTTTCCTTGGGGCTCTCAACCCATCAATCGCGGCACCGAACATTTGCTGGTCCGCAACCTTATTATTAATAAACATACGCCAAGTCTCCAATCCGCACAATCTAGACTTCCTGAATTTGAGTATTCGAGAGAGGTGGCTGGGTCGAGACTGGAAGAAAGCTTAGCGGCGAACGAACCGAGGGTATTTGTCTTGGTCAAACCCCCCTAACGACAGTAATCACTGTTCCCTCCAGTCAGAAACAGGGATCATGGAGGTGCCACTAAACGTCGCACAACAAACCGTCCTAGCATTCTTTGATTTTCGGTTCTCATAAAGAAAAAAAGTTGCCTCTTGTGATTCTAAACCGTTCATCTCGCCGGAAGCGGCTCAGCCATTGAGCGCGGTTAGATCTTCCACCCAAAATGGAAGAGTGGGGTTTAGGCAGATCCCCAGGAGCCTATCGTCCGTTGGAAGGCGTAATCTAGTTCACATCCGGAAGGGGGAAAAGAAGACGAATAGACCGTCTCTTCAAAACATAAACGTATTATTCCCCACGGCCTGGCTCCCCCTTCCCCCCTCCTCCAGCGAGTGATCCTTGGATTCATAATGCCTCCGTCGTTTCCGTTGACCTGTGTGTCTGTTCCTGAGCTATCGCAGTGCCCTGACGTCGACATCAACTTTGATGGCGGTTCCGATGTCAGAAACTCTGCCAGCATGCGCCGTAAGCCGAAATCCCCAATGTCTCCTGACAATATCTTGCATGAGATAGGTGTCGCTAACCCGTGTGGTGCTCGATCAGGTTCCATGCATGTCGCAGGCGCTCAATATGACCACATGTGCCGTGGCCGACCTGACTTGTCTATGTCAGGATGCTACCTATATCAGCGTCCTGCGCAGTTGCGTGCGCACGTCCTGTGATTTAGAGTATTCATATAGTGAGATGCCCTTATCTTCCATCGTTTTCCCGCTTTTCAATATAGCTTCATATCCTTATTATACATATTCCTATCTTTATATCCCCATCGTGAGACTTTTTATCGATCATTCGCGCCGGGAACTGACATCCTAATCCCTCCCAGTGGCTAAGAACGTGACATGGACGCGGTGCGGATTCCCTTACAGCAATGAGACGGGAACCGCGGCCGAAAGGTTCATCCTGGTAATAGGCACTGCATTCTTCGTCCTCGTGCGGCTGCTCACTAAGGCACTGAGACTATCGTCTTGGGGAGCGGATGATGTGATGCTGATCATCGGATATGTAAGTTTGTCTCGGCTCAATTCATGCTCTGCTTTTATTGACCCAACACGCAGATCTTCTCTCTCTCATTCGCTATCTCGAGGTTTCATGGTAACTTCCCCTAAGCTTCGCGTCTATCCTTCCTTTTGTCCTGGCGTCTCTGATGAGTCTCCAGGTCATCAACTCGGCGTCGGTCGTGATGTGTGGGCACTGTCATCCGAACAGATTACTCGGTTCTTACATGTAAGCCTTCCTGCACCGCACGGGGTTGCAACTGCGTATTACTTACAGAAAATGAACCGACCAAGACTAAACAAAGCCATCACAGGGGTTTTTCGCCTTCGAAGTAATATATACCCTCGGCATTTCGACCCTCAAAGCCTCCTTCCTCTTCTTCTATATCCGCGTCTTCAGCATGGTGAGCAACACCTTCACGGCCGTACTGTGGGCTACCCAGGCCTTCAATATTGCCTTTTGCATTGCCTTCACGATCGCCAACCTGGCCCAGTGTCAGCCCTTCAGCAACGCCTGGAAGGCATGGGACGGCAAGCACCCGGGTCATTGTATCAATGTTTACGCCATGTTCGTCAGCCACGCCGTCATCAACATTGCCCTTGATGTATGGATATTGATACTACCAACCACACGAGTTCTGTGGCTTAATATGAGGAAGAGGCAGAAGGCGGAGATTATGCTCATGTTTGGACTCGGGGCGTTGTAAGTGTGGAAAACGAGCGGTCCCCGTCACCCCTTGCCTTATCAACGTATTTCTTTTGTCAGTCCCCTTACATATTGCCTGCTGTACAGGCGTGAGAAAATCCCATAGCTAATCTGTGAATTTGTGAAGCATCGCGGTTGTTAGTTCTATTCGACTAAAAGTCCTAGTAAGCTTAGAGGGCTTCAGAGATCCCACATGTAAGCATGAACCGCCTTCCCGGCTGCTGCAAACTCAATCTTGGCTTCTCCAGGGACTTTTCTGAAACTTCTTACACAGACGATGCATTCTATCTCCATATGTGGTCCTATATAGAGCTTTCTGTGGCGGTAGTCGTTGCTTGCCTTCCGGCTGCGCGCCAGCTTTGGCGACATTTAATCCCTAAATTCCTACGATTAGTCAGTCTTGGATCGCCAGCCTTCCAGAGCCACGATCCACAAGTCAGCTCTACCAAAAGGCTTAAAAACATACTATTCATAAGCACCGGCCAAGACAAACCTACACCAATGCGTGGAAACGAATTCGCATCCTATGTCACGCAGTCAAGTTGATGTCTTCAATAGGTTCATGCGCCGCTTTGACAGTTTAATACCATGTATCATTTCAAGTTGCGATCAGCTTATAGATTTCAAAAACCTGTGTAGAGACGATATAGTAATTTTTGGTGTGGACGCCATAGCCGTAAAGACTTTCAAGCCCAAGCTGTATATATATTGATGCTCTTTCCTTCTCGTAAGTTCCTCTTAAATGACAAAATTTGCGCCAACTATGTCTTGAAGACAAACAAGTTCGTTTCCCGACCTCCACCGACTACACTACTCTTGCTCTCCGGCGAGTAACAGTACTTGAGTAGTAAATTTGGTTCTCTCTAGTATATGAATGTGACCATGGCAGTTTGTCGGGCTCGGCGCCGGACAGGTGGATACCAGCGGAGCCAGTTATTAAACTATGCCTATCAGAAAATGGCGGCTCCGGTCTAGACAACCCAAGCTCCGTACAAACAGCGTTGCTCTACTTGGAAAGTACCTAAGGAAGGAAGAGAGGGACTGAGAGAACCCATCTTGGATCAAAGAGGTGCCGAATTCAAGTTTATCCTTCAGGGTTAAATTTAGCAGAAACATCGCGCTCTAGCAGGGGGCTGTGCCGTATCAAAAGATGTGGGTAGGTAAGGTTGGTTGTTCAAAGTGTTATCGATGTTTGGACCGCAAATCCGCCGAAAACCCACAGATAGGCACCCGTCACTCCCTGCCCCGTCAAATGGGAGGCCGGTCTCAGGAGCCACTTGGAGAGCGGGTTCCAAGTTGATACGGTGAGCAGAGCGATGGATCGACATAACAGACACGAGCGATCAAAAACATGAGCCAGCGCGAGGGACATTGTCATTCTGTAAACCTGTATTCCCATTCCTTCACCCTCATCCGCCCGCCCGTCTAGCTATACGGGCACCGGTTTAGATAGGCATATCGCTCCTCAACGCGCCATACCATGTCTGCCAGATCCTCCGTTCACGACCCGGGCGACCCCAGTCAGCCGCTACTCGCTCAACAGCGGCAACGTATCGGCACGTTCAACTTTCCTATGCCGTCGTTCGGTAGTCACCGACGCGTGTCGCCTCTGTCGATACGGCGCGCCTCGCTGCAAGAGGTGCACCCTCACCACGGCGATGTCGAGCCAGTGCTGCCCGCCGCCCCTGTCGCCGCTCACCACGAGACACGTCTACACAAAGCCCAATGGGCGCTGAGCGACAGGCCACCCAATACGTGGGCCCAGATCCGTCACAATTGGCGCGAGGAATTTGCGTAAGTATTCCCTCGGTGCCATTTATCAAGCGAGGAAGTCCTGGGAGCTGATCAAAGACAGCGAGTTTTGGGGCACGTTCATGATCCTGCTCTTCGGCGCGGGCGTCGAGTGTGAGACGCGGCTGAACTACCGCGGGCCTGATATCCGTGAGAACGCTGGAGACTTCCTGCAGTGCCGGCTGGCGTGGGCAGCTGGAGTCTCGATGGCCGTGTGGATGTCCGGTGGTGTTTCGGGCGGCCATTGCAACCCGACCGTGACTGTGGTGCTGGCCTTGTTCCGCGGCTTTCCCTGGCGCAAGGTGCCGGGCTTCCTGGCGGCGCAGGTGCTGGGCGCCGCCTTCGCTAGCCTCGCTGTCTACCTCAACTACGCGACCAGCATTGCCGCGTACGAGGGCGGCACTGCCCGCTCCCTGGCTGGCGAGCACGCCACCGCTGGCCTGTTTTTCACATTGCCCGCCACCGGTCTGCCCTACGCCGGCGCCTTCTACACCGAGTTCCTCGCCTCGGCTACGCTAGTCGCCATTGTCTTTGCTCTGGCAGACAAGAACAATCTGGCCCCGCCTAAGGGCACCCAGCCTTTCGCCATGTTCCTGGCTCTCCTGGCTATCGGCTCCGCTCTGGGCATCAACACAGGATATGCCATGAACGGTGCCAGAGACACTGGCCCACGTATCGCGCTGGCCCTTGTTGGCTACGGCTCTGTCGTCTTCACTCACGACTACTTTTACTGGCTCTGGGCGCCGTGGATTGCCGCCATCGCAGGTGGCGTGGCGGGCGCCAGTGTGTACGACGCCTTCATCTACACTGGAAGAGATTCGCCTTTTAACATTCCCCGGAAGGAGGACGACGAGATATTGTAAGCCGGCATTACAGAGACGGAGCGCAAGATGATTCAAGGTTAGATGGATAGTACGTTAACTTATGAGACATGATACTGTGCTGGGATAGAGGTAATATGTGCTGAGATGTATGAACAGTGCAAGAAGAAGGATTATAGACGATAGATGGGCAAACAGGCAAGTCAAAGTCACAACAAAGCTTCAAAATCCGGCCTTTTCTATTGAACGGTAATTCCGGTCTTTAGGTTGGGTTGGCTCTAACGACGCTTGTATGTTGTGGCCGAATGTCGATACCGCTATTCGGTTTTCATATGGTTTGTTCCTTTTTTTAAATACAAAATTGAACTTTACTTTAGCATTCTTCTGACTTTTGGATGATATTCACGATAAGCAAACTGCCGGTCGTGTAGTTGCGATGTTAACACTTTCATAATAGGTGGCCAATTGCGGGGGACCAGGTTTCAAGATTAACCGAAACTAGTAAACTAAAGGAGCCTTTTGAAAAGAATTACAGACGATTGGTGTTTGGTTGCATTGCTTTCTGAATCACTGTCATTGGCCGCAGTGAATACCCGCTCAAGGTCTTGAGATTATATTAGCTGCGGCATTGGTAGATCGAAAGAATCGGATGGAAGGGCCTAGAAATGATCAGAAGTGGAACTGCAACTGGATGGCAGGATTCATCATTCTGAAATAGATCTCGGTGTCTCGGGAAGTTCTACTATAAAAAAAGAAAGAGAAAGAATCTACTCTATCAGATGGGAAATCCGCCGAGGCTATGCTAGATGAACCCCAGCAGGTCCTTCTTAGGTCTTTGCACTAAACTCCGGTTTTCCTTCTCCCCCTGTTCAATATGTTTATGGCCATCTCCTTGGAATCTTTTACCAGCTGTCTTGTCCTTCTTCTGGGAATCACCACCATCTTTGGGGTTTCCCGGTTCGGGATACTTCCTCAAATGCTCCACGGCCCAGATCAGTTCTTCTGAAAGCACCGGCGGCGTCCGACCATTACCCCTGAGCGTAGGCAGGCCCGCAACTCGGAACAGCCAGTTAAGCCATTCAAACGTCTCACCCGTCTCCCACTCAATATCGTGGAACTTTCTCTTCTCCCTACTAACTAACACCTCTCGTTCTCTTTCCCAGCGTTCCTGCTCCTCGACAGGAGGCAGCGCAACGGAATGCCTTCCAGAAAATACACGAGCCAATGCAACGGCCTGGTATTCAAAGCTCCGAAACGTCAATACCCGCGGCATACCCACAATCCCAAGAGTCTGGAAATCTTGGAAGAAGGTATGCTGAAATGTCTTGATGAGCTTGCCTTGCTTGTAGTCGTACAGAGCCCTTCTGCCGTTGACCTCGGAATTCCAGAACGGATAAGAAGGTTTGTATCCCGTACAGTAGATGACGTGGTCGACGTCGTCAAGATATGAATCGTCCTCAAAGATAATTCTTCCGTCTAGATGGTACTCTTTGATGATGGGCTTCCATACGATTCCTGGCGGCGGCTCGTCGCCATCCCAGCGAGACTTGGAGCGCCGAGACTGAAACACCGGGGTGCGGACATTCTGGACCAACTCTGCCGTGACATCGTGACCTGATGCAGAATTGCCTATGGTGACAATTCTTTTTCCGGCAAAGGGCTCCGGAGAGCGGTAGATCTTAGAGTGGACTACACGACCCGGAAACTTCTTTATGTACTCGTCTAAGCCCTTGACATAAGGCACCTAATTAACGATCAGCACATCAACAACCTTTATGATTCTATGAACAATAACGGTCCAAACAATGGGCACTGATATGCATACGTAAGGTACCGAATAGTGTCCATTTGCGAGGACAACTGCATCGAAAACCTCCTGCCACCAGACATCGACGTTCCGCGTAACATTGAACTTTCTTAGTGTCAATCTCCACTGCTCAGGTCTGTCTTTTGCCGTGACCCTGGTGACATCTTCGACTGTTGTGTTGAGCACCAAGATGGAGTCCGTGTTGTGCAGTGAAAAGTAGTTTTCGATGTATTATTGCCGGGGAATCCAGTGTGGTGCAAATGGACCATAGGCGAATCTTGCGTCCGAGAAAGACATTGCAATATCAGGAACATTAGTACTGCGATTGTCCGTTAGAGACTTGTACGCTTCTTCATACGAACTCCTAGGAACGATAAATTTTATAATCTTACGTCAAAGAATGATAAATTGGTGTCTGAGAGTATCGCTCCTGTTGATTGTGAGGCTTGACCTGGGGCAGCTCACCCGGAATCTCCACAGCGGGATCGACATCCGGGGGGAGACTTCCCGGCTGGAGTGGAGGAAGCTCCGACGGGTTCGAGTCATAAATCCTGCAAAAGAATGTTAGCCATGGCCTGCCACGGTCTGTCGCGGGCTCGTGCTCCTTACCATGTTCCGCCAGCGGACTCTCGCCGTTCGAATACCTGAATCCTCTCGAAGTAGTTCTCGGCCTTGAACGCGGCGGCGGTGATGGCACCTATTACGTTCGAATGAGCAGGCTGGTCAATTTATCACAACGGTGACAGTTCAGATGCCAGATTCGTTTCGTTTTACTTTGGTTGTCATACTGCATGAGGCAATGGGGTGTTCGGTGTAAGCTTACCGGCAGCGCCGGCGCCAATGATGGCGACGGACTTGATCTTTCGTTCGCCACCCATAATTTCTATATGGCTCCAATATTCGCTCAAAGGAGTCCAAGAAAACACCTGAATCCGTTTATAGAACTTGTATCAACAAGAAATGAGAGATGTATAAATAATCTACGAAGAGGTACAGTTCACAGAAAGGTCAGCTTCGCATGCCAGCTAGTTCATGGTAATTTGTCACCTACCAGACTATGAGAGGGGTTTTGGAGGGCAGTTTGGTTGATTCGACGCGAGAGCAACTGGGCTGATCTGGCGCCATCTTTCGTCATCCTCAGAAGCGATTTCACCATCGCTGTATCACGTGAGGTTTCGGGTTATAGATTCAGCATTTTTGACTCTTTGAGGGGAATCGACAGGCTCAAACTTTGGATTCCCCTCAGGCAAAGTCAAACCAATCAATTTTTGTCAACCAGGGCTTGGAATAGTTTCATAGATATCGATGACTTCGTGTAAGATAGGTGAAGCTGTTTTAGCTGATGTGCCAGAATTGTGCCGTGCTCCGGCCCAGCTGTTGATGAGTCGCGATTCGCGAACCTGTATTCCCCGCTTCGCCAAGCAGCAACTCATAGGAGACAGGTTAGGGATAACTATTGATAAGAGTCCGAGATCATTGCGTTATAAATATATTTTAAGCACAAGTCCTCATAATACCCCAAGAAACAATCCATGACATGAACATATTTAGGGCATGACTGATAAAAACTAGCTTGAATTTGAAACAACGACGCCTGACATATTACACCTCAACTCGGGGGATTCTAGTCACTTGATGATCGAATTCTGAACATATGTATGAGCCGGTGGTGAATCTTTGGCCTTTGCAGTTGGGAGGCTATCTGATGAAAGAAGATTTGGATGAAAATCAATTGTATTTGTAATGGAAGTTCGGCACGTTGAACAAGGAAAGGGCCACTACCCAAAGGCTAATTGGCGAAATAAGAAAAGAAAAAGAAAAGAAGTAGAAAGGAAACTAGCTTAAATTTGATACAGACGGACTAGATATTGCAAAGTGACTCTAGCGTGTAATTGCCGGGGCAAGGAACAAGCTCTGTATCCACGATACGTCTTGACCAGACCAAAAATTAAAACTCACTGTACCCCTAGCCAGCCAAGTATGACTCTATTGTCTCTTTCTCTTTCTCTCTCTCTTTCTCTCTCTCTCTTTCTCTCTCTCTCTTTCTCTCTCTCTCTCTCTCTCTCTCTCTCTCTCTCTCTCTCTCTCTCTCTCTCTCTCTCTCTCTCTCTCTCTCTCTCTCTCTTTCTTTCTCTCACCGCTCTGCTACAACACGCTGCAAACAAAGTAGAACAAACAATCATAGTTGCAACGAAACATAGATAAAGAAAACCCATGCTACCTTTCTTTTTCATTTCACAATTGAAAGGAACATCAAATATGCGACTTCTTTATTTAAAAATCGTTTCACGTCCGTAGGTTTTCGTTATAATGTGGTCTTCTTTGGCTTGCTGAATCCTAATGCAAACGGCTGAAGTGAGAAGCTAGTGATTGTGATAGTTACGTGTCCCTGTGACCCCCCTCCTTCCCACACCCCTCCTCCCCCTCGCTTACGTTTACATCAAAATGCAAGTAAATACTTATATCATTGTATCGCTTAATTACGAGAATTTGTACACCCTTCTAGACTAATAAAACCTCATTTCGAAGTCTATTGAGAATTCAAATACATGGTAACCTACTGGCAGTACGTTGCCGGAAGCAAACCCATCTTTCGATTAGTTGAGCTAATGTTGATGCCTTACAGTGTCGTCCACTGAAGCTGAAAACGTTACCCCCGTCCTCCACACTTATCACTTATGGAATAGCTCTAAAGATCCGTAACGTGGAAGATGCTGTTGCCCTCTACACCTCCGACGGCCTCATAATGCCTCCTCACTTCCACGCCGCCGCAGGCTCTTGCGTTCTCTACAATTCGCATGTGCGCATCTTCTCAATAATGTAGCTTGTCATTGAATTCAGCACTAAGGTAGTGGCTGTCACGCCCCCAAAGTAGGTTTCTGCACGAACGCCTGCGGGAGGAACTAAACCGATTTTGGCAACGCAGGAGTCGGAGCCGCACGCAAACCAGGAACTCTTCGTTATAAAGCAGGCGAACGGGGGCTGGAAAACTACGAGATGTTCCTTTTTCAACTGTAAAAGCCCTAGTATAGAATGGTGTCCGAAGAAGCTAGAAAAGGATGCCTAGATAACTGTAAGTGAATTCAATATGATTATTGTCACCCTCAACGCTTGCATTCTCCCCCCTTAACATCATTACTCTTGGCAGAACTAATCTTAGAAATTCCACATAAACATTATCAGATCGCTATTAGTTAGTTGTTTAATCGGTTCTGGGTTTATTTGTCAAAGTCTTAATGCTTTCATTTCAGCCTATCTGCGTCCAGTCAAGAACCTGCTCCCGCTCAGACATTGATTGCATTTCCTCATTTTACTTAACATTCAACCACTTTACCACCTGTTTCCTCCACCGTTGTATGATTGGATAGTCATCTATTCATGTACAGTTGTAACCTTGTGATAACCAGGTTGCTGAAAAGTTCCTTCCCTATGTTCTTTCATCAGTTTAAAACTAATGGATCAGTTAACAAGGTCACAATGGGTTGAATATTCAACTTGTTTAACAAGAGTTCTTGAACGAAAAGACTCTTGTGAAATGCTCCTGCCAATATTAGCTCCTGTAACCAAGGGCTGTTGTTTTGTATACCAGCTCCTATATAGGGGAGCTCGATCAGTGTTAGCTGTGTTTCCTGGGTGAGCCTGGTGCTAGAGACGCGGCTTATGAGTGGCTCTGGAAGTGGGTCTAGACAATGCCTTTACGCCAAACCACTGCTCATTGTAATGGTGTAAGCCGTGAGGCACTGATGTAGCTACATAGGAAGCTATAGTTGGAATCCTAACCTCCACCAATCATTCGTTTCAAGCAGCAGTGGGCGTTGGCTGGCCAAGGATAACATCAATAACCTTGTGGTCGTCATAGGCAGCAACAGTGCGCTCACACAGGACCGCGACGCGCTCCTTGGACTGCAGGCCGTCGGGACAGATGAGCCAGATGACGTTGGTCATGAAGGAGCGGCGGTACTCGAGCATGACCTCCGGGTCGCCGTGGCGGTCGAAACGCGGCCCACCGAGGCGGTGAAGCGCGTCGAGGTAACGGTCGAGAACCTCCATCTCGTGGGCGCGGCGGTCCTCGACGCTCAGCATGGCTGTCATGTGGTAGACGACGTCATGGAAACACGAGCCGAAGTGGAAGGCCGACCAGTCCAGGAACCCGATGCGGCCGTCCCTGGTGAAATAGACGTTGCCGATGTGCGTGTCGCCGTGCAGCAGCGTACGGAACCGGGGGTTGCGCTCGGCGAAGTACCGATCCAACCCCGTGTTGCAGCGCCCGCCGTCCATCAGGTACGCGGGCAGCCGCGGGCGGCCCGGGGCCCGCACCACCTCGTCCCATGGCGTGCACATGAACTTCATGGCCGGGTCGTAGTTGTTCCAGATCCCTGTTGGAGGGGCAAGGAAGAGGCGGGCCGTCAGTTTTTTTAATCTTGGACTAACTGTCTTTGAGAGACAAGTTGAGGGGAGGGGAGGGGAGGCGGGGCTTTCGTACAGGGGTGATCTTCTTGGCTCTGACCCCAGTACTGCGCATGCAGACCTGCCAGCTGCTCAACACCGTTCATGACCTTCTCGACCGGATACGAAGCCACCTCGCCGGGGAAAGTGCAGCCTTCTTTAGTTAGGTCGCTCATGATGGCAATGCCCTGCTTCTCACTCGTCCCGCTCCACCAGCCCTTGGGATAAACCATGTTCTTGACGTTTGGCGCCACCTTGGAGAAGAAGCCGGCCTCGCGTTGCGCCAAGCTAACGGTCCACGGTTGCGCCTCAATCATTTCGGGGCTGAAGACGCCCTTAACGCACACATGCTTCGGCTTGTCCCCGTTGCTGCTCTCATCCTCGTACGTGATGGTGTAGAACAGCTTGCTGCCCGTGCCCCAGATGTTGTGCGTGTTTTCGACAAACTTAATGCTGTGCCCCAGCTTCGACCCCAGCCAATTGGGCGTCACATCCGCCGGAAGGGCAGGAAGTTGCTCGTCTGGTGTTTGAGACATGTTGTCAGGATTTGTGCTTGTGCGGTGCTTGCTGTCAGTTCATGGCATGGATGGACGGAGTGGAAGTTGTAGCGCATCGCACGGCTATTGAGAGCAGAGGTAGGTCCCGTCTTTATATTTACCCTGCTACCGGAGCTGACGCTTTGCAACCCTCACGAGTCTGACAGGGAGATCCGCGGCGAGCGGGGTCGGACAAATGGTAGTGCTCATGGTCTATAGACACGTAATGTTGCTGACAGCCGAGGATCATAAGGCTTGGAATGGTTGGTGACAAATACAAGTTGTACACTGAGATACATCGCAAACCCTAGGGCGTTAATTCCCTTGAGAATACAATCCCTTTTTTCATTTTCTTCAAATCTATCTACATGTGTGGCTCTTTAGCCAATTCTCATACATCAAAGGCGTCGAGTCGTCGATCGACTGTTCGTTGCTATCGTCTCTCGTCGCCATGTCCAATCCGACATTCAACACATTCTTCCAATCATTACGAACAACAAAAGTCCAAGTCTCTCCTCATCCCGTCAATCTCTCGTCCGCAAACAATAAAACCCATCTGATATCTCTAAAGAAAAAAGCAACAAGGAACATCCCAAACCTACCTCCTTGCAACTCTTTCTCCGTACCTTCGTTGAGCAGCAATAGAAGACGTTGAGGAAGAAAGGAAAAACAGCCAGGGGGAAAACCGCAAACGCCAAAAGTTGCAAGTCATACTCTCGTCAAAAACGTAGCCGCACGCAAAGAGAATTACTCTCATCAGCGCTTGAAAACGCTGCTCAGCTTGCTGCCGCCGACGCTACTTCCCACGCTGCTCCCAACGCTGCTCATCTTCTCGCTGAGCTTTTCGCCGAAGCCGCCCATCCACTTGGGCACCTTAAGGCTCATGCGGACTTGGCCGTCGACAATCATGCTGACGACGTTGAGGACCGCAAACGTGGTGGAGCCGATCGCGCGGAAGAGCGCCAGAAGAGCCACGGCCCAGAGAATGAAGGCAAGGTAATAGTTTTCACCAATGCCGCGCTTGCTATACGCCTCAGACACAGCCATAGCGAGGGTGGCGTTGCAGATGAGCCATATGAGCACCATATACGTGCGAACGCTCTTGTAGTAGTCCTCCTGCAACTGCGCTTCAGAAATAGGCGAGGCCGGAACCTCAACGCGGTCACGAAGGTTGCGCAGCGCCTCATCGTATCCAGAGTCGATATCGAGTTGTTCCGAGGGCATCTCGAGCTCGACACTGTTGCCTTTACCGATGGCCCCACCCAGATCCGTCTTCATGACGTTGTCTCCCTTTGTGCCCCATGTGACGTCGTGCGTGTTGCAAAACGCATACACTTGCAGAGTACAGATGTATGCAGGCAGGAGCATGAAGTACTGGGCCGCACTGGTAAACAAGTGCCAGGGGTCCAGGTACATGAAAGACATGACAAAGTACAATCCTATAGTCGAAAGAATCGAGACGATGAAGTTGGTGAAGACGTTGTTACCCATGTGGATATCCGGGTTGTCTTTCTCCTTCAGCTGGCGGATGACGATGTAGAAGGTGGCGAATGTCGTATACATCATAATGATGCTGTAGACGACAATGCTGAAGAGATACAACTTCTTTGCTCCTTGGGGGCGATTTCCCAGAGAGAGGATGAATTGCGCGCAGATGAGCAGAACGCAAATGTACCGTAGAACCGTAAAGATGTACTGAGCAATGTTGTGACCGAAGGGATCCACCAAAGGATCAGCCAGACCGCCCGCAACGAAGTAGAAAGTCAGATAGAAGTTTGCCAGAGAGAAATAGGTGAAGATGAGCTGGAGGAATTGGTAGACGAATTCCACGTGGAGGAGTAGTTTGCGTGTGATAGTATGGTCGGTGGTCCAAATCTGCTTAAAGTGGACGAGCGAGTACACCGCAGCAAAGAAGGCACCGTTGAGCCAACGACGTCGCTGTGAGATAAACTCGGGAACAGTGTCTGGAAAATCGTTAGTTGATATTGGCCATCAGTGGGCGTGGGCTCTTACCTGGCACGTCCGTTTCACCATGACAGCCCTTCACGTACTTCAACACCCAACTCTCCCCACGCTTGGCGACAAGCTCCCAGCAGAGAATACGATCCTCAGCCAGGTACATATTGGCCGTAAACACGTCTGCGTGCTGCCCGTGCAGAGTCTCTCCCTTGAAGTATTGACTGAGGGGACCATGACCCGTCTCGTCATTTTGCAGAGCGTGGTAGCGATACGCGCTAAGTGCACCAGGCAAGACGGTAATGTAGCCAAAGATCGACTCCAATGGTTTGTCAAGGATGTTGGACATCTTGTACTCGAAGTTCTGCGAGGCAACAAGCGGGTTTAGGAGATTAACTCCGAAACGGCCCTTCATGGCCTTGATCTCTCCACAAGCACCAGCGACGTTGGAATCGTTGTCGAAGGCCTTCCACAGATGATAGAGGGACGTACCACCGGGCCTCGTACCGACGTCGAGTAGAATGCACACGTTCGGGTTGAGGGCCTTTCCGAAAGCATTGAAGAACCAACGATGCGAGTTGAGCTTCCGCTGGTTCTTTTCCTTCAAACAGAAGATCAACTGGCAAGGAACGATGCCCTTCTCGGCGCCCTTGAACTTGAGGTCAGAGTCAAGTGACACTTGTGTCGTATATTCATATAGGTGAGCCTGCACGGCCTTCTGGTTGACATAGTTCTTTGCGATGCCGTGTTGGTAAACGCCCATGGCCGCCAGTGCGTCGAGTGTGCGGGGATGGATCTTCTCTCTGCCGTCGGAAACGATGCAGACCACAATCTTCTGCCAACCATTGTCACCCCATGTGCGTGACTTTGAGCGGGCACAGAAGTGGGAGATGTTCTTCATAACGGCGTGCATTGTCCTGGTGAAGTCGAACTCGTTTTCGTTGTACATGGTGACGCAGATGAAAAGTTCCGTCTCACGAGCCGTTTTGCCGATCGACTGGCGGAGCTTGTAGCCGCGATCGACAAAATCATCGGGGTCGCAGGTGACGGCCGTGTATCTCATATGGGTGAATTCGACCTCGTCACGACGAGGAAGGAAACTGTAAAGAATCGTGGGGATCTTGCACTCCAAAACCAGCTCTCCGTTGATAAGCTGAACTTCCTTTCTTGACATTTGCGGCGCACGCACGCCTCGACGCTCTTGCATGCCATCCGGCGCGGGGCCGTAGTGCTCGACCTTTTCATTGATGTCGGTCTCCGTTTCTTCATCACTAAGGGTGGCTTGGTCATGCGACAAATATGATTCTCTCATGGGCTGTGTCTCACTAATATCCGTTTCCGGTCCGAAGACGTCGTCGGCATCGTGGAGAGGGATTGAAACTGTCGCGTCGTCTGCAAAAGTGGCCGGGTTGCGGCTCGCACCGGCTGAGAACAGCGGCGCAGGGGGGAGTGGTCGCCTGGGGCTTCCGCCATATCTTGATGACGGAGTTCCCGGTCTGGGGCTACCATTAAGGTCCGAAGGTTCGTAAATCCCAGATGGAGGAGGCCTAGTGAAGTCTGATGATAGGCGGGAGGGGCTGTACGTCCTGGTAGGCGACTCACGTCCGGACTGGTACTCGTAAGGGTAGTCATCTTGGTACTCCTGCTCATAAGTGCGCTCATACTGGCGGGCGTAGTCGCGGCCTTGGAATGGAACGTAGGTTGAATCGGGAGGCGGGATGCTGGGAGGGTCTCGGATAGAGGCGGATCTGTCGGATAAGATAGAGGACGCATAGGATCGTCGACTGGATCGGGGCCTATTCTCTGAATGTGAGCTTGTGTTTGTGCTATTACTGAAGTCATTGGAAAAAGGAGAGGCAGGGCAGCTTGAGGACTGATGCAGTTGACTTTTCCGCATCGAGGGACCCTCTGGTATGGTCGGGAGACTGTCCCGAAACTGTGCCCCTCTGATGGAGCCGGGTCTCGCGCGCTTCTGCAACTTGACAGTAGTGGACCGCACCGGGATGCGAGAGACGCGCTGCGCATCTGCAAAGTCGACGACACTCACGTCGCTTCGACATGGTGTTTTGATGGGCTCCGGAGTTGAGGACGCGGTGGGCCGCGCCTCCTCCTGCAGCCGCAACGCATCAAGGTGATTGGGGGTAGAGATCGCCGGGTCTGCAGCGTCTGACTTCTTCCTACGCAGTGAGAGAGGGCGCGGGAAGAGGCTGGGCGACGACTCGGGCGTCTTGTGAACTTGTCGGAGGCGAGGGATGGAAGACGCAGAAGCGGGAGTAGAAGCAGATTGATGGGGCCGCGATGCGCTGGCACGGCTGCCGCCAACGGGTGGTGTCTGAAAGTGAGGGCTGAATGTTACATACGGTCGGCTGTCCATGATGGGCTCCTCGACTGAGGTCAAGAGTCGAATGGCGGCGGGGTTGTTGGAGCGTCCCGGCGATGTGTCGTCGCAATCATCGTAAGGTGGGAGGCTATAGTCAGGCGGTCGGGAGGGGGTATTTGGGTCCATGGCGAGAGTGTTGTTCGTGCGCCCCGGTGGTTACTGGGACGAAACGGTCTGTGGAATGCTAGGACGGTTGTTCTCAAGGACCGGGGGCGTGGACTTTCCTTTGTCTACCACGGGCTGGCGCCACGACGAGATCTTTGCGAGGGGGGGATTGGCGTAGCTTCCAGTAGGTGGGTGGCGTTGTTGGACCTACTCCAATGTCTCGACGTTGCGAAGCTGAAAATGGGGTATGTGTAAGTCTCGATGATGATTGTGTTGCCTCGAGAATTTCGCGACGGAAACCCAAGTGGCAGACAATATCGATAGAATGGAGACTAGCGTTTTCGCAAAGCGGGATACAGAGAGGACGATAATTTAAGCTGCAGGAGGGAGAGTCGAGTATTGGAGATCGTTTGTGCTACTCCTTTCTTTCTTTCTTTCTCTCTCCCTTCCCTTCTGCACAGCGCATCCGCGAGTGTCGGGGGGGGCAACAGGACTGATCGGACAGTTGGGTCAGGTTGGCACGACAACGGAGGTGCGCATGGGATTCGTGTGGTGTCCTGGTCCCAAAAGGCGGGCCGGTGGGGGGGGGGGGCGGCTGAGCCTGTTTATGGAACATCTCAGTGGCTAGCGGCCTACTAGCGCTTCTGGCCCGCCGTCCGTTTCTGATCGCATTGCCCGAAGCGGATACGCAAGTAAACATTAGTTTGCAACATCACTTACCTACGTCTGCACAACACCGGATCCTAGCAACAACTCATGCGAAAGCACTTTCACTGTCAAAGTGTGTCTTCCTCATCGGCAAACATGATGTCTACTCCGTCGGAGCCGCAGCTGTCAACATCTGCATAAGGGACCCTACATTACTTGCAATCCTAGCCCCCCACCCCCACCAAAGGGGCTTTCTATATGGTGTTTTCTTGGCACCTCCGCGTTTATCACATTTACAAGTGGCGCTCTCCAACTGATGCATCTGTATGCCGTCTCTCTGGGGTAATCAAATATCTCCACGCATTAAAGTCTCTGGGCCATTCTTACACGCCCCAGAGCGCCCTCCACCCCTTCTCGTCCGTCCTCAGCGGTCCGTTAAATCGCCCAAACCGCGCCGGCAGCCCCTCGTTGGCCTCGGGCAGGCAGATCCACTCGCGCACGCAATCTGGAACCTCCTCTTTGAGGTGGCTGATGCAGATCAACGCCTGCTGATCCGTGAGACCCCTGACTTTCACCCGGCCGGCCTTAGCGACCTCGCTGTCCACGATCCGGTCGCCGCTGTAAGTTTTCTCCTCTCCCTTAGCAAGGTACAGCATGCACTTGTCCCGGACAGAGTCGTCCATGCCGCTGAACGCCTCGTCGAGCACCACAACGTCGGGATTCTTGATGATGGCCCGCAGCAGCAGGGCAATCCGCTGCGCGCTGAAGGAGAGGCCGCCGAAGAGGTATTCATCGGACCAGGCTAGGTCGTCGGCGCTCCTGGTGGCGGATGAGTCTTGGTGGGCCGGGTTCAGCTCTAGAGCGAACCATCGCAGTGTTGCCTCAACCTTGCCGCGTGCTACGTCGTCGAGCTTGGGGGCCCCCTTAAACGTGTCTGCCCACGCATTTTCCAAGACTTGCCTTACCGTCAGGCCGCGGGGCATGTGCTGGTGGACCTCGGGGCTTGAGTGCCCGATTCGTGACTGAATATCCCAGAGCGTAAGAGGCCGTTGGCCTGATTCAGGCTCGGGCAGTCTACTTCTGCCAAACAGTTTGATGGGGAGAGAGTATGTCTGAGGATGGTCGGAGCAGAGAAGGGACACAAGCGTGGTCTTGCCCGACCCGTTCGGACCAAACACTCCCCAACGCTCTCCTCTTCGGACCGTCCAGATGAGGCCATCCTTAGGCCCAGAGGGTGTTTCTTGCGACCAGTTGCCCAGGGCGATCTTGCTTCCGTACCTTACTTGGCAACCATCCATTTCGACCAAGGGCTCGCCGCGTGGCGCCTCAGAAGTCGGGACATTCGCCAAAGCTGTGGCTCCAGCAGCATGCTGGTCCTTCTCCTTTGACTCGAAGAGCCCGTCGCCTTCAATGCCCTTACCAGTTAATGTCTTGCCCATCTCTACCAGCGAGTGCACAGGAAGCTTCTCATCCTCCTGTAACCCGCCGTTCCATACACCCCTGACATACTTCCTGAGTCCTTCCAACACGATATCCTTGGGTCCCATCGAGCTGATCTGGCAGTCGCTCCGCAGGTAGATGAGGTGCGTGATCCACTCGGGCAAGGGATCCTGAGGCCTTACGCTGAGAACAAGCCGAGGGCACTGCCTCTCAGCCAACGACTGAAGTAGTGGACTTAATGACGCCACAGTTGGCGGATCGAGCCCCATGAACGGCTCGTCCAGCAACAGAACCTCGGGCGTCGTCAACAACGCTCTCGCGATGCGCGCCCTCCTTCCCTGGCCGTTACTCAAGAAAGCAACGGGTAGATCGAGAAGTTGATCCAATCTCAGGTCTGTAACAACCCTGTCCAGGAGCTCTCCGGGGATAAGGTTTTCCTCCCCGGGAAGCGTATCCAGCGGGTTCAGTTCCGTGTTCCCCAGAAGAAAGTCTCGCAACGAGAAATCCGTGTTCTCCCTCCGTGACTCATAACGCGCGGCGAGATACGCGCTCCTCGTCGGCCCACCGAGCGCGTTGCCCTGCTCACCATCGAACCCGACGTATTGGATCGCTCGGTTCGGGTTTCGCAGTCGCGATGGCACCTCGTCGGTCGAGAGGTAGGGGTACGCCCGCGCCGTCGGCGGAACCGCAAGGTGTTGGCCCCTGAGAACTTGCAGCAGCGTCGTCTTTCCGGAGAGCGAAGGCCCGACGATACACCAGTGCTTCTTGGTCTCGGTGAAGGACGGTAGCTCGAAGCTCAGCTCGCTGAAGAGTGGCGGGTTTGGGTGTGTCGAGTGCGCGTTGGGGTGCCGGCGGTAGAAACTGCCATTGGCGATCCGCAAGATTGGGGGATAACGGTTAGGTAGCCGCATTTTCGTAAATATTTCAAGGCCGATATACCATTGTATCTGTGTTTATGGTAGCGGTGACTCACATGGTCACTCTTCCTCTTCCAATCTGGGGCCGATAGCTTTCCCCAGACTTTTTGTACGTAAACGCCCTGCGATGTCGGTGTATTAGCTTCTCTGTCATCGCCCCACCCTAAAGACCCCACATTCCATTGGCCTTACGTCGCAGAGGACGGAAGTAGCGATGACAGGGGTAAGCTGCCGCGCCTGCATTTCAGCCTGGACATCACGTGCAAGTAAGTGCCTTAGCTAATGACGGGACTGGACTGGGGGGGGCAACGCAGCCAGGTGGAAAGCTCCAGGCACATCACCGAAGCGCAAGCTCCCAGCAGTCAGCCTCTCGTCGTTCAGTTGCATCACCATCGAACAGAACCCCAAGAATCTTTCCCCCTCCAGAACTGCCAACAAACTTTTCAAGATGGCTGTATGTGTTCTCTCCCTATCCCCCCTCACGATCCGCCACTTGCCTGCAATCGAGCCTAACTAACACAATCGTCTCTCAGATGCGAATCGTCCCCGCCGCGAACCAGCCCACAACCTTCGCCGCTGGCGCCGCCGCCCCGTCGGCCCCGGGTGTCCATGACACCCTCCGTGCTGGCGTCGGTCAGTCGGCCTTCGACGCAAAGTCCAACGTCCCCACGAGCGCTCACCCGCTCGAGTCCCGCCTCAAGAACTGGGAGGCCACGCAGGAGAACATGCGCATGGAGACACTGCGTCGCACATTTGGCCTCGCGGAGCCCATCCGCCGCCAGATGGAGCTCAAAATCACTCAGAATGGTGAATGGCGGCCTCTCGCCCTCGGTGGCCAGAAGCCCAGCCTCCACGAGGAGATCCTCCGCGGCAAGGACACTAGCGTCACGTGGGAGGACGTTTACTCGGGCGAGGAGAGCGTGGGCATCGTCGGCATGCACGACGAGATGGAGAGGAAGCTGAAGATCTGAGACTCCGGGCTCCGATTCCTGGGATGGTGTAGCAGCGGAGAGGATGAACGGAATTGTACAACTACGACATGCGCAACGACTTCTGGACGGCATGGCCAAGGGGGGCATCAAGACCATAGAAATCATTTTCGCTTGAGGGTCCGGGCTCAAGGAGAAGGGAACAGATTGCGTTCTACTATCCTATGGACAAGATACCCTATGAAAGGTGGGGGCGTGAAAAGAGAATCAAACAGAACAAATAAATAAAGCTATGATACGCCGCCGTACTCCTGATTTCCCATTATCGACTTCGCTCTCGGTAATACGCTCGATGGATGTTTGGGTAATGTCTCCCAAGGAGAGAAACACAAACAAGACATGAGAAAAAAAGGCCTAAAGAGTCAACCCATCCCAAAACCCTCTCCAGGCCATACAACCCACCCAGACACACTTGAAGGTGTATGCAGTGTCAAAAAAACCATGAACCCAGCCAAGCGTCTGCCATTTAGGATTTGTACCACGCAAAGCAGCAAGAGCCCCCCTGGTTAAATCAGACAGGTCCTCCTCGCTGGACCTTCTTCCATGCGCACTCTTCGCTCTGGGGCAAAAAAAAAAAAAATAGATAAAAAAGGAATGGCTCTTTGTGAGTGGAAAAGATGATGGTCGCAGAAAGAAAACGCATGTGAGCCGTTTCCATCATAAAATGACACAGCATCCGCTACCGCCTTCTCGGCTGCGACCACCGCCGGAAGCTGACTTATTACCTCCCTTGGGCTCTTCCTCTTCAACGATGTCAGCTGGCCGGACTGTCATGTGCACAACATTGGCTGCCTCTGCGCTGAAGTGATATTCTGATGATGTGTTTGTTAGCATGGAAAAGGCAAGGCCAACCGGTATTGGTGGAGCATGCTTACGCTTCAGCTGGTCCTTGTCGTCCAGAAGCTTTCCGAAGTGAATCAGCCGTATGCTGCTGGGGCTTGCCGGCTTGGGATCCCATTCTTCACGCCACTCCCGCAATATCAACTCCTTTAACGTGTAGACGCTGATGGTAAAGGGGTCCTTCTTTCCTGCCTCGGTAAGCCCCGGGACGTTCACGTTCCTCTTTGTCAGGTACTTCTCGTCTAGCTTATAGGGGTGTCGCGCGCCAGTTGTTAACAGTAGTGTAATGTTACAGACTGGGCCATCTGATGGGGCGTTGCTGACGGATTGGACATCATCAACGGAAGGGCCAATGGCCATGGCGTCATCTTGGTTCTTGTCCACTTGCGGGGGTGCGGATTGCTTCTCCTTCCCTTTGGCGGATGGTTCGATTGAATCGCTGGCGTCGCTGGTTGCCGGGACTGCAGTGGCACTATCCGTGGCAGTATTGCTGCTGGCCCCATGGTTCGATGAAGTCGTTGTCGCTGTTGTCTTTGCTGTATTGGAGGCAGCTATGGTATCGGCGTCTGTCAATGAGGACTGCGGCAGTGTCTTCATGGGTACGGCGTCCTTGGACTCGGCCAATGAGCCCTTGACTGGTTGAGCACTGCTCATGTTGACGTCGGCTGGGTTGGCGTCGGCCATTGCGGAAAAGGCGACGAGGCAAAGGCACGCAGGGCGACGAGCCTTGGGGGGAGGGATGCAGGCTCGTGAGGGAAGTCGTTGGGTCAACTCGGATGCAGTGGCTCAATACATGCGGCAAGTCGCGAGTAGGTGACGACGATAGGTCGATATTTGGGGTCGATGGTGCGCGAGAGGGAACTGGGAAAGATAAATTGTTGTTGGTTGTCGGGTGAGACGCAAAGGGTCGTCGGGATGGTACCAGTTGGCGTGGGCAGCGAGGCCGGTGTTGTGGCAGTTGCCAGGATGGGACGTGGACTGGGGGAGTTTGAGATTTGGGTGTTTGACGGGAAGGCACGGCTGGGAAGGCGGGTGATCAGTGCATCCAGGTCCAGCGTTCACAGGTCCAGCGTTCAGGACTGAAGTGGACGAGGTATGTACTGTAGCGTCTAGCGGCCAGCGGGAAAAGGGAAAGAAAGGAGGAACTGGGCGGGGGCCGGGGTCGAGTTGGAGAGGTTGAATGGAGACTGACTGGAGTCTAGTCTGGGTTACCTTGGCGGAAGCGTGGCCGTGGGCCGTGGGCTGTGTGGGCCGTGGTGGACTTGGACTCACTCTGGGGAGGAGGCTGTTTACCGGGGTTAGGCTGGGCTGGATGGCTCGGCAATAAGCCCGCTTCGCTGGGGTGAGCAGAAGAATGGCAGCAGCTGGCAATTGGCTAGATGCACTGCATCGTCTGGATGCTACTGCTGTTGAGATGTGACGGGGACTTACTTCACTTTACCTTCCAGCTGTCAAAGACAGCTTGAGACAGGCAATCAGTCGGCCTGCTAGGCAGGCAGACAAGTCAGGTAATTGAAGCATGACGAGAGGTTTCTGGCACTCAAAGCCGTCTCCTACCGTCACACCTCAGAACAATCGGTACTAGTCGAGTCGTGTAGTTCGTTTCGGCCAATGGGCTCTCCTGCACGAAAAGTACTACGGCCGCGACAATGGCGGCGGCGGTGGCGGATACCGGCAGCAAAGGGCGATAAACTAGTCCGGCAAGGATTGGGGGTTGTTGGGAAGCAGAGAGAGATGAAGAGACACCTACTGGAGGTCCCTCCTGCCCCGCGTCGAATTCGCACCTGCAGGATTTCTCCACACCAAGGCTCCCTCAGGTTCGACTTTCAATGGCGTTGTCCGCAGATGATGGAATGATTGCACAAGTTGACGTGGGGATTGAGAGACACAGCAACGAAGCAACCCCGCGTGCTAACGGGTAGCTTGCACACTTCCGAAGACCAATTGCAAGAGACGATGAGAAGTGCCTAGGTACCTAGACACCAGACGGTGTGCTATGCAGCTACTTGACGGCGATCCTCTGCGTGTCATTCCCCATTTACGCAGGGTCTGTCTGTACTGGCAGACGGCAGGAGATGCCGGAATATGATGCGATGCCTTGCTTCGGCGGAAAATAAGCCAACTTTGCTTTCTTCGCCGAGTAATGAATCTTCTTTAGGATGGCGAAGGTGAATGAGTTGCTGGTTCGCGTGCCGAATGAAGCATCTCCAGTCCTTTCCGTTCCTTCCTTCCTTTCGTTATTCCCCTGCCCTCGTTTTCCCCCGAGCTTCTCCCGACCCTCGCCTCTCGTCGTATCGTGCTACCGCCCCCTCCCCAAATTACAGGTAGATCGGGTGCTTCCTGCAGCAAAAAGATGCAGTGTGCTATTGGTAAGTTCTGATGATCATATTCATGCTGTATGTTCAATGTTAAGCCCCGTCCAGGTTAGCGTCATGGACAAGAGTGACAGGTCCTTGCCAGCACTAGAATCAACCCCAGCGCCCACGGATGCCCCCGTCACCTCCGCCTGAAAGGAAGCCCGCTATCTGGCTATCTGAGACGTGACGTATTTCGACCGCACGCACTCTCTTTCGTACCCCAGATCTAGGCAGGGAGGGGCCCGAGAGTGCGGACTGGAAAGGGAACCCGACCAGCCTGCGGCACCTGTGTTGTTCGTGTCTGCGCATCCCAATTCCGAGAGGAAAGGCAGCCGCCCTCCAACATGGGAAAAGACGTGAGATGTTTCAGTCGTCGTCCCCGCTCCTAAACGTGTGTGGGATGGCGGGATTCTCTTCGCTCACCGCTCTATTTTCCACCACTCAGGCTACCCATCAGCGTTGATATGTTTCTGAACATGGGATCACCCAGGCGGGGCGGCCAGGAACCTGCGAAACTCTCCTCAAGACTCACGCGCTGCACAGGGCAGAGGCAGGGACAGATACAAACGCACACGCACATCCCAAACTCACATGGTATGGCGGCAGAACGGAAGATGCAGGCACGAGTTTTCTTAGTGTTCTCCCCCTCCCCATTACGCTTGTGGGTGACGAAGAGAGCCTCTTGCCGATCTACCGAAGGGCCCAGCATCACAGCAGGCAACGGGTCCTGGCGATACTGGACTGGAAAAAAAGAGGCTGAATATATGCGGAAGACGGAAACCACATGGTGGAACAGCGACCATACCACCCAGTCCGGGCGGCTAAGCCTGGCGCTTCCAGATCTTCCCAATTTGTGCAGGTTCGAGGTGTCATCGTCAGGGCGAACTAGCTCTCCATCAACACACACACACACACACACTCTCTCTCTCTCTCTCTCTTCCAGTGGGGGTGGGGAGACGTACGCGTTCCAACCAATTATCTCACAGCCCAGCCGACGGGGATGTCGACTCTGCCGGTAAGAGCGCCAAGACATGCATTCACCTTTTTCTTGGGACATTGGTGAATGCTGGTTCGACCATCGCCGGCAGCTTCGTCGAAGTAGCTGGGAAATCCTCTCTACTTCCAGGGCAGTACGAAGTAGCCAATCCAGATTCCCACCTCGAGGCCGGGCCCGTTCAGCTCCACCACATGTCCTCATCGTCATGCTTCCTTGTCCGTCCGGAGTGGCCACCCTTTCTTGAGATCTTAAGGTTCTGGTCTTTTTTTATAGACTTCCCGTCTGACCCGTCCGCTAACACGCACAGTGTGTGCGAGCCTGCATCGCCCGCTTCTTGCTTTGTCCGAACTACAATGCCCACCCTTTTAATCAGCCTGTGGCCTGCCTGACTTCAGCTTCGACTCAAATTAGGCTGGGCCACAAAGGCTGGAAATTTAGATAAACCAGTCGCAAATGAGGTCGGCGCGGTGGGAACTCTTGTCTCGGCGCGCATTAGGGTTGGCCAATCGTGAGCACACGCCCTGCCATTACTGAATGTCAAGGATATCGTCCCTATTCTACAGCAAACTCCCATACCCCCGGGCCCCTTTCGGTTGCCCAGCCTCCCTTGTACTATGTCTCGCGCTCCATATCTACCATTAAAGGACCAAAAGATCTCCGTTGGTACCTTGCGCCGGCTGCACAACCTGCTGAGGCGCGTGCTGGTTGACGACATATCCTGTTTCGTATCCCGTCGTTTCACCAAATACGTCGCCCTGGTCGATTCGCATGGCCGCCATTTGCTGGGGCCCGATGCTGTTGAAGTAAGCATCTGCGTCACTAACGGCTTGTGACAAGTCCCCGTTGTTCTGGTTGACGTGTTGGCTGTGCATGTTGGCGTCCTGCGGCTGGCCGCCCATGCCCAGCATGCTCAAGCTCTTCTGGTTCTCGATTGACGTCGGAAGTAGGTGTTTCTGCAGCGCAGGGGAGTCCAGCAGTTTCCTTGGCCGCGCCGAGCGGAAAACTGTTTGCACAGGCTTAAGGTATACCGTCGCCAACGTCCCAACGTTGAGACACATCTCCTCCAGCGTCGCCGGATCGAGCCGCTCAGACTCGGCAGTGATCGGTGGCTTCTCTCCCATGACAATCTGCTTGGCTGCGGGCATGTCCGTCGACAGCAAACGCCAGTACATGTAGGCTCGATCCCGGAGATCCGGGTTGTCTGTCTCTTCCGTTGCCCACTTCAACACCCGCGGTACCAGCTCTTGGCCCTTGGTCGGCCGTTGGATGAACAGCTTGACAGTCGCGGTAAGCAGCGCTAGTTGCACCTCGACCGGCTCCTCCGCGAACGAGTACAAGAAGTCCTCGAGGAGGGCGTCGCTGTTCTCTATTCTGTCGGCGTACTGTCCGATTACCCACACCATGGCGGCCTTTGCTTCAGGCTCGTCCAGGGAGTCGAGGTGCTCGCACAGAGTACCAATGATGGACTCATACTGGTTAGGGTATTTGCGGAAGATGTTCCTAATCACGACCGTAGCCTCCTGCACAATATACGTGATCTTGGTCGCTACCAGTTCGAGCAGCAGGTTAATACACTGCCGCGATGCCGGTTCGATTTTGATGGCCAACTTGCCAATCGCTCTCACGGCCTTGCGTACAAAGTGAACGTCAATCTCAGTGGCGTACTCTCTGAGCTCCGTAAGAACCTCGTCGATGTTGCCTTCGTTGGCGAGCATAAAGATAAGCTCCAGCTTTGTGACCTTCACGTAAATGGGGTCGTTGTATTTGCAGAAGAAGACTCGAATGTCGTTGCGCAGTACTTCGGGCCGACGTTGCAGGATCAAGAGCGCATTTCTCAGAGCGAGATATTGCACCTCTGGCCCCTTTGCCAAAAGAGTCACCAGCGGTGGCGACAGCTTTTTGCAAAGTATTGTAATCTGCCTCTGGTCCGAGATGTAGTTCATCAGATAGAGCACCACACGGATACAAGTGAGAACCACCGCCGAGTTGGAGTGCGAAAGGCGCGGCGATATACGTTCAGCAAGAAGCAAGGCTTCCCCTGTTTCCTGGGGGACGTACGACATCAGCGCCTCTAGGATATATGTCTGGCCCCATCTGTCACCTCTTGTTAGTAATCGGTCACCAAGTGGTCTCTAAAGTACCTACTCGGAACAGTCCGGAAGAATGGCCACCATCTTGGAGGCGTTGCTATAGTCGATGGTGAGCTTGATTGCGTCGCTTCGCTCCCAAATATCCATCAACGACGCCAATGCGCTAGCGACAACGGTCGGGTTGTCATCTCTGAGCAGACTGTTAAGCCGGTCAATGAGGTCTGAGCCCTCTACCATGCGGCGGTCGTGGTCGTAAAGCTTTGCTACGCAGAAAGCTGCTGTCTTTCTGACGTAAGGGTCTGCATCCTTCAACATATGCTTGACCAAAGGCACAGTCGCCTCAACGAACTCTCGAACATGGATATAGGACATCGTCCGGAGAGAAAGGGCTCTCACTAGTGGGTTATGGTCCTCCATATCCTGATTAACTGTTAGTCAATGCTTATTACTGCGTTGGGTCACGGATTTACGCTCTCACCTGCTCCAGAACAGGAATGGCCTGGATGGCAATCTCAGGTCGCATCCTCGCATAGTTGACCAGAAATAAGAAGCACCTACGTCGATCATCAGCGCCAATCCATCCACTTGAACAGCTTACGATTGGAAGACATACATCTTCTTGATTTCCAGACTTTGAATATGCATGCAGCCAATGATGTCGGGAAAGAGTGCGACCATGTCATTGTTGCTCATGGTCATGTTGGCGACAATTTTCTTGAGGGCAATCTTCTTGTTCGCATTGTTCTTGTCCTTCTTGCCACCGCTGTTCAGCTCGAGCCGTAACTCGGCGACCTTGCCCTTGGAGGTTGTTAGTTTTGGATAGTACGTCTGCGGAGGCACAAAAGCCATGAACATGATGGGCAGTACATGAGATGGTATCCAACGAAACGAAAAAAGCGCTTTGAGGGAATCACAAGAAGAGAAGCCAACTTCTGGAAGGGGGGACAGGCTAGCTCGATGCCGCGAGACACGGGAAGGCTGGTATTCGGGGACAGCGGGGGAGACAGTGTGCAGAGGTCAAGCCCAGGACATCACGTTCCTGGTAGTCGGAGCAGGGGTCAGGTAGATACAAGTAGCCAGTTTCGGTTGAAGATGTACAAGAACGAGATGTTTGTAGACAAGACCAAGGGAAACAAGAACCCGAGCTTACCCTAGCAAACAACTTGGAATCTCCACCCTGAGGGCCTGACATAGCGACGGCTTCCTCTCGTATATGATACGGCGACTGGTGTAGAGAGTGTTGCGCGATTCTCAAATAAGTCCCCCCGAATAAGACTCCGACAAGCTGCGCCGGTAATTGTTCAAGTAATGGTAAGCGATAACACCACAAACCCCTCACATCCAGCTGCGCGATGTATGTCGACTCTGGCTTCCCTGGACTGGGGTCAAACCACCCAGTTGGGGATCGGTTGCAAAAGTTGGCGGGAAGTAGCAGTGTCTCCCTGACTTGTCTTGGATGGCGGGAGGGGTGCAGAGGGAGAGAGATGTCACATGCGTCGATGCGCCCGGGGTGCCGCGACCAATTGAAGAGGTTGTTTCTAGAAGAGCGTGTCGTCGAGCTGGATCCGGGTAACTTTATTTGCTTGTGCCACCTTTGTGCGCGACTTGTGCGTGGTCTCTGCCTAGACTCGTTGTTCGTCAGGGTTCGTGCGACGGGGAGGCGATCGGATTCGGTCGTCGTTCGGTTCTGGCGGACAATCTGCTCTCGAATCCAGATGTTTAAGGGGAGAGTTAAAGTTGGATTCCAAGCTCCAGCCGTTCCGCAGTGGAGTGCAACGGGCTAAACGGGCTTATCGGATGACCGATAAGCGTAAGCGAGCTAGACGCAGAGACGCCGCATAGACGAGGGTAGCCGTCTGCACTCAACGTCCGCTCGTCGTCTCAGCTGTGCCTTTAGCTTTCGTACCAATCGACCGCACTGCATCCAAGTCTCGAGCTTTTCACCACGCACCCGATCAACCAACATCGATAGCGAAGTCGCAAGGATGGCTATGATTAACGGTTTCGTTCCACGATGGATGGCTGACCTACAGTCCCCTCCGGCTGCGAAGTCCAAGATCCCAGGCGTCTCCGACCCTCCAGGCTACCCGTCGCAAACATCCGGCTCCAAAGTAACCTTGTGCTTAGTCTGCTCTGAAATTCAATCAAGCTAACATGATTTTGCAGAAGCAGAAGGACCAGAGGGCCCAGCCGCGCAAGCAACAGACACCTGAAGAAATGGATACCCTGAAAGTGAAGAAAGCCTGGGAGGTGGCACTTGCGCCTGTCAAGAACCTACCCATGACAGCCATCATGATGTACATGTCCGGCAACTCGCTTCAGATCTTCAGTATTATGATGGTCGTCATGGCATTCAAGAACCCACTTATGGGCCTCACCGCGGTCAACCAGGCATTCGAGAGATTCGAGTCGGAAACGAACAAGGGCAAGATGCTTCAGGTCAAGGTAGCATACGTCGCGATGCAATTCGTAGCACTAGCTTTGGCAGTTTGGAAGGTCAACTCAATGGGTTTGCTACCGTAAGTGCTCTCTCGATGCTTGGTGGGACCATTGCTAACACAACGCCAGGACAACACGATCAGATTGGCTGGCTTGGGAAGCTCAGAGAGAGCCTTTGGAGTCCTCTGTTCCTGCTCTGTAGACGACATCATGAAATAAACAGCTTCCAGATCCCTAGCAGCCTTCTGTGTCCTCATCTGCGCGTCACCGTGAACCGCTCTCATACATCTCGGATCCACTGGCTGTGGCTCTTACTGGCGATATATCCCTGCCATCTTGATCTGGCCACGTGTTGCTCGCTTTCTGCAAAGGCATCTTTACTTCTCCAACCGCATTGTATGGCTGGTCAATGATAGCCTCGACCAGCCAATATTGGAACGGATCTTGGACGCGCTCGTTCCCGGCCTGCGGAACTGATGCCCCTCGTGTCTGCCTGACCTTTTGTTCTCGGCCCCACGGGCGGTCGATAGCTACCATATGCCTTGCTGCTGCTGCTTTTGGTGTCGCCACCAGTGGTTGCCATGCAGCCTGGGTCGACCGGCTTACAGGCGTTACTGCCCTCTGAACAGTGGCCTTGTTCATGATGGTCTAGAAACCTCTTAGTTTGAGTAACTGATAAGGCTAGAATGGCGGCTCACCGGTTGTTTCATTTTGGTAAAACACGGTTTGTTGTGCTGCTCTTGGTAAGCTAGACTAGACTGCAATTGCTCTACTGCAAGGCTCGAATCTAATGCCTGTAGCATCAAGGGGATCTGTTGCTTTTATAGAGTGCAGTCAGCGCTGTGCCCCTTCTTCTGCGGAGCCCAACTCCTATAGCGGCCGATGAGGCTCGCTTCAGACTTCAGAAGTTGTCGGAGAAACAGCCCACCTAGCGACGGCCAGGGATGACCTCCTTGGTAGAGTTTACATGCTCGTGAAATACCTCAACCCGATCAGGAGAGTCAAGCATTGGATGAAAAGCACTACTCAGCCAACCAACTTTTGTCTCATATCTTACAGTAGCAGGTGTATTTGATACCCTAATACCCATTGCTTGGAAGAGGGGTTAACTAGTCTTGACAAACAAGGCAACACGGAACGTAAGGGATGGTCTCATCGCGAGCCTAAATTCAGGAGTTGACTGCTCAACTTATGCGACCGAAAGCCCGATGACATCGTGCTACGCGCAGCCACGCATACCAAAACCGTTAGCGAAGCCGGATGCGGTCCGGGCCCTTACGACTATTCTCACGGCTCAGGTCCACCGGACTCCGGGAGAGTCAAGTGAGACTCCAACCACCGCTGAGACATCGGGCTAAAGCGAACGGGGCTTACCGGTGCCCGAAAACCGAGTTTCCAAGGGATGAATATTCCAACAGGTCCTCCTGCTTTCGTTCACAGTAAGAACTGAAGCACGTGAGAGTCAAACAAAAACAAAGCCATCGAATCTGGCCAAGCGCTTGTCTTGCTGGCTGTTTTGGGTCGACTCGATTACCTATGTTTGCCTTGAGGGAGCCGCCTTTCGTCCTCTAGGTAGCCTGGTTATCCAGTTGGATTGCCGTTGATACATCATTATCGAGAAGTATATTTCTTCTTTAGGGGGTAAGTCTAAGCCAAGTGATCGCCACCAAGATCGTAGACTAAGTCAACCGATACACGTGCTATTCTATCTGTATCTATATTTATAGAAAGAAAGCCGGGAAAACCTGAGCCTGAAACGGAAGTGAGATACATCATTTATCCGGCCCCTGGGCAAGCCCGAAAACGCCTCTAAACATAACCAATCATGAAGCATCACCCCTCGTCCGTCTCTCATTCCTCCATTTAGGACCTTTCTTCGCGATTAAAAACATAATCGGGCTCAGCACCGCGCACAAGGCAGCCAAAAACGTAAAAGACCACCCCCTCCCCATGCCAGAGATCATGTAGTCGATAACAGCCGTGCCGGCGGCACCCATGGCACACCTCACCAGGTTGTTGGCCGCCGTGGCTGTTGCGGGGGCATCCGGGAACAGGTCCACAATCAACGTATTCATGATGTTGAAGGACCCCGTGATCGTTAGCCCGATAACACCCTGCAGAACTAACGGAACGGCGACGCTGGTCTCAATCTGCAAGACCCATCCATACGCTATCAGCGCAGCGAGACCAATGGCAACAGCCGGATAGACGGGCTGCAGGCGAGCTTTCTCGATTGGGAACTTGCTCAGGTCGTCGCCCCGTCGGCGGTCGATCGTAAAGCCGATCTTTCTGGCGAGGCGGCGATAGTTCCAGTCGAGGACGTAGCCCTGCCCCACGCTGGCGACAACGCAGCCCGCACCGTAGGGCAGGTAGCACAAGCCCAGCTCCAGATCGTTGAATCCATAGATCTCACGGAACAGGGTGCCAAGGGTCGCGGTGACACAGATGAAGGCTATGTAGAGCAGGCTGTTGTAAGCGAGCATGAGACCCATTTCCCTTTCGAAGATGATCTTCACGGAGCGGATAGGGTTCGGGAATCGGAGCTTGCGCTTTGGCTGGACATCTGTTGCGGTGGATGCGTTCCGGGATAGGGCGTTGGCATCGGCGGCGTTCCTACGGCATCGGCGGCGAATGAGGTCAACAACGGGCCGGTTCCAAGGCTGGGCTGGGAGAGAGCCGTTGCCGACAACGTTGCGGCAGGTTTCTGGGATGAAGAGGGCATACGGTACGATCCACAGCCCGACTAGTACCACACAGAACCAAAAGATGGAGGCCCAGCCAAAGTACTGGGTTAGGACGCCGCCGAGAACAGGCCCGATGGTTGGGCCGACGTTAATTCCGGCTCCGACGATGCCCATGTACTTACCCCGCTCAGAGCTCATAGAGATATCAGCAACCATGGCGAACCCTAGTGCAATTGCACCGCTACTTCCGGTACTCTGCAACATTCGCAGGACCAGCAAAGCGGCGTAGTTACGCTGCAGAGCCAGACCGACGCAGGCGACTAGGTAGATGCTAAACGCCACAAGGAACGCCGGACGGCGGCCGGCCATATCGCCAAAGTCGCCAAAGATGGTTGGGGAGATGGCCTGGAGGATCATGTAGGAGGTGACCGTCAGATTAATGAGAGCTATGGAAACACCCAGATCATCGGCGATTGGGGCCAGAACCGGGTAGTAGATGTTTGCCGACATGGGCGAGACGAAGCAGGCGACGGTGGCCATCAAGGTGATCCCTCGTTTTGTTGACGGGGCAATGACACTGTAGGCCGGGCCGCTGGGTTGGCGAGTGAGGTTTCCGGGGTTGAATCGTTCTGAGGCCGGGTCGGGCCTATCGCCTGAGGTTGCGTCATGTTGGTCTTTATCGTTGATAACTTCCGGTTCCGAAATCGACGATACGGGGCGAATAGATGACTCTGGAGAGGTAGTGGACAAATCAGGCCTGTGTTGATCTTCTCCCGGCACCTTTTCATTCAGCCCATCTTGTTCCATTTTCAACCAAGGTCATGCGAGTTCTAGCATCTGCTTTGGTGAAATGGCTGGCTCGAAGGGCGCAGTCGAGACAGGGGGTTTGGATATAGCTGGGTATCAACCCTTCGAGTAAAAGATACTATTCAAGGACTATGTGATATCAAGGAGATTGGCCAGTTCAAACATAACAAGGGAGATGCTTCATCAACATAAGAAAGACCTTGCCTCTGGGCAAAACTCATGTCGACTATCTCCCCACCCCCCGGCCGAATGATGTTATTTCCGATATATGGATAACCAGTATCTAGCCGACCCCCTGGCTTAGGCTGCTGTGATTCGTCTTGACCAACCCATACCTCCACAAAGGGCCCGCCTGTTTTGAGCAGCTGGATCGTCTGGCACTTGAGCAAGAGTGACGTTTGGGAAGCCATCTCGGAGCGGTATCGGTGTAGATTCTACTGGTATGAGTAGTAACAGCTGGGAGCCACTACGTACAACTCTGAGATCTGCAGTGACGCCGGCTCGCATTGCGCTTCTAGAACGAGTCTGGGGTCATTCGAGATTGGACAAAGGGAAGTTTAATGGCCGACATCGGATAGCCGAATCCAAGTATAGAGCCGTTGTCAAGGCCAATCTACGTGGGATAAGAGATCGCTTGATCCTTGGCTCTCTGATATGCGTACGATGTTCAATCAGGGCAAGGGTCAATCTTCAACCGCGCAGGTGTGGAGGATTTATGGCTCGTGCCGCCATGCCTTATGCAAGTCCGAACTCAGTGGGAGCTTTTCTGGCACCCGCGTTGCGAAAAAAGTGCACACATTAGAGCCTACTACCATAGAGGCCATCAGCTCACCTATTTTGCAGCGATTATACTAGAGTTAATTTGATAGAAGCTTTGATACAAATTAATTGAACTTACTATAAGGTTTTTACAACCTTAATACTCTATTTTTCTTCTGTATTAAATATATAGAGGTGCTGAGCCTACCTTATTGTTGTTAGTCCCTTGCTGGGTGTCTGGCCAGCACCGCCACAATAGCCACTGCTCGGTCCACGCTAGAGACCGAATGTGGCTGGTGCAGCGGAAGCCAAAGCCACGTCATTGGAGAACAGCTCTCCAGATTCCCAGCGACGACGTGAAATGGCCAGGAACTTGTACGACGTTGCTATTTTATCCTAACTTACAACTCGCAAGTAGCATGGTCACAGAATCGTGGTGACAGGATATCTTTGATTGCACACTGAAGTGCTGCAACGGCCGACCTGTACCGAGAATGGACATCACGCCCGAATTCAACGAGCTGCTGCGGAAGCGCAATGCGCCCATTGTCAGCGAGAAGAAGCTCAGCCTCGAAGCGATTGACGGTTTCCTCAAAGAGGCTTACAGAATAGTCAGTAAAAGACCTGCCGCAGACCGAGGCTTGTCGTCTAACATCCCAGAACCACCACATCACGAGCCTCCACAACGAACTTAAAGATGTTCGGCAAGCCTACCTTTCGACTGCGCAGCCGCGCAAGACGCACATCCGGCCGGGAAACAACGCAAGCCAACCCCGCCACCTTACCGACCGCGACCGCGAAGAAGTCGACGCCAACGCGAAGCAAATGCTCCGTGAGCTGAACGCCAGTATCACCGCCCTCAAGGACGCGGAGCTGCTCCGCCGCGAGACCGAGGCGGCCATCATCCGCAAGAAGTTCGCTCGCGGCCTGGGCGCGCTCGGCGCGTGGGCCGCCGGCGCCGCGACGGGAGGGGGTGGCTCTTCTGACGACAGTGGGAAGACGGCGGAGCACCGGGCGGCGGAGGCTAAGGCGCGGATAATTGAGCAGCACCGCGACGAGGTCATCCAGTCGCTACGGCAGAGGCTACAGCTGTGCGGGAGGACGCAGCAGGACATGATGGAGGTGCGGCTGACGAGGGAGATGGAGAAGAACCGGAGCGTACTGGCCAAGGCCGGCGGCGGGAGCGCGATGCCCGAGCTGGGAGGGTTCTACGAGTCGATGAGCAAGAGCGCAGCGGCGGCAAAGGGCCCGGTGAAGGGGGCGGGAAATTCGGGGGTACCGCCGGGCGAGGGCGGGCTGTATAAGCCGCAGGAGGACCTCACAGAAGAGCAGATACAGATGTTCGAGAAGGGCAACCAGGATATGCTGCAGCACTATAACAGCACATTGAACAAAGTCAGGTACGTGGTGGCAGCAGAAACTCCGTCTGGACTGGCCAGGGGTGCTCGAATCATCACTAACGTTTTGCGCACAGAACGGCCGAGAAGTCTCTGCTCGAGATCGCGGAGCTGCAGACGCTGCTCGTGAGCAACCTGGCAACGCAGTCGGCGCACATCGAGCAGCTCGTGGCAGACTCGGAAAACATTACGGAGGACGTCGGGGGCGGCAACAAGCAGCTCAAGAAAGCTACCCAGCGGCCCAGCGCGGCGCGGTATACTTTTTTCGCATCGGCGGGGTTGTGCACGTTTCTGATCTTGTGGGACTTGATCATATAATTGTCGCCTCGGTTAGGCATGCTTCAAGAGAAGAGCTGCACGTCGCGCAGGCTTGCAGAACCAAGGCCGGTGTATCTCCGGACAGATGTGAATGTAAAGATGGAAACATAAATAAGCAAAACCCAACAACGCCCCGCAGTTAATTCATCATAAAACCATACTAAGCTGGCATTTTTGGAGCAAGTGTGTTATTGAGGCTATCGCCAGGAGGGTTTCAACCAGAACTGGGGGTAACCAGCCTATAAACCGAGCTAAAAATAACAGCGTATCGTCAGGGCCGAGACATCTGCGCAATGCCACCCTTGCTGGAGAAGTAACCTTTGATTGAGCTACGGTTTCCATGCCTAGCATGCTTGAGAAGTCCTTCATATGTCAAAATGCTACATCTGAATTGAATTCTTACATGTTTGGGTCACGGGTCAGTCATTTTGGTTTGGGAAGGGGGTTGGGCGGGTTGACATGTGAAAGTAGTCTGTGTAGCTAGCTGTGCAGCCGCGTCACATGCTGGCTAGAGAGCTTGGACCGAAGCCAGGTGACATCCGAATCCAAGCCCTATCGGGCCCAAGGGGATAGCCGGTCCGCTGCCTCTGCCTTGAGAGCACTAAGAACGGTGAGCCGTGTAAGTAATCAAGAGTTCGACGGCGATGCGGTGAGTCTGAGCGAGTTGGACGTGGAGGCGCCGGCTTCTGCCCCGCGGGTGTCATTGGCGAAGCTGTTGCGACGCAAGCTCCTGATTGGCGCTGTTAATAGCATCTGAGTGACATGCGAAACGGAACTCGGTACCTGCGGCGTTTGAGTACATGGGACTGTCGGTACCATACTCTCTCCCTGGTGGTATGTTGAAAGGATGTCGAAAGCGACGGTTCGCTATTAGGCACAACGGCGATTGAACAGCGGTGGAATGGAAAGCTGAAATTGCGTCTCATCAGGGATGCAGGACATCATCGGCCGAGTTCAATATCGTGTGATGGATGGGATGATTCGTCCTGTCCCGGTTGCGCACGGCGAAGTTCAGCCCGCCCGTTCCGTCCGACCTCGGGGGTTTCTAGAAAAGGGTCGAAATCGGGATGGATAGCCCGGTGAATTGCACACCCAAAAGTGCTTCCCCGACACGGCAAAAAACACAGTGAACCATGTGTCGAGTCGTGGGCGGTATCTGGCGGCAATGGCAGAGTCATGGTCATGGGGTTTTCGTCCCGAGACCTCGGTCCACTCGGCGGCAGTGACCTCACAGCCCGTCGCTTTGGTAGCTTGGGGAGGGCAGTTGGAGGGGGGGCAGAGGATAAGAAGACGGCGCATTCCCCAGCGGCCTGCGATGAGGGCTGTCAACGAACGAACCTACCTACATCGTACGTAGAGAAGAAAGAGTGCAACATCCGGCTCCTTGTGTTCCCAGTTCTCATCTCCAGCGCAGTCATCAACAACTCCTTCGTCCCGGCTATAACCACCTACCTAGGTACCGCAACGAGCTACGAAATACCTGTCCGCACTTTGTGGATACGGATCGTCACGTTCAAGTCAGAAACTTTAGGGGGAAAACCCATCTTTGCCAATATTCGGCCGCTAGGTTTTCAAGTCCTTCTCCTGCCCCCTCCACCGTCCGAGCGAAGGACACATACAGCAAAACAAGCCCCGTAACGAGGCCTGTTACCCTGCCCTGCATTTGCATCCGCATCCGCATCCGCGTCCGCGTTCATACCCCGCAGCACCTATTATCCGCCTGCATCAACCCCCCAAACTGCAAACCAAACCAAACCAAACCCGCAAACTCCTGGCGCTGGAGACGAGACACTGGGCGAGACATAAGCGTCGGTACCTATATTAGCAGCTTCCAGCTTGGGCACATCCTTAGCTCCTGCTACCACAGTATCAACAACCAACGCCTCCAGGTAAGCAAAACAACACCCCGTGTCACAATGTACCTTTCTTCCCCCGCTTCAACCCCAACCCCCCCCGCCCCGGGCCCCCGGCCACCGTCCCTCACCTTTCATGTCGCCATCAGAAAGGTACGGCGCTGTATCCGTCCGTTCACTATCTACCTACCTAGAAAGGTACCTACACAGTATCTCCACAACTTCCTGTCTGTAACCTTCTCCCCTCACCTCCCTCCCTGTTCCCCGACGCCCTAGCTGGAGCCTGTTAGACGGGGGCGCATGTCCGCTTCCATTTCCCCGGCCAACTTGGAAATGTTCCAGACACGGAGCAGGTTGGCGCCTGTAATCGCAATGCATCCCATTCGCCCGTCTGGAATCGAACCACTATTGATCCCATAATAGTAACCACCCCCGGCGCAGACCCTTTAATACCCCCCCGGTACCCGCCTTGACTCGTTTCCCTCTCTTTTGCGAAAGAGAAGCTCCGACATTGAAAATGCCCGGTGACTCCTCCTCGCCATCATCATCCTCTTCTCCTTCTCCTTCTTCTTCCTTCTCTCACCAGAACAACCCTACCCTCTCGAGAATACGCAGCATCGCATCACACATCATGCCTCCCGTTGCAGCAACAAGTTTCCCCGCCGACACGGTGCCCCAAGCTCCTGAGGATCCCCTCTTCGGCTTGATGGCTGCCTACAGGGCCGACGAGAGCAAGGACAAGGTCGACTTGGTGCGTAGACCCCTAATTTCTCCCCCGGGCAAGCTGTCGTAGCCTTCCTTGCCTCCCTACCGCTGTCACCGCCAGCTAACATGCTGCTGTCGTATATAGGGAATTGGAGCTTACCGCGATGATAACGCGAAGCCTTGGGTGCTCCCCGTCGTCAAGAAGGTGCGTTGCCTTCTCCTCCTTCTTCGAACCCCCATCGTCATGCCGTTACTGTTGCTGCCGTCATTGTCGCAGCCGGCCTTGTTTGTTGCGTCGCGGCCTCTGCAGCCTCCAACAAAAAAAGGGCTCGGCTGCGTCACACGCAGCAGCAACAGCTATGGTTTTCGATGAGGATTCCCCTTATCCACCTTTCCCACCTTCCCCCTCATCCACCCCCGCTGACCCCGCCATGATGTAACACCACAGGCCGACGAGATCCTTCGCAATGACCCAGAGCTGAACCACGAATATGCCCCCATCGCCGGTATTCCGGCCTTCACCGGCAAGGCGAACGAGCTGATGCTCGGTGCCGATTCGCCTGCCATCCGCGAGAAGCGCACCACCTCCGTCCAGACCATATCCGGCACCGGCGCCGTCCACCTGGGCGCCCTTTTCCTCGCAAAGTTCTACAAGGGCAACCGCACCGTCTACATCTCCAATCCGACATGGGCCAACCATAACCAGATCTTTGGCAATGTCGGCCTGCCCATCGCCCAGTACCCCTACTTCTCCAAGCAAACAAAGGGCCTCGACTTTGACGGCCTGAAGTCCGCTCTGTCCTCCGCCCCCGAGCGTTCCATCATCCTCCTCCACGCCTGCGCCCACAACCCGACCGGCGTCGACCCCACCCGGGAACAGTGGAAGGAAATCGCTGCTCTGATGCGCCAGAAGAACCACTTCCCCTTCTTCGACTGCGCCTACCAAGGCTTCGCTTCGGGCAACCTCGCTCAGGATGCGTGGGCCGTGCGCTACTTCATCGAGCAGGGTTTCGAGCTGCTCATCGCCCAGAGCTTCGCAAAGAACTTTGGCCTCTACGGCGAGCGCGCCGGATGCTTCCACTTCGTCACCGCACCTGCCCCCGATGCCGCCCAGACGACCTCCCGCATCGCCTCCCAACTCGCCATCCTCCAGCGCTCCGAGATTTCCAACCCGCCGCTTTACGGCGCCCGCGTTGCTGCGACGGTGCTCAACTCCCCCGAGCTGTTCGCCGAGTGGGAGGAGAACCTGCGTACCATGTCTGGCCGCATCATCGAGATGCGCAAGGTCCTGCGCGCCAAGCTCGAGGAACTCGGCACCCCCGGCACGTGGAACCATATTACCGACCAGATCGGCATGTTCAGCTTTACCGGTCTGTCCGAGACCCAGGTACTGAAGCTGCGCTCCGACGCACACGTCTACATGACCAAGAACGGCCGTATCAGCATGGCTGGTCTCAACACGAGAAATGTTGACTACTTTGCCAAGGCTGTCGACAAGGTCGTCCGCGAGACACAGTAGAGGGAGTAAAGTGCTGTTTATTATGATTATGTTTTTATAAATCCGGTAGACCTAAGCATCAATCGCGGCACATTGGGATAGGACCCGGGACTGGGATGTCCCGGCATGATGGATGGTTATTGCACCAATGGATGACGAAGACATGCGGCAGGCGACGGAATAAGGCAGGCAAAATAAGATTCTAGATTTTCCCAGCTCCGAAGTAATCACCCATCACATCACCCCTTGGTCTTTGCGCACGACGATATGCAATATTCACGTGACCCAGCGATATTCTCATGCGTGCCAGGCTAGACTGGGGGAAAGGGGCGCTGCAAAAAGCCAATCCTCTTCCGTTGTCGTACATCTGCTTGCCAGCCGCCAAAGTCTAAAGTCAAGTTACGTCTTGTTTAGGTCAATACCCCTGGACCTGGGTTCACAGGTTTATTTCGGATGAACGACAGAGCACTGGCAGAGGCCCTGACAGCCTTCGGGTGAAAAGGCCACTTGATGCCAGAGGCTGGCTCTCCATTCCCCCATCACTGAGAGTGAGCTAGTAATGAGATATCCGGCACACGACGGGTTTGCCGAGGCAGCTTGCTTCTCACGTGCGGGTGGTTTGCATGGTTCAGTTCGACCGAACGGTTGGTGATATCAAGTAGGCGAGGCGCTCCGATCTCAAGCTCTTCATGAAGGAGCTTTCGCGGGTCGCCGATGAAGCGGGCGCGCCATTTGAACATGGCTCTGGCATCGGACCGCATCTGTGTGAGAGAGGATGAAGGACGACAAGAGGACAAGGGTGAGTCCGGAAGTGGCGCTGAAAACGGCGGAACCACGGGTGAGGCTTGTATCGCCTCCCCTCCCCCTCCTCTCCAGACAGCGGCTATTGGGAGAGTACCTTGGCGCACTAGACAGAGTCAAGATGTACAAGTGGTCGTCAAGCTCCAATCCCCTACCAAGGGGGATCTAGTACTTTGTCCGTATCGTTGGGTTGGTTGACGTGCGAGGTTCTCCAACCCGCCGCTTCTCCAGCCATGTCTCCGGGTCGAGGACGCCAAGTCCACCGAGGAGCCGTTATGTGATGGCGTTGACTGAAGTCTCTCGTTTCTTCGTCATAACCGTCGTCGTCGTCGTCGTCGTCGTCGTCGGGCGTCAGTCGTCTCTCCGGCCGTCAATGTTCGTTGTCGTCGGTGGCGCCCCTGTGATCCTCTGTTCCCCGCCCTTTTCTCTCTTTTCAGATCTCCCCCCCCCCCCCCCCCCCCCCCCGCAAGGTGACTCGGTGAAGAGGGTAGGGAAGAAGAGGAGGGGGGGGGGGAACACACGAAGTAGGCTTGACGGTTCAGGGACGACGTGCCGGTTATCTAGTCTTAATGCCTCGTGGCAATCGGCCCTTCTCTCGGGTCTTTACGGCTAACAGTGTCTCCACCCTCCCGCAATGCCGGCAGAGGAAGGGGAAGGGGGCGGGGTCGATGCTTCCACCCCCCGCGCCTTGCTTGCGTGCGAGTTTTGTGGGGGTAAGGAGGATAGAAACTCTTGGGTTCTTTCTCTTACCTACATCTACTTTGGGACGATGGATCCATCCTCCGCGGGTTTCCTCATATTGTGCTGTCGACTCTTAGCCTAGTCGAGTCATTACGATAAGCCAATGGGATAAGGGCGGAAGAGAGGGAGCTGCGACGTCCTCCTCCTAGTCCAAGCTCTTCTCAGCCTCTTGATTTTCCTAGAGAACTTTACCCGTGTATAGGGGGGCTCTTGGCCGAGTCAGGAGGACTCGCTTCATACTCCTTAATGGCTTGATGTTTGATGGTGTTTCCCCGCAAAGTCTTCATTTTCCGGATGAACGAGATGCAGGATGGGATGGGATGAAATGGGGATGGGGATGGTGTTCGATTGGAGGGGTTTGGATCAGTGGCGTCCTGGCATAAATACAGCTTTCTAATTCCACAGCAACGTCTCTTTGATGACACCCAGCCTTTTTGCCCGTGGGCTCATCTCAGAGTTTTACCCTGCCGGCGGAGAAGGTTCCAGCCTGCACAGCTCCATCCCACTACTGACGGTGCGAACTTGCCATCCTCAAGTCCGATCAGGCCTGTCAGGACCAGAGAGGGCCTGAAGAGTTCCGAACCTAGGTTGCATCTGCCGGTCTGTCAACCACGCCATCGGTACTGTGCCAAACATAGTTCAGACAGGATTTGACTAGCTTACGAGGTATAGGAGGGGAGTTGAGCGAGCGAGCACTTCGAATGCAAACTGCATGCATGCGCCCTTGGCCGGGCGAATAGTCGTGTCAATCACTTCCCGTTGGGGTCTCCAAGGGACTTTTCAATGTCTGTCCGCTCTGCCCAGATGAGGCCAGAAAACTCAGCATGGCACACAGTTGCCCCCTACACCCACCCACACTCCTTGCCTTTTCCCAGAGTGCTCTGTCGGTGATCCTTCAAGTCGGCGAGCTGTGCCGCATTACTGCGGAACCCATGGTTCTTGGCACAGGCCCGCATGAGCATTTGCAGTTACGTCTGAAACTCGTAGCTAAGAGGCGGTATTAGGTCTTTCTGTCCGCTTCAGGGTTGGAGCTAGTTGCAGGTGAGCTACCCACTTAGGTAAAGTTCGTTTCGCGGGGCAGAGACCAAGCAGATATCTTATTTCGACGGCAGTTCCAAAGCAAGGTTGGGAGAAATGTCCAACGTAGCTGCGACGACTGCCCTCGGACGACTGTCCCTTCGACCCTGCGTGACCCCGGAGTCTCACACAATAACCTCGGCGCATGGGGATGGTCTCGCTACTGGTGCTCCCGATTGACCGAATGCAGCGCTCAGGTTGTCATCCCCCACAATCACAACACGTCGCCAAGTAGGGATACATCCTTCCAAACCCCAAAAACTCATTGGTAAATCTGGCCGATGGCTCTCACCACCCCTTGCTTCTCCACCATAGGCAGATACGGTACGGATATACCAGCCACTGTTCAGCGGAGTGCGGAGTCACCCGCTCGGACGCCCTCCCACAATTTAAACACGTCCAAGGCCAATAGTGCGCATGGGGAAGATAGAGCAGAGAGGCCATGTGGGGAAGAAGGGGGTGGGATTGGCTTCCCCGCATGTTGCTCGCCTCCAGGTGTGACTGACCTCCCAAACCCTGGCTCTTTTGTTGAAAGATGAACCTTTGCTCTGACTGGATGGATAAATGCAAGCGATCCTCCGGCCGTAGACAGGATTGGCTTGGCAAGCCATACGACGGCTCATTGCCATGCCCTCCCCGTGTAACGGTCATCTCATTCGGACCTTCTGCCACTTGGGGGCCCTGGAAGGAATGCTTCCCGCCGTCCCGCCTTAGTCATTGTGTTCCATGCCGGGTTCGTGCATGCTGCGTAGGCAAAGTGAGCAACGCCGGCATGGTGGGCCATCGCTTCACGCCAGATGCATACCTATATAATGCCCTGAGTAGACCTCGTCCGATGTTGCATCGTACGAGAAGACAGAGTGTGTGCCTGCTTTTCTTCCCTGGAGACAGGGTCCCGGTAACATATATCTCCGTCCAGAGGAGTACAAACACTGCTCACCCAATCCTCGTCTTTCTCAAATTCTCTTGCCATCCGTTCGCGATAGCTGCCTTTCAAGCTTCGCGTGTCCCATCGGAATACCCCAGCAGCAGCAGCAGCGGTGGCCCAACATGGTTCAGATCAAGCGCATCCAAGAAACCGGGGCGGCGGACCCCATCCTGACGCGCATCTCGGAGGAGGACAAGGTGCCGTGGTACCAGAAGCCGAACCTGCGATTCCTCTACCTCATGCTCTTCCCGACCTGCATGGGCATCGAGCTGACGTCCGGTTTCGACTCGCAAATGATCAACGCGCTTCAGATCGTGCCCTCCTGGAAAGATTGTAAGTCGTCCAGCTTCCAGAGCAGCCGACAACATCCCGAGAACTAACGCCTTCTTTCTGCCAGACTTCGGCGATCCTCAGGGCAGCCTGAAGGGCATCATCGCCGCCGCCTACTCTCTTGGCGCCATCTTGTCTCTTCCCTTCGTCCCTATCGTGAACGACAAGTTCGGCCGACGATGGTCCATCCTTGGCGGCAGCTCAGTCATGGTGCTCGGCGCGCTCATCCAGGGGTTCTCTCAGCACGGTACGTCCGAACCTCCTCCCCCCTTTCCCTCCAAGAAGTTGGGTGAAGCTAATCCGAAGGAAACATAGTCGGCATGTACATCGTTGCCCGTATGATCCTCGGTTTCGGTATCCCGACCTGCATCGTCTCCGGCTCGTCTCTGATCGGTGAGCTCAGTTACCCGAAGGAGCGTCCGGTCCTCACGTCGTTGTAAGCTACCACAGCAATCAACTCTTGGGCCTGCGAAAATGAACGGCGAGAAACTAAATCAAGCGCAGGTTCAACGTCTCCTACTTTTTCGGTCAAATCTTGGCTGCCGGCATCTGCTTTGGTACCAACAACATTGACAATAATTGGGCGTGGCGCATTCCATCCCTCCTTCAGATCTGCCCTTCTATCTTGCAGATCACCTTCGTCATGTGAGAGCTCCGCGTGGAAGAAGCTATCAGGGCTATCCTCTGTCCTCAATATCTGACCCCCATCACTCGCAGGTTCCTCCCCGAGAGTCCCCGTTGGCTCGTCACCAAGGACCGTGGCGAAGAGGCCAATGAGATACTGATCAAGTACCACGCCGAGGGCGACCGCGAATCCGAGTTCGTCAAGGCCGAGATGGTCCAGATCAAGAGCGTCATCACCCTTGAGATGGAGGCTGCGAAGCAGACGTGGATGGACCTGCTCAACACCGCTGGCATGCGCCGTCGTGCTCTCATCTCCGCGATGCTGGGTCTTTTCACTCAGTGGTCCGGTAACACGCTGATCTCGTAAGCATCTTCCGCTTCCCGTGCCCGCCGCCGCCGCCTTGCGCTGACTTGAAAACGTAGATACTATCTCGGCGACTTGCTCGAGATGGTTGGCTTGAAGGACTCTGTGGTGAAGCAAAAAATCAATGTCGGCATCGCCGGATGGTCCCTCATCTGCGGTTTCATTGTCGCAATGCTTGTGCGGAGGATCCGCCGTCGCGTCATGTACCTTTTCTGCACGATCGCATTGGTAGGCTCCCCTTGAGACATCCCACAAGCTGCTGCAGGAAGCTAACAAGACATGCCAGCTCTTGTGCTACATTGCATGGACGATCTCCATGGAGCGCGCTGTGCATGCCATGGACCACGGCTACAAGAACCAGGGCGCGTCCATCGCGACCATCTTCTTCATCTTCATGTATTCGCCCTGCTACAACATCGGTTACAACGCCCTGACGTACACCTACCTCATTGAGCTATGGCCTTACGCGCTGCGCTCGCGCGGTCTCTCGCTGTTCCAGCTGTTCGGTAGGTTGGCAGCCTTCTTCACGACCTTCGTCAACCCCATCGGCCTCGCAGCCGTCTCGTGGCGCTACCTCATCAGCTACTGTTGCTGGCTCGCCTTCGAAGTGGTATTCGTATACTTCATGTTCCCCGAGACGGCAGGGCGCACCCTCGAGGAGCTGGCTTTCTGTAAGTCGCTGATACCTGTGCCGTTGATTCCGCGGGCCTTGCTGACGCATATTCCCCCCTCCCAGTGTTTGAGGACAAGGCCCTCGCCGACCAGGCCGTCGTTGCCGTCGAGAAGGCCATCCACCACGAGGACATGGACCCCATCAGCGAGACCAAGAGCGGGGCTGTCAGGACAGAGGCCGTGGAGGACGTCGGCGCCAAGTCCAAGGTCTGAGTGTTGCGCACAAAGCGGCCGGCGCAGGCACTGCATCGGAAGGCTCTTGTGGTTTTCCAAGGCACCTTCATATCCCAGGATAATGAACACAAATGAGTTTTAGAACATGATCATTTCCCCCCCATTCTGTCCACGACTGCAGGGATTACATCTTGCGACGTCGCTACTATGATCTGTTGCCGTACATCAATACTCTCGCACCATTCCTGTATCAGGTCACCGCCTACCTGTTACCTTTGCTTGGGTAGTTTGGACATGGCCTTCGCCGGGTGCCCTCTGGTCATCTACATGCGCAAGCGGTTGAGGAGAAACTCTAACCCACATGTTCATTATTGTGGCAAGGCTCCTGGCTGGGACTAACCCAGTAGCTGTGTGCGAACTTGTATATGAGGACCACGACGGCGGGTTTCTCATGATTTCATGGCCATTTGCTTGGTAATTATAGACCCATCGTGTCCCATCTTCCATCAAAAGTAACCAGCTCTCGAGGAACCTCGGTACGGAATCATGCCTCCAATCTATCCTGGTTCAGATCCAGATGCTGTTATGATTCGAAAACTCTCAATAAATTACAACGCTTAAGCAATCAAGGGTATGTTTAAAAAAGATATCAAGCGCTCCACCATGTACACCATTACAATTATGGGCTGGTCTTTAAGCCATGAGTGATCCTGTCGTGTTCGCTGCGAATGATCTTTTCTTCTTGATCATGTTTACGTTAAACCATCCCGGAAACAACCAGGGCAGCCAGTCCAGCAATCCCCAGGAGAACCGAATTGCAGGCCATGGCCGTTGCCGCACTTGCCGCGGTGGTCGAAGAGGAGCCGGCCTTTTCGGCCGTTGGAGATACCGGTGCCGGCTCTACGGGAGTCGGCGAGGCCAGAGACAGCGCGCCCGAGGGGTTTGCGCTGACGGACGGGATCGCTGGTGCGCTGGGGGTCACGGACGGTGTGGGCGATGCGCTTGTCCCCGCAGCAGACGTCGTCGTGTCGGGCTTTCCGACCATCTCCTGCACCCACTTCCCAGCGTCGCCGGAGTAGATGTCAAAGTAGTTGAGGTGGTTGGCCACGGTGTTGCCGCCGGCGCAGATCGGGTCCGAGTCGGCGCAGTACGAACGTGCCACCTTTGAGAAGGCCATCAGGCCGGCGAGCTGATTCGCCGGACGGGGGAACAGCCCGTTGTCTGGGGCACCCGCTAGGATGTTGTATGGCTGGTTGGCAGTATGCCTTGTGTCGCCGAAGAGAAGCACAGCAGCGACTATGAGACCACGCCATTAGCCGACGCCAGGTTTCAGCAGATCAAAACACCACTCACTCTTGTTTCCGGGCGCCTTCGTTGCGTCCATGCCCGGAGTCGGCTTCTGCTGGCAGCCCTGGAAGAAAGTGCCGCCTCCGCCGCCCAGCACGTCGCCGACAACATGGGCGCCCTGGGAGTATCCGCTGATGACGAGCGCTGCGTCCGGACACCGCTTGTTGTATGCCGTGATCTGCGCGGTCCCGTTCGCGACACCATCTATGATGGACTGGCAGTAGGGCGCCGGCAACGGGTTGTAGAACTGGATGTCTTCGTAGTCGCAGCTGTCGAGGCCGTCGCAGATGGCGGTAACAAGCTTCCCCTGGCGGCCGGGATACGGTTCGTTGTTCCCGCGGGCGAGAAAGATGTGGACGTCCTGGCATTCGGCATCGCCCGTGGCCTGTCGTCCAGCGACCGACGCAGCCGAGGCCCACCGGGCGGCGGATATGAGGGCGAGAGCCGCTGAGAGGGTTGACACCATCTCGAGGTCGTCGGCTGGCAGCTGGCAGATGGCTGCAGCGGGCTCTGAACGAGTGAAAGGCACGTGGAGAGGAGTGGGAAGAGTGGGAGAGGTTGAAATGAGACGATTGGAACACCCGAAAACGGGTATACGGAGGTTTGAACTAGTATTTGAATCTCAGTGCCTCCCTGTCCTGAAGGCTGGTCCGGTACCGATGAACCACGCCACTTCGCCGGGCCTAGAAGCTGTTAACGAGTCAATGATAAGCCTGGATCCACCAAGACCAGGGATTCCCAGACACCAATGCCATGGTCGGGGCCGTCGGCTACGCCAGACGTCATGTACCCATTGATTGGCGCTGTAGAACTTGACCGAAAGGCGAAACAGGAGCTGAAAATCCTCCTGATCACCCGCAAAGTGGGTATTGCACCCAGAATGGGGACAGTGGCGAACGCAACAATTCACCCGTCGGTTATTTTAGGCCTGAGATCCGGGCCATGTCGAGGCTTGCGTGGTCCATCCCTGAACTGAATTGTCCCTGTGTGGGGATCCTATGCAGGGATGAACGGCATACGAACTCCGAGGGTGCATTTGCTGACGACGACCAACTGCACTCACTTGCTTGCACTACAAGAGTCGAGTGCGACTGTGAGCTTCATCACCCGTGTACGAACCGACGAACATGCCGTCGCAAGAGTTTTAAGCTCGTGGGCCACCATAACCATCTACAGCGTCCGTGCTATATCAGCCCGAGCCAGCCCGCGGTCTTGTTCCATGCTGGTTGGTCAGATCAAATTCCAACAACGACGGCATTGGCAGGTGAAGGCTTGTTGCTTGGGCACAAACCTTGGTGGACCGACATCTATTTTATCAAAAAAACTTGAGAGCACATCTTGTGAGAGCTCATGCTTCACCAGCTAAGCCTAAGAATTCCTTTTGTTACGCACAAGTCTGTGATGCCTTCCAATCAATCGTGCCATCCATTCCCAACTGTCTCAATTTGCATGAATCATATTTGTTTATTTGTTTATGTGGTTTTGTTTTCCTACCGAGAGTACGGTGCAAAGCAGGCTAAATCTTGGCGTCTTTGGTTTTATCGGAGCGACGTCAAAATGGGGCCTAGAGTCCTACTGCTTCTGTTCCAACCTTCCGCATTCTCCGGCTCATCCGCCCAGGGGGTCGGTCCGTCCCCACAGAACAAGTAAACATCTCATCCAATCGCGTGGCACAGTACCAAAACAAGATTATGAGTATCGGTTCGGCGTCTGCAAGTGAGATTGATGAGGCAATCTTGCCGGATCCTAGAGAGGAATGCTCTGATAACAGTGGCAGTGCCTCATTCCCGCAAGCTTTGAACGAGTCCTTCGGAAGCTTACACTCGTGTTATCGTACGGAATGCGGCTATATCAATGACCCGAAACTCAGCCAGTTGGCAGTGAACACAAAGATATGTTAAGGAAGACAGATGCAGACGGTTTGCAACCTGTAAGAATCTGTGGGATATTAATGCTGACATTGAGCTCCCGAGGCTAGCCATCGTCAATTTCCCGTTTTCCCTGGCTCTGCATGGCCCTAACCCCATCAAGGATAAGCATGCTCATGACCTTCCTATCAGAGCGGTGGAAATCAATCGAGCAACCGCAGCAGTAGGATGATTAGGTGACGGGCGTCGTTGTTGCAGTAAAATAAAACCCGCCTGCTCCTATTGCGGCCATGTGTGTTGCAACCATGAAAACCTTGAACCGACGAATCTTCATTTACCGCCACTCGAAAAGAGAGGTTGACAGCTGTCTCAGTTGATATGTTCCCTCACCAACCGTGATGATAACGTCTACACGACATAAAGAGGTACCGTAAGGAGGCAAAAAGACCGACTGCTGACGCTTTGCGCTCTTCCTGGTCGTCGGTGTGCTTTTCCTCTTCCTTGGTCTGCGCCACCTCCGCGTTGGCAACTGCTTCTTTGAGATCAGACCCGAGCTTGGCGTGAATAGTCATGTCCTCCTGGAGAAAATCTTGCTTGGCCTGTCGCTCGAGTATGTCAAGCTCGGCGCGACAGGTGCTGATCTCGTCCATCTTTTCCTGGAAACTTCTCGAGATGTTCTTCTTGCAGAACTCAAACGTCTCCAGACACTCGCGAGTCTCCTCTCGAAACCTCGCCAGCGTCTCGGCGCCCTCGTCGTCACGGAGCAGTCCTGCAAAGTTGTGGGCGTCCCTGAGGTAGGACTCGATATCGCTGCCCGCCAACTGCTCGCGGTGAACGGCTTTGTGGCGGAGGTTGGCGATGGATCGGAAGAAGCTATTCCAGCTTCGATGGGGATGCGGGATTGCCTCGCCCTTAAATCTAACCTCCGCCTCGTACTTGAGGATGCGCACCCAAACATGGAGCTCAGCACACTCAGGAACGACCCATTGTCTGCTCCGGAGAACCTGAGGCATGTTGTGCACCGCATATTTGAAACATGCATTTTCGAGAATCGCCTGGGTCCTGACAAGAAGTGTGTGCTGAGCTTTGTACGGAAGGCATGCTGGGTTTCTCTGCGGATGGGGTGACATAGACAGGAAGCTAGCGGAACGTGACTGTAGAGACGGAGCGGCAGCCGATGACATCTCTCGCAAATTCGTTTTGATGGCAGCAACAACCCATGGCTCCTCGTTGGGCGAGTTGCTAGCTATGCGGTCACTTTCGGGACTTTCGGGACAATGACAATAGTTTGTCCCCCCGTTGGTGTCTGTGTGGGAGGGGATCCGATGGCTATAGGATTGCGCCTTCGTCATGGTATTTGAGCTGATGTCGGCAATCGGCTCTATCATCCGGGCCGCCGTTTCTGTCCTGTTCCCGATGCCTCCGTCCTCGATATCTTCGTTCTCCGTTGTGTTCATCTGAAACGTCGGATGATCCATTCCTGCAAAGTGTGCGCTTGCCATCTGCTCACTTTCGAATAGTCCTGCTTTCAAAAGCCTCTGGCAAACGACAACAACGGGGTTGAATTGGTACTTCTCGATCAAGGCGGCTGCGTCAGGCTTATACGTATGTGGTTGCTGGCAACGTCGGAGCCTCGACTCGATGACTTTCCGTTTGCGGATTTGCGACTCTGGCCCGCAGAAGACGGAGGAAAGGCCCAGGTAGACCTCCTTCTCGTCAGGTTCGGACTTCATCGTCGAGGTTGGTGGGCTGCTGTTGGTAGCAATCAGTCAGTTTTACTGCCCGAGAAGAAGAAGAAAGCAAGGTGGACAAAGGCTTGCGAGCTGGACAGTGATACGGGTGAGAAATCGAATCAAGGGCAAAAAGAACAAGGCCTTGGGAGCACATGAAAGCTTGTTAAAAAGACGATAGAACAGATGAAAGCACGAACTAAAGGCAAGAAGGAAAAGAGTAAGGCCTAGGGAGTAGACGGAAGTCTGTTAAAAAGACGACGGAACGGACGAAAAACCGAACCAAACGAGAAGACCAACAGTAATAATAACAATCTTCATCTGTGATGTTATAGCAAAAGGTAATACGGCCAAAGACACATAAGAGAACAACAATAGGGCATGAACAAGCAGCTAGAAGACATCGATAGAGAGTGATGTGTCGGATGTGTCGATCGTGACGGGAGGAGCAAAGATTAGAGAAATAGCACTTTACTGCTTTGCAATGGTCCATGGCGAGCGAAAATGCCGAAAGACTGGCACTTCCTACCTACACCTAGCATTTGTTATACTGTTATTGAGTACACTAGTCTCACTCAAGCAGTTATGGTTCATAGTTATCATAATAGATAGGATTGAATGGTACTAGGGCCGGCTCAGGAGTTCCTGTAGATGGACCCGGTGCAAAACATCAGCATGGCAGCTGAATGAACAAGGGTTTGAGATATGGCCAGCGGTATGGAAGAGTGAAAGGACGAGCTGGGAACATAGCTGGAATTGACAGCGTGATGCAACTGGGGCACCAGGCAACAGTTTTTTGCTGCAAACCTGACTTCAGGGTCTGCGCTGGTTTTGGGGGTAGAGCTAAGGATACCAGAATGTCTTCTCATCACCAGCACGTAACAAGTAGTGGGCTGGCGAAATATCGAAACACGTTGGCTCGTTATAAATAATAGACAAATGTTGTTACGGAATACTCAATCCGTATCCAGGGAATTCAGATGAATGATGGAATTATATCTCGGCTCTCCTTCGACTCCGGCCTTTCTTCCCTTTTCTCTGGCCCCCGGCGCTGGGGCTTGAAAGTTGCTCTTCGCTTTTTGAATCTTGTAAATAAATCGTCATCGTCATCGTCTTCATCTTCTTCCCTATTACTGTCAAGGGTTGTTGTTGTTTCTGTAGAGGCTGGTCTCGTCAACATTGATGCGGGTGGACCCCCCTGCAAATAGCAGGTTTAGTCTCTGCCATCCGTATGCTGGCATCCGGTATCTTTGATTTCTGCAGAACAGATCGACTAGGTGCTTCTGCACCAGTCCCTAAGGAATGAGAGGGTCTCCTGGACGTCGTTCGGGCTCTTGCGTCTTCCATCCCGGCTGTGAATCGGCTGGGACGCCCCAGGTCGTCGCTCTCATCCTCGGTCTCCTCATCATCCTGGTCGGACTTGATCGCAGTGATCGGCCTCTTACTCTGCGACCTCACCAGACCTCCAAACAAACTTGAAGCCTTCGTTCTGTAATCTGTCTTCGTAAGCGCCATCAACGGCACCTCCTTCTTCCTCGGGCTATGCATGAGGCCTTGTAGTGAGGTTCCTCGCCACGGAATGCTAGTCTCATCTCCGCTTTCATCACCGTCCCTGCCCGCCTCCTGCTTCGCTTGCCGTAAAGCCTCGCGCTGCTTCTTCTTACGAAGCAGCTCCTCCTGACGTTTACGCGCGAGCTCGGTAAGAGATCCGACGACAGGGCGGGAAATGTTTTTGATCGTCTCCGCGTTTTGGCTCCGCGTCTGGGCCTTAAGGCGTTGGTACTCGGCCGCATGGAGATGGGCAGTAAACTGTCCCGCGACAGTGAAGAGTTCGTCCTCAACCATGCGGTATTTGTCATCGTGCTCCAGCCCTTCAATCATGAAGCTATGAACGTGTCAGCTTTAGGCGGCAGTGAATGAACCCGGGTGGAGATTACGTCTCTGTGAGAGGTTCTGGAGGTGGTGAGGTAGAGGGGCTTCTATCTGTGGAAGCTCAGTTAGTTCTTGATAGTGAGCGAAAAGCGTCTGTGAACACGTACCCTCGAGAAAGCCATCTGAGCGGGCTGTTTTGCGGCTGGAATTCCCCAATGAAGCAGTAGTCGTAGATTGCTTGGGCGTGGCATGGTGTTGTATCGCGGGTTTCCGCGGAGTCGTTGCGCTCGTTGGTTTCTTTGGTGTTGGTAACCCTTCTGGAGTATCACGGTCCCAAGGAAGTCGTCGCGTCATGGTGTGGAGGGGATAAGAGGTGTGAAATTCGTAGTGAGTGAGTGTATGTGCCAAGCGATTCGAATGAACTCATAACAGAAAACAAGATTGCAGTCTTCCACTTCACTACCTTACCTAGGTAGGCGCGGTGGCGGTTGTAACTGAGGTGCTGTGGGGTGTGCTCCTTGCCTACCTGTAGACGTGGTTAGGCAGCTGTCAGTATGCCGTTCAGGTGCGTTCGGATCACCCACTGCCCTAAGCCTTAGACACGGGGTGCGCTCTGTGGACAATGGAGGGGTCCACTCCAGTGGTGAGGTCGCAAACAAACTTGAAACAATCAGCAACGTTGTATAGAGTCGGCATGTTCGTGATAAACATACAAGACCAGTCTCGTGGGAAATGGCATTTGACAAAAGAAAAGCACCCGATCAGGGATATGACTATTTAAACGCTATGAGTTTGCCCATTTTATCTATCATCCGTAACCAGTCCCGACCAACCAAATACTCCATCAACCCAGATTGAATTCGCTGGCTGCGTTCATCACAGACTTCATCTTCTGCTTCATCTTCCTCTCCATCTCACTCGGCTGGGCCCCGTTCGGGTCAATGTCCTCCATGGCGTTGCCCGACGGCCTGCTGTCGCCTCTCCTGCCCGCCGCCTTCTTCTTCATGGTGGTCTTCTTGCTGTCATGACCACCGCGCCCGATACCCGACGGCGCCTCGCGCAGACCATACGCCTTGGCCATGTGGCCCAAGTGAAGCTCGTTGATGTCAAAATAGACGCGTTCCTCCTTGATGTGGGTCGCGTACGCCCTGATGTGTGAGCGGAAGGCCTTCCGTGCCTCGTCGAGAAGCTTCGTTGCCGATGGCAGGAGGAGACGCTGTTCCAGGTGAAGTTGAAGGTTCTCGGCTCGAGTGCTGAAGCCCCTGTCGGTAGCGGGCTGGGGCTTTGCATCTGTCTCAACGGGGAAATCCATACCCGTGGTAAGACCTTTGTGGAGCACGGTGTCGTAGAGCTCGGGCTTAGGGGGGGAGGCGTTCTGGGCTTTGAGGAGGTCGATGTAGCCTTCTTCACACCCAGGCATGAGAAATAGGACGGCCTTACCGGGCCGGCCGGCACGGGCTGTACGACCGATGCGATGGACGTGGTCTGCTGCGCTGAAAGCGGGATCGTATTCGACAACGAGCTCGACGGAAGGCACATCGAGTCCACGCGACGCAATATCAGTGGTGATGAGCACTGTCGGGTCTGTACATTTGCTGTAAGAGGCAAGTGTTGCTGTACGCACAGGCTGGGGTAGGGAGCCGTGCAGCTTGTGCAGAACAATGTTGGTATTGGCGGCGGAAGTGATGTATGCTGACGGAGCCACGGTGTTCGCGGTTTGCGAAGGGTTTTCGGTTGCCTTCTCGTCCTTACCCGGTGGTTGACGCAGGAGATCAAAGTGGTAGTCTACTGAATCGGCACAGGATAAAAAGACGATGGCCTTCATCACCGAGCCCTTGCGTGAAAATGTCGACTTTAGGAGCGCGATAAGAGTGACCAGTCGCAGCTTGGCGGGCACGATCAAGTAGTTCTGCTTCAGTTGCGCTGGAGCCTCGAACTTGATCTCCTCTCCGTCGACCTGTTCTTCTTCCGACGTCGAAATGTGAACGGCGTCCTCCAAGCTGATCTCACCGAGCTTCTGGACGTTCATCCTCATAGTAGCTGAGCAAAGAACGGTGACACGGCGCTGAGGAAGATTGGCGAGAGAAACGCCATTGGCCGTTGATTTTGCCAGGGGATTCTCGCGGATCTTGCTGACGATGGTCCGCAGTTCTGCCTCGAAACCCATCTCCATCAGTCGATCGCCTTCGTCGAGAACCAGCCACCTTACGGTGCCGACATCGAGAGTCTTGGTGTGCTGAAGGTGATCGCTCAAGCGACCAGGTGTCGCGATGAGGATATTGACGCCTTTCCGCAAACGGCTCTTCTCAGAGTGTTTGCTTTCACCACCAATGACTGTTGTACTGACCAAGTACGGCGGGAGAACCTTGGCAAGGACAAGCTCGATCTGCCTGCAGAGTTCACGGGTTGGTGCCATGACGATGGCGAACAGGCCCGAGTCTCTCTTGATCTGACCTTCGACTGAGAGAATCCGCTGGATAATGGGAAGTAGGTAAGCGAGGGTCTTTCCGGAACCCGTCTGAGCCTGAACAAAGGCATCGCTGTCTTCGGTGATGAGTTGAGGAATGACCTTGGCCTGGATAGCAGTCGGTGCCTTGAGCTGAATCTTGCCGGACAGCGTCAGCGCCAGGCGTCGTGAGATTCCGAGGGCGTGGAAACTAGCAGCTTCATCAGAGAGCGGCGCATTCGAAGGTTCGGCTACTTTCTCCTCAACCTTCTCGGAACCTGGCTCATCGAATATCGTCTTGGGCGTAGGGTTGTAAGAGAAGAGCTTTGAGGTGACCGGGCCGTCTCTCGGCCTGCCGCTGGAGATGCTACCAGGCGGCAGCTTGCCTGTGCGGTAGGCATTTGCCTGGGGGTGCTCTGCCCTGGGCCGCTTAGCTGGACGTTCGTATGAGCCGTCATCGTCTCCCGGGCGATCGTCCCTCTGAGGTTTCCTGGATCCGGGTGTGTATCTCTGAGGTGGCGGGGCATCTTCCGAGGGTGGTGAAGGACCCTTTTCGCTCCTGTTAGCGATCCTCTGCGCTTTGTTCCTGTCGCGCCAGCGACCGCCCTGAATCTTGACGTGGGGCTTGACAGGGCCGCTGCCCATGTCAAAGTTGAGAATCATGCCATCGTCCGCCATTTTGTCGACGAGTTTTTCTGACGGTTGGTCTCAAGACTGAGTACTGGGATCGATAACGTCCCCATGGGAAATTTTCAGACAGATAAAGTCTTATCGTGGTCGGCGTTTAGATAAACCCCCACCTCACAGAGTCTACAGACAAGCTGATATTGTCCCCCCCCTGTCAATCCGAGAGTACCGTGCACGATAATAGCGATAAACCTCAATTCCTAAAGGCTGCAGTTATATCCTAAAGGCTGCAAGTTCAAATCCAGTTTTCTTGGATTTTTTTAAATTCCAAAACGGCTCCACCGGGGAGGGTTGGAATGGTACTAACCCACCCTGCTTCCTACGCTGCGCTCCGGGTCGGGATGGGCCAAGACCATCCCTTTTGCCTCTAGTTTCTTATTGAGATAGTTGTGTTATCACTAAATCCACTGTCTGCTTAGCTTTATTGCTGTTATTGTGCACGGTACTCTCGGGTTGACAGGGGGGGGATAATATCAGCTTGTCTGATTCCTCCACCTCACAGATCTGCCAATCATGCATCCCAGCATGCAGAACGCTTGGGCCAATCGACGCTCCACTTCAGTCCTCCGACCCACCTCTCAGTCGTTGTGGATTTGGGTTATGCTCGATACAACATCTCGCATATATCGTCTTTACCATCGTTGTTCGCAGCTAGTAAAGCAATTATTTCTGGTCTTATAAACAACAATTGCTCTGAGTAGTATTGTGAAAGCGCATTCTAGGTGCCCGAGATGAAACAGTATGGTCATTTTGAATACCATTACTGGGTTAGTGCCACTGACCCGACCCAGTGCTGAGCCATTCAGCATTCATGATAGACTCACTACCTCTTTCTGTGTCTACCTAGGTAGGTGCCTAGCTATCAGGTAATCAATCCGGTGAGCAGAAGAAGCAGTAATGGGCCGAGCTTCAAGGTCAAAGTCGTGCACAATCCTATGTTACTGTTCTTACCTCCCTGACAATTCTGCGGACTCACCTGCGATCACATTGCCTCCCTTGTTTTTTTTTTTTTCTTTCCACAAACACAGCTGTTGTTCTTTTCATGAACCCCTCCTTGGGATCTTGTCTTTTCTTCTTGTTCTTTCCAATTCCAACTCCAACATCTGGGTGCCTTAAATTCTCTGTCCATCTACCCCGTCACAACGTACTGCTTCTGCCCCCTGAGTGGCCGAATCAGATTGCTCCCTCTGCTGTCCCACTTCTTATTGTGTCTTTTTCAGATACTCGGTAAGTTGATCTTCTAGTAATAATTGCTGAGACTTTTCTTCGTTCTGGAGATCTTCGTCGCACTCGATCCCAGATGTATCGACTTTCTTGCGTATCGCAGAATCCTTTGACGCTCAACTGACTTTTGGCAAACAAGTAGTTTACACGCAGTGAGCGCGCAAATTCAAGCTTTTAGCTCTATTAATGCTGTAAATCCTACATATACAATATGGCAGCCGACTTTTTGCGCGACATTGACGACGGCACGCTCCAGTTGATCGTCGAGCTTCAGCAAGCCGACCTCCGGGAACTCCAGCAAGGCGAGTTCCAGCTACTCGATAGCCATCAAGATGACCATATGGCTCTTGAATTATACCAGAACGAGTTGGCATCTCTCGAATTCATGGCCTCAGACCGAGCTATGGCGCGCCGTATCGCGGAAGAAGGGGCTGCGGGGGCAGAGCACGAAGAATCCGCCGACGAAGCAGAGGCAGAGCACGGGGAACCCGTTGATGATGCATCACAGCTCTTAAACCCCACTGAGCAACCATATCAGCCTGAAAGTACAGCCGAATGCGTCATTTGTCGGGATGTACATGACACGCACGAACTCTACGAAAACCATGGCTGCCAAGACATGTACTGCGCCGATTGTCTTCGCGATCTTTTCGAGGCATCCATTAACGATGAATCTCTATTCCCTCCTCGATGCTGTGGTCACACCATTCCCATCAACGACATCTCAGGGCAGTTGTTCTCGGACGAGTTCGTGGAGATCTTCCACGCCAAGTCGGTCGAGTATTCGACAACGGACCGAACATACTGCTACATTCCCACTTGCGCTGCTTTTATCCCACCTGCTACTATTCATGGAGATGTCGGCACTTGTCCAGACTGTCGGGCCAGAGTCTGCGTTCGATGCAAAGATGCCGAGCACCAGGACCATGCTTGCACTCAGGATGCTGCTACGCAACAGGTGCTCCAGCTGGCCAAGGAGAACAACTGGAAACGCTGCCCTTCTTGTCAGACTGTTGTGGAGTTGGGAATAGGGTGCTACCATATCAGTGAGGTTTCAGACTTATACCTATCGAGATAATGAACTTTCACTAACCAATATTAACACGGATCAGCCTGTCGTTGTCAAGCCCATTTCTGTTACCTCTGCCTCGCACAGTGGAAGAATTGTCTGTGCCGTATGTGGGATGAAGGCCGACTCCTCGCCGCCGGTGAAGAGAGAGTTCAGAGAGACCCGCAAGCCCGGAACCTTGCCCAAGAGGAGCGTCAGGCAGCAGTGCGGCAGGCGCAAATCCACATTGAAGAGAACCACGATTGTAACCACGCCTCTTGGAGAAGCATCACCATCGACCGTAATACCAGACACCTGAGACAGTGCCAGGGATGTGACGAGGAGATGCCCGTCTTCATCTACCAATGCCGCCAGTGCGAGATCTCAGCTTGCCGCAGGTGCCGGTACAACCGTTTCCACTAAGGAGGTGTTGGATCTGGGTTCATGTAGCTCTGAGGCAAAGACTGGCCATTTGTGTTCGGAGAGTGGGTACAAGTCTTGATGGGCAGAGTGCTGAGAAGAAAGTATGTATGAGTTTGCCAAGCAAGACAGTTTGGGGTCACTGAAGACAGCAGATAGGTAGATCATACTGGGTTGCATCACCAAGCATACTTTTGCGACTGTGACAATGCAGAAGAGCAAAGTAGCATGGACACTCGGTAAGCTGAACACTTTGGCCGGCGGTAAGAAACACATGATTGCTTAAGGGAAGCCGCAAGAAGAGGGATCCAACACTATAGAGAAAGCAGGACTCAGTCAATTGATGGGTTTTTTGGTACAGAACACTAGTATAAAGCTTCAAGCCGGACCTCCCGTATACTGCTAATGTCCCTAGTAAATCAGGAAGGGCCACTGAGGGCAAGCTGCCTTTGCCATCGCACCTGCTCATATTGAGCGGGCAGGTCAGCCATCAGTCCTCCCCCCCCGTTTATCACCTATTATTTCAACTTTCTCGTCAACGTTATATTTTTCTCCATCTTTCTTTGCCGCTTTCTTCGCATCCACAAGTCTCAAGGAGATTACTTTCAGCTCGTCTTCCCTTACCGTTTCACTTATATCAGTTACTGCGCTTACGGAAACACCTTGTGGACGGTGTGGAATTGGGTATGGTAATTCAAAGAGAAGCTCTTTCCGCAACTCAAACAACGTTTTTGGCATGGCATTGAGAAAATATGCATCGTCTATATGTGTTTATGCATTATCAATCGAGAAAAAAAAAGTACTGACTTTGCCATTATAGTTCGGAAACCGAATTAGAAATTCTTGCATCTCGTTTGCAACGACATTGGAACGCCAGACTCCGGTATCATGTCTTTCTCATTCTTCGGTGGCATGGACGCTGAGACACGGAAGCTGTTCTTTACGCTGCAGCAGGAGGACCTCGAAGACATCCGCACAGGCGATACTGGCAAGGAGAACACTAGAAAGCCCTCGGACTCCCAGATAGCCTTTGGCCTGTACGAATCAGAGTTGAGATCACTCTCTACTTCCTTCTCCGAGTACACATCGACCATACGTCAGTCCCAGAGGAGTTTCACCGAGACTCACAGTCCTGTCAGTCAAGAGCTACGTGTGATACCAGCACCGGGGAACAAGAGAAAGTTTCAACAGACAAACGAAGACGAGGTCAGGCCTTCAGTTGAATATACGACCAGGACAGTTATCGACTTGACATTAGACTCGCTTTCCCCCTTGGCCTCACCTGAGCCTGAGTTATCCTTGAGTGATGACGATATTCAAGAAGAACAAAACACTTGCGTGGCATGTTTTATCGACATGGGGGAAGAAGAAACCTTTCACGCCCAGTGCGATCACGATTACTGCCACGACTGCATAGGCGAACTATTCAAAGCTTGTCTCACTGGCGAGTTTCAATTCCCCCCCAAATGCTGCGGAGAGCCTATCCCAATAGACATCGACTGCGATGCTGTTCCTGCAGAAGTCATGAAGAAGGTCAGAGACAGAGCGGTTGAGCTCACTACTCTTGACAGAACCTACTGTCGTCAGCCGACTTGCTCGGCCTTTGTTCCCAAGGAAAGCATCAAGAACGATGTGGCAAGCTGCCCTGAATGTTGGGAAACGACGTGCATTTTTTGCAAGGGCGCTGAACATGCAGACTATGCCTGCAAGGAGGATGAAGCAACTCAAGAACTTCTCAAGCTGGCCGAGAAGAACTCATGGAAGAGATGCCCTACATGCCGTACACTGGTGGAGCGACACGACGGATGTCTTCACATGAGTAGGTTTTCAGTTCCGATTCGTCCAAAAGATAACAGCTAACCTTGACTTGAGCCTGCCATTGCACAACTGAGTTCTGCTATCGATGCGGAGGGGCGTGGGCAGGATCCCACCACTGTGTCTGATGCGGGGCATGAAATCCGACACGCTTCTGATGAAATACTTCACAAAGATGAAGAGCATGGTTTCCATGACAGTTCGAGAGATTTGAGATACCGAGCGCTTTCCTACGGGGCGAAGGGGCGGATGCGGTGTTGAATAAATTGATGGATCTTGGAGACAAGGGGCTTGCCGACATTATGGCAGGTTGTCACGGCGTCGGACCGATCCTTCTCAAGATGCGCGAAGCAGATGCTGAAAATGCAGAGGCTGTATGGACCAGATGCGGTCGCCATTGATTCGGAGAGCACACACATAGGGAGATCAACAGATTAGCCTGCATTTAATGGATGCACTAGGTAGGTTGTGATTCGGGATCACCAGTTTTTCGTTGAATGGATCAAGAGTTGTTTTGCCGACTTACCATGCTCGGACAATAAGCGACATGACCAAACTTGATGATGCCAAAAGAATACACGACGTGTATATATCGCCAGTCAGTGTTGTGTTATTGAGGATTGTTCTATAATGCAAAAGTTGATGCGGCCAGTGTGGATTGAACACACGACCTTCAGATTAAGTGATTGAAGTTGACTTCAGTCTGACGCTCTCCCAACTGAGCTATGTCCGCCGCATTTGATTGTTGAATTTGTGGATACTATGATATCTTATGACTGATAGACAACGCGCCCCACGTCTCCATCTACAGAGCCCAACAGCATTGTTGCCCTCTTTCTATGTCCTACTACGGGTCAGACCAATTCCAGGTCGAAGCGACCAGGCCGCGTTCCTTTTATTACGAGCTAAAAATGCTGACCAGGTCCTCGACGGCGCTTACTGCCGGAGCGCTCAAGAACTGTGGAAAGTGTGCAGCATAGAGAATGCTCCACGCCTCTTACCTCAGTTTATGTTGAGCAGAAAGACCACTGCATTCTTGAACCCGTCTTCACGTACTTCTTGTCTTGCGTATATATTAACTTCTGGTTCTGCATATATATAGCCACGTACTCGCATCAGTCATCGCTAGAGCAGTCGCTGCCGCCGCCGCCATCAAGACAGCCATCCAGCATACTCGCCGAGCTCCTCTTTCCTCGCTCCCTCCATCTCCCCCCTGACGCCCAACAGCCGTACGCGTCCGCCGTTGTCCTTGCTCCAGCCCTCGAGGAACTCCTCGACCCGCTGCCTGGTCGCCTCGTCGTCCCGCATCACCAGCGCGAGCGCGTCGAAGCCGCCAGCGCCGGGCACAACGCCGCCCAGCACGCCCTCGACGCTGGCCAGGGCGTCCAGCAGCTCCGTCTGCGACGCCGGCTCGATCGGCACGCCGCTTCCCTCGCCCATCGCGCGGATCAGCTCCCTCACGGCCCCGAACGCCGCGCCGACGCCGTCGATCTCCCCGTCCCGTAGCACCCGGGCGAGGCCCTCGTTCCGCGCCTGCAGCTCGTCCCAGAGCGTCTTGGACGCCTCGGGGCTTCCCTTCCTCCACTCGAGGACCTTCTTCACCATGCCCACCGTCTGGCTCCCGCAGTCAACGTCGCACATGCGCAGGCACACGCCCTCGGGCAGGCTGACACCGGCCTTGTCGACCTCTACGTCCCACGCGAGAACCTCGTCGACCTTCCTCACGAGCGCGTCCGCGAAGCCCGGCGCCCCAGGGGACGCGAGGTCAGACAGCAGGGACGGTGAAAAGCGGCGGTACCGGCAGCTCCCGAACACGGCGGCGGCAACGTCGAAGCCGGACCCGACCTTGCCCTGCGCGGCGCAGTGCGCCGCCTGAGCGAGGTTATGCAGCGTGTGCTTGCCCGCCTCCGACGTGAGGTCGAAGAGCGCGGTCGGGAGATGGTGCGTCAGCAGGGCCGCGGTAAGGGAGGTCACGAGTGCGGCGGAGGAGCCGAGACCCGTCTTGTGCGCCTCGCCGATGGTGTAGGGGTACCGCGCAAAGCGGGAGCCCTTGCCGGCGATGGGGGTGGCGGTAGCGGCTGTGGCGGTGGGCAACGAGTAGTAGTCGTTGTCGGCAAGGATGACGAGACGGGTCGAGGTGAGGGCGTGATTGGGGCGTTGCTTGTTAACGCTGGCGATGTAGGTGAGGGCGTAGCTGAGGGTTGTCTCTACGAAAGGGTTCGGGCTGATCTTGGAGCCGCTGCGAGGGGGTGTGAGTTAATCAAGCCAGCCGCGCGGGTGGGCGGTGTGAGAGAACGAGAGGGTAGGGACAGTGAGTGAGCGGGTGAGTGAGATGTCGATCATGGGTGAAGATGAGCCAATTGCGCCTCAACGAGAAGCTGACACGGTAAGAGAGGCGTGAAGGGTTTCAATGCCAAAGACCACTGGCGGTTCTTGCGCGATATCGCAAGGCAACCCCTCATCGAAGCCCTCTCTCCACCGTACTCCGCCTCATGCCAGGGCATCGACATCTCGCACCATCCTCCCTCACGCGGTCACAACAGAAAACAGGAGAGGAGAGACAAGAAGAAGAAAACATACACGTGTAGCTGCGTGACGGTGATGCCACCGTCCTCGGGTGCGAGATGGAAGCCGTAGCGCCACACGGCGTCGACGAACTGCGGGCTCTCGACGACGATCTCGGTCAGGTGCACGCCGGGCATGGTGTGGATCTCGGCAGCCACGACGTTGATGCGGGCGCTGAGCCCGAAGACGAGGCCCGTGTAGGCCCGGTCCAGCACCAGGTAGCCGCCCGCGAGGAGCACCTTGCCCGGCGCCGAGACGGCCGTCGTGGTGGGGTTCGAGGTCATCGAGGCCGTCATCTTGGGATGCTTGGCTCCGCGCTTACTTTTTCTTTCCCTTGTCCCAAGTAATGCGTTCTCTGCGGGGTACTTCTATTTTATTTTACTTTTATTCTCTGCTCTGGTTCGGGGTCGGAATCCGCGCGCCTGATAACAAACTCCGCCTGGCGGGTTATCCGGTCAAAAGTTTCGCCGGCGATTTCGAACCGAGGATCTGTGGAGCTTGATTCCGGAATGGGAGTCGATGCCCTCTTATGAGTGCAACACAACGGTATACGAGGTGCAGTGGGGGGTGGTTATGTGATGACGCAGGCGGGATGAAAGTGAGGCATGCTAGCTGAAAGTTTGACTCGGGATTGTGCATCACAAGAGAGGAGACGGACGACAGTGCGGCATTCACTGTGCAATCGTCGAGGGCACCGACCAAACACTGTGCGATCCACCAGCTCTATCCCAGCGACTCTGGTATCGCCAAGCATGCTTTGGCACTTTGCTAACTCAAGGTCACTGTCAGCTTGGTATTCCCGCAGTTTTGCAGACCAGTCAAACATCCCGAGCTCGCCGTCTGTCATCATGGTACTCGAACCAAGCTTAGACCCCGCTCTTGAAACACGCGTGTCCAATTTCACATCGATTGTAGGCAAGCACATATTTCATCGTCACCAGCCACGACCGTAAGTCTTCACCGCATTTTTGAGGTATATTTGGAACAGTTGACAAGTATGTTCTTTCTTTCATTCTTCGAATGTACGCTGTCAATAATATACATACAGCAGGATCACATGTCCTCATGACATATCGTCATAAACCGACCCTCGAATATCCCTATCCTGTCCCCATTTCGTGATCCTCTATGCTGCATCGCACATCTTCTATCCGGCGACCTCTTTTTTAATATGCTGGAGTGGGGTTGTTGTTTGTGTCTATAATTTTGGGCCATCGGCCGTCATCGCTCGCTTTCCGATAAAAAGCCCCTGGGTAGGGTGCTCAGTCGCCTTGACCCCCTTTTGATTCCCTCAACGCCGTATCGTCCGGATTGTTGGGACAACGTAATTCGACTTCCAAAACACACGCCAACATTGAATAATGACAATAGGAAAAGATGGTTTCGACGCAATGCCGTAAATCATACTGGCCGCCCTACCCATTCTTGGCCAGACACCCCAGACCCTCAGTCCAACGACTTCAAAACACAACGGGGTATCAAGCAACGCGGTGGATGAGGGCAATGACAAAGGAAAGGTGATAACTCGAGAGGAACACTGAGCGACAGCTCGATACGCGTTTCGAGTAATTGACAAAGAGACAGGGCGGCATGGCAGAGAAAGCTCAGTTCTGAACAGTAGCTTCCTCCCCACCACCGCCACCGCCCAGAAGCTCCAGTACCTTGTTGACAACGGCACTGGGATAGCCACGGCAGAGCATCTCACCGGCGACGCCCTTGGCCTTCTCGCGCTCCTCCACAGCGAGGTATGCGCGGGTCATGGCTTCGTAAGTGCTGGGTTCACGCTTCTCGTGTCCAACAGAGTCGTAGATAGCTTGCGCCTTCTCGATCCTCTTCACCGCAGCCCAGCCGTGAATCAGCGTGTTGGCAATGTACGGCGTCATCTCAACACCCCGACGGCGCATCTGGGCAAGAACGGCCTCGGTGTCAGCAACTTTGTGGTTGGCAACCATGGCCTCGAAGAGGGCTTGGAACAGACTGGCGGTGACGGTGACAGATCGGTCGGAGATGACCGAGTCGAACACCTTGCGGGCGCCTTCCATGTCGTGGAGATTGCAGCCACGAGCGTGGATAAGAGCGGCGAAGTGAACGGCTTCGGGCTTCTGACCAGAGGCGCGAATGGCTTCCAAAACCTTCTCAGCGGCAGCCATGTCAATAGGCTCGAGAGTTGCGTGCGTGTCGACAAGAAGCTTGTAGGTGTGTGCAGTAGGGGCAATGCCCTTGGACTTCATGCGCTCGTAGTAAGCAAGAACCTTGGACTTGTCGCGCTTGGTGGTGAGGAAGAATTGCATCATGCTGTTGTAGGGAGCGGGGCGAGCCTTGTAGTTAGGCATGGCCTCCATCTCGTCGAACAGCTCTTCGGCAAACTTCTCGTCGCTCACTCGACAAAGAGCGTTGACAATGGTTCCGTAAGTAACAGACGTAGGCTTGATACCCAAGGCACGCATCTCCGCGAAGTAGAACAGGCAGTCATCAATGCGGCGAGCCTTGCCCAGCTTGCCAATTAGAGCGTTGTACAAGAAGGAACTGGGCTCGACACCCTCGGCTTTGGCCCGGTGGAAGATCTTGACAGCCTCAGAGGCCTCGTCGAACGTCTTGGCGGACTCCTTGAGGGTGGTAATGTACAAACCGAAGGTGTTGGCGGAAGGAGCAGCGCCCATCTCAAGAAGCTCCTGGTGGTACTGCTCGGCCATTTGGCGGTGACCCATGGTAAGACACGCACCTACCATGGCATCCAAGATGGAAGACCAACCGTAGCGAACAACCGCATACTGAGGAAGAAGAGGAACATCAGTGCGTGCCATGGCGAGGATGTCGTTGCACAGCTCCATCTTGCCATCGCGGGAGGCAGCAGAGATCAGTTTGGCGTAAGTAATATAGCGGGGGTGACGACCGGCACGGCGCATGTTGCGGAAGCGGGCAAGAGCATCGTGAAGCTTAGGACCCTTTCGGCCGTGAGAGCCCTCAAGCTCGTCAGAAATGAGCGAGGAACCCTTAAAGTCGGTGTTGTGTGCGTAAGGGTCGAAGGAGTCTTCAAAACTCGAGACGGTAGCGGTGCTGGTGAAGGGGGAAGCAGAAAACGTTTGTTGGGAAGCCATCTCACGAGGGTCAACAATACCACGGCTACTCATGAACTGGTGAACAAAGTCGACACCTTCTTCAATTTCATCCACGGCCTCAGGGTTGGCGGCCCGAATTCGCTGGAACATGAGTTCAGACTCGGCCAGACCCTCGGCAACCTGACCAGAGCCAATCATGGCGATGGCGTACATGGCAGTAGGCTCGATGAGGGCCGGGGTAACGGGCGTCTCAGGAGCGCAAAGAACGTGCCAGTAACGAGCTGCCGAGGCCACATCGCCCTGGCGAACGCTCAAGGCGAGCAGTGCCATGGCAGGGGTGGCAATTTTGTGAAAGTTGATGGGCAGGTTGGCAAAAGCCGCAACAGCGGTATGCATGTCGCCAAAGTCGGCAGCACGGGTGGCAAGGCTGCCCATGGGGTCCGCTCGATTTTCGGCCTCAACAACCTGTGCCCAGCGGAGGGCCTCGTTGAAGATACCACGGTCGGTGAAAGCCTTGACCATGCCAGAGCTAACGATAACATCCTTAATGTCACCGGCACGAACTCCGTATTCCTTGATGATCTTCTCGTAGAACTTCATAGCGCCGTCAATCTTATCAGAGATGATGTAGGCGTGAATTACAGAAGCGTACACCTCGGCATCCAATCGATCGTGAAGAGTAGGTTCGCCATTGTCGTTAGCAACAGCGAGCTCCCTGTACTCGTTGTAACATTCGACAGCGCTGACGAGGTCTCCAGAAGTGGCAAAGGCAGTGACCATCCTGGGAAACATGGCGGCAAAGGGAGTAACACGGTTCAGCTCCATGTGCTCGTACAGACGCAGCATGTCGGTGACGCGTCCGGCCTGGGCACAAGCAGAAATGAGCTGGTGGTAAGACTCAGCCGAGTAATCCGCTCGCTGGGAGAGAACCGATTTCTCAAACATTTCCATCGCTAGATCTAGTCTGTCATCCTCGGAGAGAATGGCATTCTCGAGCTCGTGAGACGCGAGCATAAACTTCCCAGGCTCATCCATTCCGCCGAATCGGACGAGCTTCTCTTGAAGGTTCTTCTTCAACGAAGCGACCTCCAAAGAGCGGGCAGCGAGAAGGCCGACGAGGATGTTGTAGGTGTCGCTGTCCGGCACAATCTTGCGACGGAGCATGTCGGCGTACACATCCAGGGCCTTGGTGACGATCTCGTTCTTGGCAGTCGGCAGGTGAATGGCGGCCATCAACAGGGCGTTGTAGGCGCTGGCGATGGGATGCACGCTGGCGACAAGCATAGCCTCGAACACGGCCGGGATCTCGGCGTAGCGGCCATCTTCGGAAAGCTTATGGAGATGGTCGGCGTAAACCTGAGACTGAGGGTCAAAGGGAGGAGTAGCGGTTCGTGCTACACTGAAAGGTGACCGTGATCTGTCAATGGCGGGAGACTGGTAGGAGCGTGCTGCGGAGCCGCCATGGGAAATCGATCGAACGGAGTGCTCAGAAGCCTCTTCCAAGGCTTCCATGCGATTCCTAAATTCAATCTCTTTTTCTAGAGCCGCGTCTATTTGAGCTAGGGCGGCCTGGGCCTCTGGAGGGATGGCTGATGGTGTCTCTCCATCTTGTGCGGCGGCATGCTCTTCTGCCTCAGCAATTTTGGCCTCGCTAACGAGGACGGACGCCGGCGTGGGCTTCCATTCAATCTGTCGCTGGAACTGGAACTGAGTCCACTCCTTATCGAGTTCCTCCTCTGAGGCCTGCTGGCTCTGCAGCGCCTCAAAGTAGGCGTCTAGACTTCCATGTTTGAGCTTCTCGTCTAGCTTCTCGTGGTGATGCTGGGGAAGACCCGCACTTGTCCGCTCAGCGGTGTGGAAAGCGGACTGGAGCTGGAGAGACTGGAGGCGGCCAAAGCGATTGGTGTTCCGGCGGGCAAACGAAGGCCGGTTTTGAGTGTTGAGAATAGGATGTGTCGCAGCTACGACAGACTGGGCGTAGCCGTGAGTGAAAGATTTCGCGAATCCTTGACGGATAAAATTCTGGTAGAGGGAGGAGTAGATGGTGGGCATTTAGAAGACGCGGCGGAGAAGGATTCTAAATCGCTCAGATCGTCAGTTAATGTCTTTTTCTTCTCTTCTCTTGCAGGACTTCGAAAGATGGTGTGTTAACAGTGATGAACAATATCTGGACCGTGTTTTCTTCTGGGTTCAGACGACAGAAGGTACTGCAGGTGGCTGTAGCTACGCCGTTGGGTAGGTTTTACTACGGCGAGCAGTCGCGCGCAAAGGAGAAAGGCAGTCCGGACGAAAGGCAGTGCCAGGGCGACTACATGACAAAACTTACATAGGTAAATAAGAAGGGTCCGTTGCAGGTTCATTTGACAGCAGCGTAGCCGTCAAATAAACGCGCGATCTGATTAAAAAGAGGATATATAATTGGGGGGTTGAAAAGCGAGAGAAAAAAAAAAAGGAAGGATGTCAAGTGAAGGTGAAGGGGGCCTCAGGTAGAAGTATTGGATTGAGGACAGAAAATTAAGCGGCAGGGTTCCGGCTGTAGTAGAGAAGGTGGGAATGACAGTAGTGGTGGACGAGCGGGCGAGCGGGAGGTTTGAGATCGGACGGAGTCGATGAGGCGTACAGGCGAGTTCCCTTCCTCCTCTTGCTGCGACTGTATGTAGTGTACTTTCTAGGGGGCCGCACCTTTGCAGTTCCAAGTTACCAGCTACGGATCATCCGCGGTGCGGGTATATCTCGAATTGTCCGAGTCTCACTCGGCTCTCTGAAAGAAATGGAGAATGGAAACGAAAGGGGCCCAGCTAAGGACACGCGCTAGACAAGGGGACAGACCGGTAGGGCCAGGGGGGAGGGAAGAATCAGGGCGAGGCGAGTGACTCTTTTTTTTTCCCCAGGGAAAGACTTCACTCGAGACATACAGGCTTGAGGGACTTTGGTGGTACTCGACTGGAATGCCAAAAACCTGGAGGTGACTTTTCGTGTGGATTCGGAGCTGCTGCATTGACGGCTTGACTGCCGTCCACTCACGACACGCGCTGGCTGGAGCGAAGTGGGTACGTTGCCACCAAGGGTGGATTCGGGAACTCTATTCACTAACGCCGTTTGGCTTATTTTTCCAATTCCCTTGCGGGTGGATTCGCCATACTCCAATACGTGTAATAGGATGTACAGGTACGTACTGATTCCTAGGAAGGAAAATGACTCAGGCAGCAAAGCAAGCATCAGCTTTCGCGTGTTCTGAGTGGCTCATGACGGTCTCTAGCCTCGTTTTACTGTGGCTCACACAGTTACTACCTTGTCGTGTCTTGGGGGGGTTTATTAAAACAAAAGAAGAAAAAGTTAAGGGGGGAGAAAGGCATTGCTATATCGAACTCTGTGTGCGAGAAGGGTACGATACAACAGAGAGGTAGGTAGGTACAGAGCACATGTCCAAAGTGACTTGTAGGTGTACACAATGAGCGCAGGAAGGGCCAAGTGGCCTCGATGGTTTGCGGTCCCGATTTCTGCCTACTTCCGTTATCAGATTGCGCCTCACTCGCAAGATGGCAGGTGACGCCGTTGCTGACGAGTCGAGATGAATTGAGGTCGGAGACGGGGGCGGAATTTCTGCACCCCGAGGCCCGAGTGTCGAGGTCTGCGTGTCATCGAAACCGATGCCGTCCTTTGCACGCTAACGCGAAATGCCTCTCCCAGAGGAAGAAGGCCTTTTGGGGGTTGAGTGGGCAAACGGGTACTTTTTACAACGCCGTGAAACCTCATCCATGCGAGCCACTGTGTCCGGTTCGGTACTTGCATGTCCACCACCGCTACCGCTACCGTACGGGATGACGACTCCGTCTGCCGCCTGGAAATGAAGGATTGATCATCGTTGCAGCAGGTACAGGGCTAGTGTGGGCTTGGATGTGGTTGCAGCCCGGCGCTAGAAGGTCCAACATCAAGAATAAACACGGGGAGGTTTTGAGTAGCATCCAAGGTCCCGGGGGAAAGATCCGACAGCGCAGTGGCTCACGAGGCCGGACATTTGCCAAGCCAGGCCGATGACTCCTCGATGTCTGAAGACCGATCCCTCCCCACCTGTTGTGGCACCCGCGCCAGCGAGAAGAAACCGGCACCGTTGCACCGGATTGCATGGGGCGGCCTTCAAGGCCGGAAGGTGTCTTGCCAGATTGCATCTGCATCCCCCAATGTTTCCTTCACGTTATCCAATCCAAATGTGGCGGACTGCTGCTCCTCCCTTGTTAGCCAGAGTCGAAGGTCGTGGACGTGGATGGACGACGGCCAGGGCAATGACCAATCAGATGCGTGGTATGCTGGGAGAAGCCGGAAGGCGCGGGATTGTCAGGGACCCATATTTCGAGCCACACACACACAGAGCCACATTCTGGAAGGAGGGAAGGACCAAGGGGGTCAACGAACTGGATTCCATCCTGTCGGGAAGCAGCCTCTCGTCCCGCATTTCCATTCCGTACCCACCCGTGGCTGCACATGCTGATAATCTGCTCTTCGATCCGGTACCGGTACTTCCTCCTCGGTAGCATCTGTCAGGCAGTCGTCATTTTTCGGTAGTTCACTGCCATTGGCAATCTCGCAAATTTTTTCACCACCAAAGCGGGAGCCGTGACAGTTCAACGGGTCTCACTCACACTCAGTATTCGGCCACAGACTGTAGCTGTTGCCTGAACTTGTCCACGGTAGGGTGAGCCAGCTTCGCATTGCTGTCTCATTCGGCGAGAGATTAGTTCTATTTCCCAGCCATAACTAAACTTTCTTTCCATGATGATTGACGTGGACCGTCGTCAAGAACGACGCAGAACAAATGAAAAAAAAAAAAAAAAAAAAAAAAAACCCGAACCGGCTACATCTAATTTCAAAGATTGACCAAAATCCGAATCTCGTTCTGTACCCCCCTGGCACTCCCCTATTTTCAATGTCCCAAGGGCCCTCTCCCTCTGTGTCTCCTTGCCTTAGGCCTGTCTCTCATCATCCCTTCCTTGCCTCCGCGGACGAATGGCGGCCTGCCCAGACGGACGGTGTAATCTGCTCTGCCCCTCCAATGTACCCCTGGGACTCAGGTCGCTAAGGACTCAGGGTCACTGACCGCAATTATGAGATTCCAATACCGACTACCTACGGGTCGGAGTTGGCGATGGGACTTTCGTTGCCGATTGTCTCGCCAACTGTCAACAAGTCATGTCGTTGTGCCCTAACAGACGCGACGCTGAGACACACACGAGCTCCCCCAGCCCCCCACGACTCCACGGCAACCTGTCCCTGACGGCTGGGAGGCCTGGCAGTGGGCACACATCGCTCTCGGACCGTAGACCCCGAGTGAGCAACCGAGCCTCCTTCAGTTCGTGGGGAGCGGGCGCCCATTACACATTTTCAGATCACGAGGGCATCATCCACGAAAAAGAGCCGCCTTCCATTCTGCGGCACGGCGCAGTCCCGCCGTGTCGCAGGTTCCAAAACAGGATCTTGCTCAGGCACCACATTTTCCTGCAGCAGAAAATATGGACATCCACAGACCCGCACCTCTGGTTTCGCGGGACGATTCGCAGGATGCAACCTGTCAGACTCGGAGGAACGGGGTTCTGATTTGAGCCGACTTATCTCCGCCTGTGACCGGACGGTGGGGGATTTATCCCCGTGCCCTTTATAGCCTTCCTGCTTTGCTGGCCGCTGACCCATAGGTCTCCAAGAGCTCATCTAGATCTGCTCGCTATGTAGGTAGTGTATCACGTCAATCCCGGCGACGTGGGAAAGCGCTGGGGGGGGGGGGTTGATTCTCATATTACTCAGCCCGCTGATGTGCTGCAACACGCTGCCCTGGTTGGTCTGGGAAGTATTCTTGGCATTCGCACGTCACCGAGTCTGTTTCGGCACGGAGCCTCGGTGTGGATTGTGGAGGATCGACGTCCGTACCCAGTCGACTCCCAACCCTGACCTCACAGGCTTTTGGTTTTATTTTTATCGCACGTGGGACGCGCAGAATAAACCCCATACATGGGTGCCGGTCCAGCTGCGAGTACGCATAAGGAAAATACATCCTGCGTATCATCACGTAGCATCGCAACACCGCTGACTAGACATACTCGCTTCTCATGCACCAATGCGGACACGCCAAGCGGCTCCGTGGTGGGGCATCAAGTTACGCCGGACAAAGGAAGGAGGGTCCTGCCCAGCTCCTACGGGACACCACAAGGCTGAAATCGCCGACGCTTACATTGGGTTATTCTACTATTACGTTTTCAGCATAGACGGGCGAAGACATGATTGATAATATTGTTTGGGTTTCATTGGTTTATTGTGTTGGGCCTGACTGTAAGTCTGGCCATTCTGACTATCCCTTCTGATCGCCCTCGACGATGCAGTCGTCTTGCTTGCAGCAGCCTCCTTGTGTACCTAGTGGTATCATTGCCATCTCCCTGGGCGAAGTGACCATCTCTTGCCCCGTCACATAAGGAAAAGGAAAAAAAAAAAAAAAAAAATAGTGCGTACGACTGCCGTCGTCGCGTTGGTTCGCTCGCCCCAGAACGCCGTCGCTTGCTGAAAGTAGGAATGTTGTTCCCAATAATCCAAGATATCGTTGTACCATGCTTCGCTGAAATGTTTTCGCTTTCAATATCCCTGCTCTTCATGCAATTTTCTTGATCCAGCACCAGCCTGGGTGATGTGATTGCAGACAGTCCTAATTAAATTCCATCGCTGATTACGGTAATACGGTTGGTCGGTAGTAGTTGATTGGTTGACAAAAAGAAGATTCGGAGAAGGATGAGAGGCCGATCAGCTGCTGTAGGAGCTGCGCATTGTGGAGATGGAGGCAGTGGGCACGACTGGCTGGATGGAGAAAAGCGGGCGGGCAGGGTACTCCAAGGAATCGAAGTCGGCGATGCCGATACGGCTAGCAACTGCTTGTTCCTTGAGCATGGCGATTCTGGTAGTTGGGTTAGTGAAAGCCTTTTCATGACCTGGAGGAAGGAAACTTACTCATCAGCGCTGATGCCGGCGATATCGAGGTTGCATTTCTGGAAGTTGAAGGGGGCGGAGATCTCCATCCCCCTCTTGGCCTCCTTTCTGTTGCGGCGGATCACCTTGTTCAAGAAGACCTTGAAGCCGTCGTTGGAGTGCATGGCGGAGTCGTCCTGCATTGCGGCGGTGTTGGTGTGGGCGTGGGTTGTTGGTGGGAGATGATGTTTATATGAGATGGTGTTTGTTTGGCTGTTGTGTTTTACCAGCACCGCGGTTCCTACACAGGGATGGATGGGTTATTCGGGAATGATGGTGTGATGTGATTCTTCGACGGAGATCTCGATAGTCGATGTGGGAGAGACACGCTCTTGATATATCCTCCAACCGTCTCGTCGAGAGACCGCACGTAAGATTGCACTAAGCGAGGCGGTTCCCTTGTGTGCTGTCCGTTGCTTTTTCTTCCAGCACTTTGATTGTCGGGTCCAGCTCCCTTCTCTTGGATATCCTTGCGGCTCAGCCCTGAAGGAAGACAATAGTGGTGGTTGGTGTGATAGTGGTGGACATGGAAGTGAGATATTGGGGGGATCTAATTAGATCGAGAAGTGGATGATGTTTGATTTGATCGTTAGGGGGTTGCTGTTCCCAAAAGAAAGGTGGTTGAGGATGTGGGAAAGGTCAAACTGATATATCCCGTTCCCAAATCGGTGAGCGCAAGCACAAGCAGGGTGTACCTAGAATGGTCGTGTGTAGCACCGAGCCAAGGGCTGGGTTTCTTGAAGACGTGCGTAGTAGGGGGTGTGTATGCGTCCCCGGCTGTGGCTGCACACGCCCCCTCCTCTCTTCTCCCCGTCCCTCCATGGCCTTTGGGCTTCATCCCAAAAGCATCTGGGTAGCTTGCGAGGGAGAGAGCGGCAGTTTTTTTTTTTTTGGGGGGGGGGGGTGGGGGTGGGCGTGTCGAGCTTGAGAGAGGTGTGTGGTGGATAACACGAGGGAGAGGGGGGGGCAGGGATGAGTTGGAAGCGCAGCCATCAGACACACACACACACACACTTTACAACGCATGCCATCGCATGTGTAGCGAAGGGGTGAAAAAAGAAGGGTGTGTGTGAGAGTCTGAGAGTCTGAGAGAGAGAGAGAGATGGAGACAATTGCAAAATAGGAAAGGGCGTGTCTCCGTGCGTCAGTCGGCCAGAGAGCGCCACGGATTTGGAAACAAGGTTAGGTGAAGGGAGGATTGGGTGTGGTGTGAAGGAACAGAGTTTAGCGTGTAGAGATGGCGTTGGGGAAGGCGCGTGTGCTTGTCACAACGGACGTAGAGGCAAGGGAGACGGGGAGAAACGAGTCGATCAAAGGGCTAGGGCGAGTTCTAAACCCGTGTCTTGCTGTCTCGTCCGGCATGGGCAACTAGCGCAATGAACAGAGAGACGATCCGTTTCGATGCGCAATCAAGTAAATGATGGAGTACCTAGATGAGTGAGCTACGCTACAAGCTGGCCGACTTGACGGGGGTATGAGTAAGAGAGCATGACAGTGAAGGCATAGCTGACTGTGGGATTACGCTCAGCATACGTGGCAGCTGAAGGAAACTTTGATGATGGTTGGGCCAGCTGCGACGGCCGGCCGACGAAAACGAAAGAGAGAGCAAGGCAAATTGGAGGCAGGCTTCGTCAGTTGTTCTGCTTCTGTCTGCTCTGCTCTATCAAAGTTTTGGACTCGCTGTGCTGGGCTGGATCGGGGACCTCTGGAACCTCGCCAATCAAACAGCGCAGCTGGGCAGGGATTTTGTGGGTGAGAGTACCTATGGATCAGGGAAGGAAGGGGTGGAGACTGGGGGTGGGGTGTTGCGGCCTGTCGTGCATGCATCGTCCTCGCCGGTGCCGAAAGGCAGACTGTGGTTGGTATGCGGGCTGCTGCGAAGGTTCGGATCAAGGAAAACCCTGAGAATAGTAGTGCTGCTGCTGCATTCGTACATGCTGTGGTTGCATTCCGTCATGGTCAGGAGTTAGAAAGAAGAACAAAAACGCGGACAAAACGAGAGAGACGGGGGGTAGAGAGAGAGAAAGAGAGAGCGAGAGAGAGAGTTCCTGAAACCCGGCGTCGAGTTGCACGACCGCAGGTGGGACATTGTTTCATGAATTTGGGTGGGTGGTAAACGCAACTGGTGCAGCTCTTTAGGCAGGCACACAACGACTGGGTAACTGACTGACTGACTTCCTCCCCCAGGGGGCCGTCCGGACGCGCGGACGCGGGCGTGCGCAACAACGTTGTTCGTCGCCGCCGCTTTGGGCTGCACACCCACCTGCAGGTAGCAAGCGCTGCGGACTTGCAGGCAGGCACTGCGGTGCACAGCGCATTGCGTGCAGGTCCGCTGTGCCTTTCCCGCTATTCTACCTACACGCACGCATACAAGCCATTCATGGACGTTGAAGAAAGCTACTCGGTCGCCGCCAACACGCCATTGCCCAGCGCGTCACAACTCGACAGTCCGCGACCCGGTCATCCCCTTTTCCGATTGCCCAGAGATGGCTGGTTGTGGTTTGACAATTCTGTTTCGACCTTTTGCTGATATCCAGTCCCCCTCTCCCCTTCATCCTTCCCGCCACCCAGCGCGTGCTTGCGTGTGCGTCGCCGGCCGAGGGCACCAGACGATGTAAACTGCGGTATGCGGATCATGCGTGGAGAGAGGCACACGGCTGAGGGACGGGTTGCAACGACGTCGCTGGTCGCCAACTTGGCAAACTATTCTCCTTCTACGGTACCTACCTAGTGTACCCATGCGTGAAGATCTCGTCTGCAAGGGACGAGCACGATCGCCTACCCCTGGACCTGGATACGAAGTGCTCACCCAATAATACACTTTTTCCCCTTCCTGTGTCCCCTTTTGGGCCGTGTCATCCGCCCGCATGCGTTAGGTACCTATCTATATGCGTACCTACTGAACCACCCCCTGCCTGCGCGCACATCCTGGCCCACAGCCCAGACGGCCGGAGTCGACGGTTCCCGGTGGGGGGCCCATGGCCGGCGGGTTTGGTCTGGTCGACGGCGCCGCCCCCGGATTTATGGTTTCCAAGCTTCAGCCAGCCGGCTGCATGTACGGAGTCTGACCAGTGGGGTTCCCCTGCAGCCTCCAAGGCAGCACAAGGCGAGCGTGAGTCGAGCTGTCACATCGACATCGGGCATGCACACAAGAGCTTGGCTCGTGGAAAGCGGTATTTGCGATATATGATGTACTACGATATCTTCCGGGGGGGGGGGGGGGGGGGGTAAGGCGGCAGGGTGCCGCATTTGGTGGAGTACGGGGGAACAGAGACCAGGAGTTTCTTTCCATCGAAACAACTACATCATTACGCCGCACTCGATGCCATTGGCAATGGCATTGGCATTGGCACCGCTAGATTGCGACGCCGTCCAGGCCCGGGTTCCATGGCCTGCGGGGTGTGGAGGACGGCGACGATGGTGGCGTCGCGAATCCGAGCCTAGCAAATGTCAAAACCCCTCACTGAACGCTGGACGTCAAACCCCAGAGCATGCCCGTTAGAACAATCGTGGCCTTGTCACGACCGGGCTTCTCTTGTTGATAGTCTAGCGGGAGGGGAGGTGGGTTTCGGGTATGAGTCTCTGATGGTTTACATGCATTCCGATAGCCCCTGTATCTCCAGCTCATCCGGCGCCGTGTCTCAAGGACGTGACATTCGGCTCGGCCCCGAAGCTGCCGTCAGAGGGAATTTTGAGTTTAATCCCATTCGACAGAGTTAGATTGGCATCTTTCCCTCTCTCTCTCTCTCTCTCGCTGTCTCTCTAGAGGCATAATCAAGCGAGGGCTGGTCGCATCCCGCGGCAACCGCAAGCTAGTTAGAATGCGAGAGAAGACCCCGCGACGATGGTCAAATTACCCTTGCCCCCACCCTGGCTTTCAGGCACCGATGATTGTTCTTGTTTGAGCCATGGTCGTATCCCAAGGCATCCGCCGTCGTCATCACCACCATCCATTAGGAATCTTGAACCCCCTCTGTCTAGAAACGGCACGATCTGCGCTGAATGTTTCCGATCCGCGCGACGAATACAGCCTCACAGGGTCGCCCGCCGCTGCCCCATCCTGATAGAGCCAAGCCCTACAGAAACTGTTTCGTTTTGCATCTTCCTCTGGAGAGCGTTGCCCGCTATCGCGCGCCAAGAGCCCGGCGGCGTTTAAACCTGCTTCACGCGCAAGAAGAACCCGGGTAAGATTGACCTCGCTGGCTAGCCTAACTGACTGACTAATCGGGCGCCGCGCATCAAACCCGCCAAGCCCAATTATGCCGGTTAGGGTTTCCGCATTTGGATATGTTTGAGAGGGCTTCATATGGCTTGTACGGCTTGCAGCCACAGCAGCGTACGACGTAAGCCTCACGCTGAAAGACAAGATGGCATCAGGCTGCTGGGAGTGATCAGTGTTGGGCTTTTCCCAAATATCCAGCGAGTGGCAGATCGTCATTTTAGACGTCTTGCATACGCATCTCACCTTACCTTTCCAGGCGCCGGCCTAAGCTCGAAGTAGGCGTTCGTTAGCAATACAAGTACGGATATATACGGCATGTTGCAGATGGAGTGGGGGTACAGAGTCGGGGGAGGGAGAGAGATGCAGCTACTGGGATCGCGATCACTCTATCTCGCACGTCTCCTGACCCAGGCTTGCGGGGCCGGTGAGACGGTAACGACCTGATGGCGATACCGATGATGATGGGTGATGGGATGACAAGACGATGGCCTGGCGAATGGCGGGCGACACTAGCGATTTTGAAGCGGATGCCTGTCCGCTCTGCTAGCCTAGTCCCCTCATCGAGGACCCAAGATATCGTCACGCACATCTGGTAATGGGGGAGGATCACCGCGGGAGAATATCACAGGATCATGATGCCTGTCTCCTAACGCGCAGTACCTGGCATAGCTGATGCCAGCTGGGAATGGGAGGAGAGGGGGGTGTGATTTAGTGTGTAGGGGTTAGTTTTGCCATGTTTGCTTTATTTTCCACAGCGGTGGGGAAGGGGGTACCCCATGTCCAAGACTTTGAGCAATACAATCGAATCAAGCAAATTACCTGTACGATTTCAGCCCCGATCCAATAGCCCCAAAACCGTGCAGATAGGTAGCAATGACAAGCAGGGCTTTCCACATCAGATTCTGCAGGTCCAGTCCGGGCAGTTCAGTAGGTAGTTGGGTTACATTAGCCTGTCTCCACCCTCTGGCTATCACTGCTATCCCCAAATGGTAATAAGGTGGGCCAGGGCGGATGCCAGCCAGCTGGAGACAGAGATTCAGGTGCCGGGTTACGGCAGGCAGATCGTCGACGCCGTCGCCGTGTCCGCCAGCCTCGATGGGAGAAAGGGCTGTCTCATTGGATCATAGACGACGTGCCTGCGGTAGAGGCTTGGGGGCGTTACGGAAGCATCACGTTCCATGGGCGAACAGGTTCACAGCCAGCTACTGTGTAAGTTACGGCCGACGGAGTGGGGTCAGAGGGGGGAGGGGGGTGAGCCGAAATCTCCAATACTCCTAAGCCGTACACATATACAACATCCTAATTAGCAAGTGAGGGAGGAGAGCGAGCTAGCTAGCGTGCAGTTTACAGTTTGCAGTTTGCAGTTTGCAGTTTAGTTGGGTAAGGTGGTTTACCGGCTGGCAGATGGAGGCGTGGTATTCGGTTGGGCTCACGTATTTACCTAACAAACCTGAGAAGCCATCCCACAGACATGCCGAAGGACTGCGGATATAGAGAGGCTCTGCCGTGTGGGGGGGGGGGGGGGGGGCACAGGCTACGGCCAGAGGCGCAGCGCCTGTTCGTAGCTAGTCGTGGCCCTACGAATGCAGGTACTCGTCCTCCTCGAGGGAGGGACCCGCCCTTCCCGTCGAGTCCGCCAGAAGCACAGATCCCGAGGGCAGATTCTCCAAGCCGAGCCCACCCCCAAATCGCCGGACCCGGCCGTCATCTTCTACAAGGCTCGCCCAAGCGTGCCGCAGGATTGGGCGACGGTCGTGCCCCTAGGGACGGGGTGTGCACCGGGTTTTCGCCGTCCCGATGCAGCCTACATGAGCGCCCCACTCACGATGATGATGGCTTCTCTCTCTCCCTCTCTCTCTCTCTCTCTCGGGGGCTGAACACGGCAGTTCGTTGTGGGTTACCGTTGCGAGCTCGCCAAGCTTCCACCATCGACCTTTGACCTTCTCACCTCTTGTCGGCAGTTGCATTGCACACCGGAGGCCATCACGATGCTTCCGTTTCCGGCAGGGTTTCAGGAACCCTCCCATCCCCCAACGTTGAGGCAAAAGTCGCAAGCTCCTTGTCCGCCGCTACTGCGCCCGTAACGATTGGAATTCTTTCACGCACGCCGTCCACGGCGCATGCTCCAGCGGCCGACAGTCGTCACTTGTCGTCCCTCACCCGCCTCTACCCGCGTCGGATCCGTTACTTCCCCCCTCTGACTGTACCGTTTGCATCGACGGTTTGCCGCGTGAGAAGGACGTTGTTGCTGATGAAACAGGACCGCTCTGCGGCAAGAATGCCTTCCGCTGCGAACCCTTTGCTTCCTGCCAGACGACCCCCTACCCGGCCTCGATGAGTGGCGTCCATCTCCTACTTGCTCGTCCTCCTCCGCCACACGAGCCCTGCAATGTACGTCCGTAAAACGTGGCTTCGGCGTGTCCCTCAAGGGGCAAGCCTCGCCTCGTCCCCCCTAAACCCATGTTTAAACCTCGGTGACGGGCCGAATGGACGGCACTGCCTGCCCATAGTCCATGACACGGTGGGCGCCTGGCACGAATCATAGGGCGGGGCGGAAGGTCCTTGCCTTGTCGTCCTTTCAACCTCCTTGGCCCGATCGCCCCTCCCCATCCCCATGTGCCTCTATCGCCAACCCGTTCTGCACGCGAAGACGTTTCTGGACAATGGATTACAATGAGACATTGTTTATGGTTTCGTGTGTATACTCTGCACTATTCCCTCCCTTTTCCTTTCGCACCTTTGTGTGTCAAATGTCAGGTGTCAGGGCCTCTGTGTGTGTGCGTGTGTGTAGGTGTGTGGTTTGGATGAATGCCGCCTGAAAGTTTAATTCCAAGTCTGGCGGGGAGACTGCCGTTTTATCGTCGAATCCAGTCGAGTTTCAGGGCTCTTGCACTGTCCTGGTTCCGGTTGCTTGAGCCTTCGCTGTAATCTTGCCTCCGTGCCGCGAGTCGTTTGCCCGGTTGTGACTCTTGTCAGATTTCTTTAAGTTTTTTTTTCCCTTCATTTCTCCGTTCATCTAATGCATGGGGAGAAGGAGATGTTGAAAGCTGTCGCGGAGGAACACGAGACGACGTCTCGCCGGTTGAGCTTAATTTGTTCTGTTTCTGGTTTTCTGCGGCGTTGGAACAAGAAACAAACAAGTGGGGACGGTGCATATGACTCTCCCACACCTCCCCACGGGCCACCACGCCAGGAACGGAAACATCATGCGCACCCAGAAGCAACCTCACCCCCACGAGACACACATATACCTACACACACGCATACGCCCATGACTTACGCGCGCATCGCAAACCCACCACTCACCGCAGCGGGTTCGGCCTCGTTCAGGCGATTATTCATGCATCCGTCTTCTCCCCATCCTCCTCCCGCTGCCGCCGCCGCTCGTGCGCGGCCGAGACCAGACGCCGGAAAAGGGGGAACAGCCTGACAACGTGATGTAGCCCGTCGGAAATGTCGTGGACACGGACAAAACAAAACCAACTTCGCACGTCTTGACAGGCATGCCCTTCCGTCACATCCCGCTAGATCGCTGTTGTGGAGATATGTTTTGGTGTCTCTGTTATAGATCGATAATCTGCTCATTGTTCGTGCGCATCGCCCTACGCTTCCTGCGCTGTCCACTCAAGCTCCCCCTGGCATCAAGCATCCTCTGGCTTCCCCCTTCCACCTCAAACCAGCTCGAGGAAGAGAAGAAGCGCAAGCCATGGGAACCGCGGGTGCCCGTACGGCGATAACGCTGCCCCTGACGTGCGCCCGTGTCAAGAAAATCAAACCATGCCTCCGTGCTTCACCGGGGGCCTTGAATTTTACGGAGACGCGGTACGTAGCAGCGCCACCACGCCCCATCCCCCTCCAGAAAAAAAAAAACCCAGTTCTTCCTCGCACAACCGTGCCCTTCCCAGGTCCTGCTTCAACAGCTCTTCCGCCCAATCGGCGTACCGGGCGCATGTTGGCTACTGCGGCGGCTTCGCGAGACATTCCGTGCTGCCACTCATTTGGGGTAGTCCTTGAGGTGGTAGCTCTTGAGCTTGACGAACTGGTCGTAACCAAAGCGGCTTAGAGTCTGTCCCTTGCCCGAATTCTTCCATCCTGTCCACGCCAGGTCCTAAAAGGGTTGTTAGCGCCGATGAGCTTCTAGGGAGAACACAGCAAAAGCGGCTTGAATGCCAAATGGGCTAGTGAGTTATTTGCACAGAAATCCAAGTCAGATGTTGCGCCACCCCGGCCGGCAGATGAATAAGAGGGTCAGACAGGAAAGGCAGGGTGAGGAAACAAAAGGAACAACGTGCCGTCATCGCCCCCAAGCGCCGGGTAAAACCCGATGGACTTGTTGACTTTAGGCGGCCGGCGCGATTTCGGAGCGGATCAGGAGTACAAGATGGGGAACGGAGCCAAAAGCACGGAAGGATAATCGGGGTGGTCGAATGGGATCAGATCGGATGACGGCCACGGTAAATGGCCACGGCAGACGTGGAAGATGTGTGTGCATGACTTACCGGGCTGGGGTAATCGCAACGGTTCACGAAGACAGTACCCGCTTCCACCTGGTCCGCGAGCTCGTAACCCCTCTCCGTGTCCTTGGTCCAGATGCTGGCCGTTAGGCCAAATTCGCTGTCATTCATGAGCTGCACAGCTTCTTCATCACTCTTGACCCGCTGAACGGGAATCACCGGCCCAAAAGTCTCTTCAGTCATGACCGTCATCGAGTGGTCCACGCCCGTCAGGAGCGTGGGCTTGACAAAGTTGCCCTTTGGCGGCGGGTTGTCGAACGTCTCGTTGGCGGGAGTTGCGTCCTTGGCGCCCTTGGCGATGGCGTCCTTGATGTGCGATTCGATTGTCTCCTTGGAACGCTTGGAAATCACGGGGCCGACATGTGTGCCCTTGTCAAAGGGATCGCCCAACTTGTACCCCTCGAGGACCTTCTGGACGGCCGTAACAAAGGCATCGTGGATCTTGTCGGCGACGTACACCCGCTCGATGGAGCAGCAGCTCTGCCCCGAGTTGAAGACGGCGCCGTCGACAATCTCCTCCGCGGCCCATTCAATGTCGACATCGTCGCGGATGTAAGCAGGATCTTTGCCGCCAAGCTCGAGCCCCACGTTGACGATGCGATCTGATGCAGCCTGCTGAACGGCGAGGCCGCCAGCCACCGAGCCGGTGAAGGCGACAAGCTTCACCTTGGGGTTGCGGACTATGGACTCGATCATGATGGGTGAGCCGCAGTGGAAGTACTGCAGCACGCCAGCGGGGAGGCCGGCCTCTTCAAATACCTTGGCCACGCGCTCCACGATCGTGGGCGTCTGCGGCGACGGCTTCAAGATGACGGTGTTTCCCGCCAACAAGGCAGGAATGAGGGAGTTCACCAAGATGAGGTAAGGGTACTGGAAGTGCCATATTAGCAAGAGTCAGGCGGTTCGTGGTGGCGGCTCGGGCGGTTGCACGCATCACAGCGCGGACCACAGTCCCCACCGGGCGCACGCGCCGGGCTGCCACGCAGATAGGAGACAACCCACATTCCACGCGAAGAGGACGAGAACCGGGCCAACGGGAACCTTGCGAATGAAGCGCTTGAAGCCCTTCTCCGGCTCGCCATCGGTGTCCTTGAGCACCTCGTCACTGATCTTAAGGAGGTACTCACCGCGCTTTACCGCGGTGGCGATCTCGCCGCCGGTGTAGGCGATGGGCCGGCCCATCTGGACGGTGAGCTCCTCGGCCAACTCATCCTTTTTCTCCAGGAGGAGCTTCAAAGCCTTCTTGACAATGGACTGGCGGTCTGCCAGGGAAGTCTTGCTCCAAGACTCGAATGCCTTGGTGGCGGTGGTAGGGAGCTCATCTAAGTCGGTCTGGGACACGCCGTTGCGGGTGATGACAGGCTCGTTCGTCGTGGGGGAGATGGTCTTGAGGACTTCGACAGACATCTTATCAGCGTTTCTCGGGGTATAGGCGTATGATTCAGATGAGAGGGAAAGAAAAATGAAAAGTGGTTGAATTACTGTGATGATTAAGAGGCAGCTCACGGCTTAGATATCCCCTTGATTTCGTTCATGAATCGTCATTCCCTGAGGGGCAGAGGGGCAACGGCGCGGAGGGGTACGCACCGCGCACCGAGATAAGCGCGGTATCGCTGTGATGAGGTAATCAACAGCGATAAGACGTCTTGTCGTTATGCTTTGCGCCGGGTCCCACTGAAACTTTTGCAAAGTACTACCAGCTGGATCGCGGTCTCTTGTCTGTATCTACAACGGCACATGCACTGCACCTTTGCGAACAAAGCTACCGCTGGATTGTAGCCTGACTGCATAAACTTGAGGCTTTGATATCCTTGGTTGTACCCCACCACGCCATTCATTTGCCATCATGGCCCCCGAAAAGCGGAATAAGTTCCTCGAGGCGGAAGACAGCGACGACGACGACCTTGATAAGGGCTACGACTCCGAGGCCGAGGAGCTGCGCAAGGGAGGCCGCAGCGCCAAGAGACGCAAAGTCGACAGCGAAGATGAAGACGATTTCAGTGACGAGGAACGCGATGCCTCCAAGGCAGACGGCGCATCGGACGACCAGGATGGCGACGCAGACGAGGAAGCACAAACTTCAACCTCGAGCAAGAAACAATCAAGACCCAACACGACCGCGGACCTCCCGGACGTTTCCAAGCCCCTCACGAAAAAGAATCTCGTCGCGACGGAGGAGGCCATCAAAAAGTCGGGCGTCGTCTACATCTCGCGCATTCCGCCCTTCATGAAGCCACAAAAGCTACGCTCCCTGCTCGAGCCCTACGGCAAGATCAACCGCATCTTCCTCGCGCCCGAGGACCCCGCGGCACACGCGCGGCGTGTAAAGAACGGCGGGAACAAGAAGAAGTCGTACACGGAGGGCTGGGTCGAGTTCCTACGCAAGCGCGATGCCAAGGCCGTGTGCGAGCTTCTGAACGCGCGGACGATCGGCGGCAAGAAGGGCAGCTACTACCATGACGACATCTGGACGCTCAAGTATCTCAAGGGGTTTAAGTGGCGCCACCTGACGGAGCAGATCTCGGCCGAGAATGCGGAGCGCACGAGCAGGATGCGGGCCGAGATCAGCAAGGCCAGCAAGGAAAATAAGGAGTTTGTGCGCAACGTCGAGAGGGCGAGGGTTATGGACGGCATCGCGGCGACCAAGGCGAAGCGCAGTGGGAAGCAGGGGGCCAATGCTGTGGCGGACGGCGAAGTGGCTGCTTCCGGCTCGGGTGCGGCTTCGGGCGTGGATGACGGGCAAGCGGACAAGAAGCGGACGGTGTTTAAGCAAATACCCTTGGCGGACAGGAAGAGCGATACATCCTCGGGTGGGAAGCCGGCTGGGGATGTGGCGCGGGTGCTAGGGAAGATTTTCTGAGCAAGGTGGTGTGCGGCGTGCGTATGCGTACGTTGTGATGTGTGTATACGTGTACTGCACCCCTCTTTTCGGATATCTTATCGCATTCGTAAACTCAACCGAAGGATGATAAATAAAAGACTTCATAGGACGAAAAAGGTTCCCTGGCGTCGGTATCTACGGGATTGTCTGGCAGAAGCGAAAACGAAGATGGCTGCATCAGCGACAGCGGGTGCGAAGGTTTCCTGGCCACCCACCTTCCCGAGATATTAGGTATGCCTGCACGGGTTGCGAAGTTACCAATCTGGCAGCTTGGCAGCATGGCATGAAGGGCGCTTATGAATACGACGTTACTTTACACCCCCTCACCCCCTCCCTCGGCCGAACAGACGACTCTATTCGCACTCGGAAATCCGGAGAGGGAAAGGGGGGAGCTGAAGGTTTAACACTGGGCTTTCATGGTGCTGCGTATCGTCTGTACTGTCGCAGCATGAAGATACCCTTGATCTGTCAGGCGCCGGTATGCCGTCTTGCAGCTCGGGCAATATCATTGCCGTCATAACGAGCTAGCCGCGTGGCATAAAAGCTATGGTGTTATCATGTCTCCGGTAATACTGGCGAGGTGCGCTCAGAATAGAAATACAGCATCATCTGTCCGTAGCATAACGTAGTCACTGCGTTTCCCGCCTATACCAGCGTAACGAGATTCCGCGGTGGCTCATTTACATGCATTTGCGATGCAAGTGATTGAAGTTCAACGTAATGTTTATGCAAGCACGATAACCTTTGCTTCAGTAAGCCGATGTACACCGGCCATGCTAGACCCACCCATGCTATGCCGTGGTTCCGATAACTCCAAGACGACACTGCCTGAAAACCCTCCTCTCACGGTGTTGATAGGGTAGAACACGTGAAGTTGTGCCGACACCAAGAGAAGAAGCCCGTTACGATCGCTGAGGCTACCGAGGTTGCTGACGCATGCCATCGACGACCCTTCCCCCACGCCACTAACTTTGGTACACATAGTACGTCGACACGAAACGCCGTCGTCATCGACATCGCCGCCGAAGTCATAGCTCTACTCCGCCTGCAATCTTCGAGTGTCCCTTCATGCCATCTCGATCAGATGGCAGGCAGCAGGCTCGACATGGAAACGACGCAACTGTGAAACGGATCACACGACGCCGCAAACTTCGGCGTCCAGCCTGTCGGACCCCAACATTAAAGGCTTGAAAAAGGACGCCGAGAGGTCATACCGTGCCTGTCCCTGTTGTGCAGCCTCTTTGGCCCCAGGGACCAGTATGCTCCCCCCCCCCTGGGCTGCCTTATGCGGATACCTAGCAGAGTTGGATGGACAGAAGCCCACCATGGCGGAGAAGGGGGTAGGGTGCGGTGTATTGAGTTTTTTTGAACGGCCGCAGGCTATGCGGGAGCGTCTGGGACGAAAACCATGAGGGAGGTGGAGGGTGCCCCAGCGTCTATCTGAAACTGGGGTTGGTGGTTGAGTGTTGAAAAGATAGGAAATCGTGTCTGGGGGATGAGAATTGGCAGGCGCTTATTTGAGCCAGGGGTCTGGGATAGCAGAGTTTACTATGTGGATAACAGCAGGTGAGAGTGCGGTCTGGAGCAACGTCTTGAGGGATTCAGATTCAAGGTGGTCCCTCTTAGTGATACACTAACAGGCTCGTTTTGAGGAAACGTAAGCTCATCGGAATCGTGAACCAGAAACAGGCCCTCACTTCCAAAAGGCAGGCGAAGGGGCGTGGCGGAGGACGGGATGAGGAGATCCCCAGTGCATTCCGTGCCGGACTAAACCCTGCAAACGCAGGCCGCAGAGGCCGAGCGTATCGTGTGTCTTGTGCGGGTGGGTGAGTGAGTGAGTGTGCTGGAACTCCACCAGCCATCAAAGATCAGCAACTAGAAACAGGTCAGCCGGCATGCCTCGGCGTCCATGCCATTCGGCAAAGACTGCGAGTGTGACCAGGCGGAACAGGCACCCAGGGTAGTAGAAAAAGTGGGAGTGAGGAAGCATAGGGCACAGACGGTGGACTTAGTTGAGAAAGGTCGATGTCCAGAAAAGGATACCTGCTGACTGTACGTGACATGCAGGTGGGCTCGGTTGGGCTCAACGGGGACGGGACATGAATAAGCAGTCTGAATAGAGTTTCCGCGACATCGCCGACCGACACACATGGGTTGGTTGAAATACCACATGGCCGATGATGATAGGCGGCGACGGCGGCGATGGTGATGGCGGCTAAACGGGAGACCGACTCGTAAAGACATCAACAGAGTGGGCACGCATGAGCCGTGTGGTGATCTGAGTATGATTGTTTCCTCCCAACTTGACACAAAAGGCAACGCCCTTTCTTGCTTGCGTCGAGTCCTGTCGAGAGCGTGAAGGTATCTGATGCATACACGCCATTGCCATCCCTGAACCGTCCTATCCTGTTTTGTGAAAAGAAGACATACCCTGGCTCTCTTTTACTGGGCCTAGAAAGAAAAAAAAATCACCGAGAGACAACGTCCTCCTCGTAGACGGCCACTTAACCTTGACGACCACCCTGGTGGACACATCATGCTCCCCATAAACCATCCCACATGAGCCTCTGTTCAGAGACAATGGAATCCACTTACTCCTTGATCTGGAGCTCGTCCATGTCGTCCAGAAGCTCATCCATGTCCACCCGCGGCACGCCTTCGTCTTCTGTCTCGGCGATGCTCATGGCATCGGGGTCGACCTTTGTGGGCTGTTGGGCCTTGTAGAGCGCCATCGTTGCGCGGAGCTCCTCATCCTCCTCGACGTCACGGAGGAACTGCTCATAGTCCTCGTTCATACGGTCCTGGTCGGCCTGTTTCGGCAGAAGCTCGCCCTCGTCCTTGTTCATGCGCTTGAGCTTCCAGTTGCGGTTGCGGTGCTTCCTCCTGTTGGGGTAGTGCTTCTTGACGAGCATGACGTCCGGTATCGTCGAGCCGTAGGCGTGCGACTCTTCGATGGCGTCAAACTCCTCATTGTTGAAGTTGGTGCCCGTGAGCATGTAGCCTAGGACAGAGTCGCCCGCGTGCAGCAGGTTGCCCAGGTGTGTCCTCGCAAAATACGTCTTGTCGTTGACGCCCAGGTCGGACGCCCGAGCGACCTGCACCTCGGCGAGGCGCCATTTGCCTTTTGTGATGTTGGTCGGCTCGATGTCCATGACGATGAACTCGACGAACTGCTTGACGTCGGCGAGGGAGTGGAAGGGCGCGCGCCAGTAGATGGGTGCGCTGACGTCGGCAGTCTGGAGGGTGTTGGGGTCGAGGAGGTATACTGAAGTCCCGATCTTGTGGCAAATGACAAGGGGAGATATGTTGCCGGACGCCTTGGCCAGCTTGATGGGCATGGCCACGAGGTCGTCACGGCATATGGGGATCAATTCCACTGAGAAGGTGAACTTGTAAGACTTTGTGGAAGTGTGGACGTCCTGTGAAATAAGCTCCTGCGACTTCTTGACCTTGCAGGGCACCACAGAGTTGAGAAAGTCGCAGAACTTTTCAGCTTGATTCCTGGCCGAGAAGAAGAAATCGATACCGTCCTTAGCCTCCTTGATGTTCAGTGTATCTCTGTGTGCACCGTGCTTCATGATCAACTGCTCGAGGAACAGGAACGTCCTTTTGTGCAGGACCTTTTGGCGGACCTGAACGGAGGCGCGCCAGACGTTGGCCGTGTACGACTTTGCGCAGTCGGGGCATTGTTGGTAGGCAACAATGTAGACGGCTTCAAAAGACTGCTGCAGTAGGACGCCGGTCTGCACCTCGTCTTGAATGGTGATCTTGACCTTCACTCGCCTCGAGTGGGGTTCCGTCCAAACAAAAGAGGCGTCGATGATGCGGATCTTGTTCAGGCCCTTAAGTTTCTTGAGGCAGAGGGCGAGGAGTTCGCGGGACTCTGGAGCAGCGACAACCCAACTGCTTGGGGGCAGCAGCCAGCGGTCGCAGTCTCGGCAGAAGTTGAGGGTGGCCTCGCGTTGTACGCCCTGGGAGATGTCGACGGTCAACTTGATACAGTCGTAGCAAAGCGCACCGGCGGCCGTCGTGCCGTCGATGGGGGCGCCGCAGTTGCAGCAGAGGATCGTGGCGTTCGTCATTGCGTTGTTCTCTCTCTGTCCGTTTCTTTTCTTTTCCCTCCTCGTCCTTGTCGATGGTTTGGGTGAGAGCGTGAGTGTAGGGCGGCAAGGGGGGTATATGAGGAGAATTGGGCTCTCAATGTATGTGTATGGCGGGGTATCACGAGAAAGTGGGATGCCCATCCCAAAAAAAATTCTAGGATAGCGGGGGTTGCTTATCGATAGAGCAAAAACGTCACGTGCCGAGCTCTGGTCGCCGCCAGTGGCGGGATTCTTAGTAATTACTAATCAAGCCGGTGCCTTCCTCGTCCGGAGTCCTGTCTTGCCTCTTTTTTTTTTTTTTTTTTTATCGAAACGAGGAGTCGTATTGTTGCCCCTATGCAGGTATCATGACAAATCGCTGGGATTTACCGACGTTTGACTATCTTCAAACATTCAAACATTCCATATTGTTCTTAGGCTGTTACGTATACTTGCTAGTCGTCGGATTTCTCGGGCCAAGCTGTGACTCATTGGAGGAGAGTCCTGTTGCGGGTCTCGCTGCAGTCATGGTCATATGCCGCGTAGGTGCCCGATGCAGGTTGGTGGCCACCATTTTTTGACCTGAATTTGAATGAAGCTTTGCCAAGCAAGCTAAGCAAGCCAAGCGGTTTTTGAATGTCGCTTACGTTCAATCAATTCGCTTCTCTGGAACATTGCATTGATGCTGATAGGTGTGAATGAGCCGCAATCCGGCATGCCATGTCACTGCCACTTGCAGCATCAACATCAACCGTCAACCACACCTCATCTGCATCATCTAGGCATCCCCTACTAGCCATACCGCTCTCTTCTTCGAGTCCATTCAAATGACATAGAGCTCAATGAAAAAAGGCTTGAAGGAACCAACAGAGGATTCAGGTTCCAAAAACTGTACAAAAACGACGACAGCAACGGAAAATAGCAACGGCGGCAGAGCAGCACCACCGTAGCTGCAGCCTAAGAGAAGAAGTCAGCGTAAGCGAGAAGGCGGTAGCAAAAATCAAGTTAGGCCCAACACGACAGAAGGTCGTCTTAGGCAGAGCAAGCCTCTGTGCAATGACTTGTCTGGTCTTTTGGGCGGCCCTGACATGCCTGAGGGACGGGGCTTAGACGCATCATGGGGAAGAGTTTTGGATGGCCGCCCCATGATGTGGAAGACGAGAAGTTCCAGGGAGGGCAAAAGGAGGGGGAAGTAAATACAGGCACCAAGAAGGACACGGATCATTCAAGGCAAGACGCAGGAAGGTACGCCGTGCGACGAGGGACGATATTGGAGGAAGCCCCCTTCCTTCCTTTCTTTTCAAAGCCGGATACTGAGGATCGTTGTGGGAAGGAAGGAAGGAAGGATCGCTTCGCGTATAATCCGATAGGAGCGGGGGAAAGACGGCTCCACCTTAGAGACCCTAGGTACTCAATCTACTTTCCCATAATGGGAAGGTAGGGGGGGTGAAACCCTGGAATACCCATGCTGTACGGATAGGAGCAGCAGCTATGTCTATCTATCTATCATAGTGCTGTCGCATTTTTCATTCTTGTACCTACCTAACTATGTCGAAAAATTTGCTTGGTTGTGCATGCTGCAGTATGGCACGGCACGTATCCATGTCTGCCTATCCAGGTAGGTGCCTGGTGGTTGATTCGAGAGGTACAGAACAGCACCTCTCTTTCCTTTCCAGGCTCAATCACCCCAGAGAAAAGCAAGGGCATGCGCGTCGCGTCGTACCAGCGTTGAAAATTGTCTATTGCTCTTCTATCTTCCTCAAGGAGGATGCTTGCACAGGTCTTCAATGGCGAACCCTCTTGATTCATCTCTTACTCCTTACCGTTCGTCGTCTCAGTGTCATTTCCGTTAGCACCATTGGTGCCGTTCTTCTGTCCCACCGGCCCGACCGCCTCTCTAGCAAGTTTGAGGTCCTCCGCCAGCGCGCCGAGATGGAGCACGTCGGCTGATACGGCGATGAGGCTCATCCTCTTGGCCGCTTCCTTGATCTTCTCGGGGCTGCCGTACGGTGGCGCGCCGAAAGCAAAACCGGCGTACGGCTTGTCGTGCTTGTCCATCGTGTCGAAGAAGACCTTAGAGATCTCGAGCCACTCGGGCTCTTCGGCGCCCATGCCGCCCATTTTGCCCTCGAGGTTCATGCTGATGCGGCAGTCGAGCGTGCCGAACCAGACAACGTCGATGTCCGGGCACTCGGTAAGGATCGCATCGAGGTTGCGCACGCCCTCGGCAGACTCGATCTGGATCATGACGGCCGCCTGGTCGTTGAGGCACTTATGCAGGTCGCGGCTGGGGTCGTACGGCATGTCGGTGAGGAAGGGGATGAGGCGGAAGGGTGGCGCCGACCGCGTGCCCCGCTGCTTGGTGCCGTACTTGGCCGATGACATGACGTGCTTGGCCTCCTCCACCGTCTCAACCTGCGGGATCACGATGCTGGCGCCAGCATCAAGCGCGTAGCCAATGGCCGCGTGGTCGTGGCCAGGGACACTGTCGTGGCATGTTAGCTCGCAACCAACATAGCTCGGGTATGTGATGGTCCTTACCGAACCCAGGGAATGGTGCGCCCTTGGCTCATGAAGATGGCTTCATGGACCATCTGCGGAACTGTCAGCTCCACTGTCTCCTACTATGGTGTTCTTGGCAGTAACATACCGTCGTCATGGTTTCGACGTTGCAGGAGGTATGCTCCCAGTCAATCCAGACGGCATCGTATCCCATGGGAGCGAGAAACCGCGTCAGGGGAACGGCGCTGAGGCCAGCATAGTAGCACATCAATGGGGGGATCTTCTTCTTGTGGGCATCCCGGATGGCCTGACGAGCCTTGTGAGGTTGGAAAAGCGACGGCGCAGCATAGGCGCTCATGCCCAGCGTAGCAACGTTCTTGTATTCTTCGCCGATGACCGACATGATGATGATGACGATGATCTGCTTTTCTTAAGGGCTTGGCAAAGGATTATGTTTGAAAGGCGTTTGGAAGGCGTCTCTTGAGGTACTTTCTGACCGGAGACAAGAATCAAATGGCTGTAAGACGGATGCAGCAGCCAGTTGGAAGGCCCCCTTTTATATACAGATGGTTCATTAAATTCCGCACTGCATGCTTCGTGGTTGTGCAACCTCAGGGACCACCAGAGCCTGCAGAGATCCCCTGCTCATCGCCCCGTAGAAACTCCACATATGGTGAGGCTTTGTCCTTCGGAATGGATGATTATTATTCGTTTGCGCAAAAGACACGATTGGCGTGGCAGTCAGTGGAAGGACCGGCCACGAAGTTTAACTTCTGGACGGCAAGCATAGCAAAAAGATCCGTAGTCGACTTATTCTCACGTCAGATACTAGGCGTTTGAGAAATGCCGTACCACTCCGTGTATTTACTGATCAGATCCCTAGCCCCTGCCATCAAATCGTGTCTTTGGCTACTATGCCGCATCGTATTGCTTAGTAGGTACATCGCCCTTGTTGGTTCAACAGAGATCGACATCAAGCATGGACGCATGCCTGCGGGCGCAGGGAAAGCGGTGACGCGTGGTTCGATATGCGGTGGTTGATGCCTGTTCATAATCGCACTGCCACTGGCTGAGTCTTCCGGATTGATAGGACCAGTTGCAGTGGCGTGAGCCGTGAATCCCGTGAAAGAAATGGCACGCACGTCCAGATTCCGCGCTAGATGCACCATGACTGGGAAGAGAGATATATCAGAAGATATCCCACAAGGATATTTTGCCATCCTTGCTGCCAGCTGCCAGCCAGTGAGCACTCTGCGCCTGTTGTATGCGTCTGTCCTTGACACTGATTTGGCCCGTAGGAGAGATGACATCGCGCGAGGCGCCTCGGGTCTCATGAGTCCGAGGAGCCGCCTTGACATCGGCCAATGCAACGGCGTAACATCCGACTTGGTGCCATTTTAGCGTAGCTACCTCCTTGAGAGTCTTAGCCGAATATACGCGAATGGTTGAGTCCCAGCCCGCGGTAGCAAAGATGCGGCCGTCGTCGCGGATGCGTAGGCCCTGTTGGCCTGAGTGCTTGGTGTTCAGTATTTTCAACGGTTGTTGTATGAGATTCCCGTCGACAGCGGGGCTAGGGCCGGGGATAGGGTGTTTGGCTACCACTGCGTCCGCACCTGAAGTAAGAAAACAGCCCTGGTCCGGGGCGACGGCCAGCGAAAGAATGGGTTGGTTGTGCACTTGGGATAAGTAAATGGTGTTCCATGTCCCGCCAGCGAACTGCATAACCGTCGCCAGGCCATTCTCGTACCCGGCAACGAGGGTTAGCTGGTTATTGGCGGATGGCCCCGTCGAGGAGACCCCGTCGACGTACACGAGGGCTAGGGCCATGACCATGCCGTTCTTTTCCGTGGTTTTTACGGTGTGAAGACGTTTTTTAGAGGGTAACTCATACACATCCACCTATCACGGCGGGGCGGGTTAGTCCCGATCTCATTTGCAGTAATCAAGGCACCCGGGCTTTAGAGCCGGAGATAGCGGAAGGGGTTTGGACTAACCGACTCCGAAGCCAACGTGTTTGGTACAGCAAGCAGCAAATTCCTAGTCTCGGACACGCCCTCAGGCAGCGGAGCGCATGAAGCGAAGGAGCAAAAGTTCATGGTGTTGACCTCGATGAGGTGTAGCAGCCAGGGCTGAGGTCTTGGTTCAGGCGTCTCATCGAGCGGGAGCTTCTTGCTAAGATGTGACTCGTCCTTGGGACCCAATTGCCAGACGGCGAGCCTGTGATCCCGGCCATGGCTGCACACGGTGTAAGAGGCAGTTCGACTGGTTCGAAAGTTGAGATGAAGCTTACGTGATGATGCGGTCGTCTCCCCAACCCTCGATGCCCAAAATAGCATTCTCATGGGGTCTCCATACCGCCGTTGGGCGTAAGATTGTGAGGTCCCAGAGAACGACAAAACCTTCTGCATCTCCACTGGCCAGTCTGTCGTTGCCACGTACGAAAGCGAGAGCGTGGACCTGGGCTTTGTGACCGCGGAGGATAGACTTGGGATGCGGCACTTCGTCCATCATGGTGGCCGATGTGCGATCACAGGGCGGGAGGAATGCGATATAAAGGAGGTCACAACAGGTCCATACCTGACTGACTGGTGGTGATGCGATTACCTACAACAGCTTGGACCAAGGAAATAGGGTGGTAGGAAAAAAAGAAAAAGAAGAGCAGTGCGTAGAAGGATTTTTGAAACAGTGCTTCAACAGTAGAGCAGCGTGCTGTTTCTGCCTGATCCACTCGAAAAGCACTGGCTCCAGCGCGATGAAAACGTGGCATCACAGTGCGGAACTAGGGGCGTTTCCGTCCGCTAGGTATCGCGAATTTAGGAATGTCGAAATATGAAATATCTTTGGGGGAATTTAGCGCATCTCCGGTAGGACCCCAGCTTTAATTTTGGCGCTGCCCTCTAGGCCTTCTCCCGTAGTCAGCCGACAACAAGCATCTCACGTAAGTAGATTGGTTGTCACGCCGTAATTGGTATGGATTCTTATGATAAGGGATAGACTCTGCTCTGGGTAAAGGTCACCCAATCCGTTGGAATACAGTCAGACTGAGGTCTCCTTGGCGATATCGTGGCCAATGGCCAATGGCGAGTACTCAATGAGAGATATATAATTACGCCTTCGCTTTTTGAAGAGAAGGCGGGCTCAGAGCAACCACAGGAGGTTCTGGTTTTGGTCGAGATAAGCGACTAGACTGGCGGGAATCAAGACGGGCTGAGGCCAATATGAACAGAGGCCGTGAGGTTAGTTTAGAGTTGCACGACGGAATTTACCATGAACTGGGATCAAGAACATCACATCATGTCAGTAATGACGAGGTATGACTGAATCGTGCCATTAAATACAGGCCACCTAGGGCCAACAGGCATGGGCGAAGGCAAAGCGGGCCCTGAAGCCGTCGCAAACGCTGCACCGAGGGTGTTTTCACTTTTATCCCTTCTGAGGGAGGGGAGAGCGGCCGTCGGGGCCTTGTCCACGATCCGGGTTGCCGGTGCGGCCTGAGGTTCAGGATTAAATCGTCCAGGCGGCTGAATGGAATGTAAACGGTTGGGCCGTTTCGACCGAGAGATCCGGTCGACTGCGAAAAGAACAAGGTCGACCGAGACTCCGGACGGATATAATTGTGGGATGCTTGGTCCACGTCAGCTGCACGTAAGGCACCAACTTGGACCTAGTAACTGTGCTTCTACCTGGCACACGGCATTCCGATTGGGCGGATCAAGTGCCATCAGGACACACTCTTTGGTCATACGGGAATGTCCAGTACCAGGACGACGGGATTGTGGTTTCTCTGTGTGTATGTGTGAATGGATGACAGCATTTCACTCGTCCCTTCCTATTCCGGGGGGGTCTGGGTACCTAGGTACCTCACAAGGTGTGGATGGATGGGCGACAGCGTGTGTCGTACCGTACTTGCCTGATGTTCCCATTCTCTCGTCCGTGCTCGGCCAAATTTACGGTACCTACTTGTTAGGAGGGCGCGTAGCGTATGGTACTTACCTACCAGCTTATCAATTTACCTGATCCTGCCCCCCTCCATTGAGCAATCATGTTCGCAAGCTGCAGCCCTCGTAAATCTGAAAAAAAGCCGATCTCAAGGCTGCCAGACACGTGCAACAGGAACACTGGGTCGCACCCAGGACCCTCTTTTGCCTTGCATGCGCAAGCGTTGAGCAAGTGAGCAAGTTTCCCCTTGGCGTCATCCCGGACTTGCTGGTCTGGTCCTCAGCGTAACGATTGACACGCCCGTCTTGCTGGCCGTCTTCCTCTGCTCTCTTCGCCTCCCATATCTCTGCCCTTCCGGCCCCCGACGACGCTCCTCTGATTACGGGCAGTACATCTCACAACGGACCCCGAATCCTGGAGGCAGCGGAGACCCCGGGATGGGCTCATGCTGACTTTGGGCTGCAGCTGCGAAGCCATATTACGTGAAGGCGCTTTCTTGCCTAGGCGCCCGGATCCCAAGGATTGAGTGATTCGTGTCACCGTATTTTGGCGTCAGCAACTTACTCGAGCAAAAAGGGAGTTTGTCCCTTATCCGAACATGCTGCTGTGCAACGTGGGTCCTCTGGGCTGCGTCATGTCTGAACTTCACTAAACGCCATTTTGGCGGATGCATCATCTTGCAAACGGACTCACCCTTCAAAAGCTTACTCGGCGGGACATGTATCCGTTGGGCAGCTACGTTAACCTGATAGGTATGTCTCCACTCCGTTGCTCCGCTACGGCAGCCTGCAGGGCGCACTGGTCCAAAAGTCAGAAATTACCTCTTTAGGACAGAAAGATAATATAGATACGGTATGGTGTGTATCTAGATCCACTTATAATCTCTATTGATAAGGTCTGATTGGTTTAAAGATAATGCTTACATAATCTTACTACACCCCATAGGCCCATAAAAGGCTTAGCCCTGATCCTGGTCTTTTACAACTTCCGGCTTATTTCCGTAGGCCAGCGCCTGCCCACTGTTGCCAGCGCTTGCCCACTATTGCCAGCGCCTGCCCACTATTGCCAGCGCCTGCCCACTGTTGCTAGCGCCTGCCCACTGTTGCCAGCGTGCACTACTGTTGCCAGCACCTGCCCACTGTTGCCAGCGCCTGCCCACTGTTGCCAGCGTGCACTACTGTTGCCAGCGCCTACCCACTATTACCAGCGCCTGCCCACTATTGCCAGCGCCTGCCCACTGTTGCCAGCGCCTGCCCACTATTGCCAGCGCCTGCCCACTATTGCCAGCGCCTGCCCACTGTTGCTAGCGCCTGCCCACTATTGCCAGCGCCTGCCTACTATTGCCAGCGCCTGCCCACTATTGCCAGCGCCTGCCCACTATTGCCAGCGCCTGCCCACTGTTGCCAGCGTGCACCACTGTTGCCAGCGCCTGCCTACTGTTGCCAGCGTGCACCACTATTGCCAGCGCCTGCCCACTATTGCCAGCGCCTGCCTACTATTAAGAGTATACACTACATTATTATTTCTTTATACTTATATTTATCTTAAAAGAATTAATAATTCTTAATTCTTATATTTACTTATACTATATTCTTTAATATTTATTATTTATACTTAGAATTATAATCTCTGTAAAGAAAAAATTTAGACTTTGCCACTAGCCTGTGCACTCTAAGCGAGCCAATCAAAGTAAAGACCTAAGAATTTTGCAAAGGGGTAGGTGTAGCAACCCAAGTTGAGTTTTGGACCAGTGCGTCCTGCAGGCTGCCGTACTCCGCCGCTAACGAGAGTGTTGGTCTGGTTAAGCTTGTTGCTATGGTTCCATTGCGACGGCTCTGTCCCTCTTTCCTATTTCTTCGGCTGCATCTCAGGTCGCCTCAACAACGCCGATTACTAAAGCAAGCACTGGACGACGAGTCACCGGTAGGCGAAACATTGGGTACAAGGTTGCTTTACAAATCAGAATGCTCAACTTTGGCCCGAGATGCAGGGCCGGGCGCAGCCTTTGATGATGTGGCGGCGTCGACTGGTCACCAAGCGCAGCCTTATCCGTCTGTAGACCCAAAAAGCTGCTTGTGAAATTGGGGCTACTCCTAGCCGGCATAAACCAAGGCCCTCGCAAGTGCGATGCGGGAGCTCAGATCGACCCCCCCCCTGAAAGCCAGGAAATGCGCCAGGTTTGACTACCTCTGCTTAACCCCCGTCCAAAGTCCGCAGAAATAGGCTGTTATGTCCATTACGTCCGCCGAATCGGCGGAACCGGCAATTGCACGCTGCGGACATGCAAGCACGCCACGCCAGCAGAGAGACACAAGGGCTGGAAGGAAGTACCGTAAGCAATGCCACCCCGTTGGCAAGCCTGTTGTACCGGTATCTGTCTCCTGTCTCAGCCTCAATGCGAGGCAAGGGCACCCACACACACACACACACACACACACTACACACTCCGCAAGGGATGTTGCGGACTTTTCGAACATTCCCGCTATTCACAACCGAAGCCTGAGTAGTCTCAAGATGCAGCAGCCTAGCCAAGGGGATGCCTCAGAAAAACCATCACCGTCAGCGCGGCACGTACGCGGAGATTAGATGAAGGCCGTCCTGTTTGGTTACCAAGCAGAGACGCCCGGGTTGTGCAACCCGCCTTCACACTTTAATTCATTATCCATTTCGGTCTTGGGTTGCTCCGTACTGCGTAGGGCCCGCCAATGACGCCTTCCCATCACTGGTTGAGTTGATCCTCGTACCGCCGTATCGTCTCGGCCTAATGCATCCTTCGCAGACCTGATGCTTCCACCGGGCGTGCTGAGCGGGCCCATCTCCCACCCATTGTGCTACTGTACAATATGAGGTTTACACCACACACGATGAGCAATACAGACCGAAATGTCTCCGACGTGGGATAGTGCATCCAACCATGCCGTCCACCATCTTTGTCATCGCGGTCAGACGCCTGGCTTACCCCATCCGCATTTGGCCAAAGTACCTTTGCCGGTGTCTCTCACTCTGGCTCCGAGCGGCGGGTAGCCCACCGGGTGTTAGCAACTCTCAAAGTCCGACCCGCATCGCTTGTCAACCATGACGGTCTCCCAGATACATAAGGGAGCCTGGCCTCTCCCGGTCCTGGGCTCTGTCTTATGGCACGCGCTACAGAGACAGTCAACCACGTTCTATGCACCCCAGACTTCCAACACACCACTAGGGTTCGAGACGATAGCTTGCTACTGACATCAAAGTCTGTTTCTCGCCGTTAAGAGTCTAATCCGGATACAACGCTACCGTCAACGCGATGACTTCTCCGGCGAGCACCCTCGTACCGGCCCGCGAGAAGGGAGAGACGGACCGGGACTCCACCACTTCGCCGTCTGTGCTTGGTGATATCGTCGAGAAGAAGGAAGAGACCGGCATCGCGACCGATGAAGAAGCGGGCTCAACACAGCCTACGGAGGCGACCGACGCCGTCTACCCCACCGGCGTCCGGCTTACCTTCGTCATCGTCGCCCTCGTCCTAAGCGTTTTCCTTGTCGCTCTGGACATGACCATTGTCGCAACCGCCATCCCTAAGATCACCGACGAGTTCCACGGCCTGGACCAGGTCGCCTGGTATGGTTCTGCATTCTTCATGTGTGTCGCTGCCTTCCAGTCGACATGTAAGTCATTATCCCTGAACACACCCCACTAGTCACGATACTAACATGGGCACAAACAGGGGGCAAAGCATACAAGTACTTCCCGCTCAAGACGTCCTTCCTGCTCTCCATCTGTATCTTCGAAATTGGCAGCCTCATCTGCGCTGTCGCTCCCAACTCCGTTGCCCTCATTATTGGACGCGCCATCGCCGGCGTCGGCGCCGCTGGCGTCGCCTCCGGCGCCTACACCATCATTGGGTTCTCTGCCCCGCCCGACAAGCGACCGATCTTTACTGGCATCGTCGGGGCCGCGTACGGCATTGCCTCTGTCATTGGCCCCCTCATCGGCGGCGCCTTCACTGATCATGTTAGCTGGCGCTGGTGCTTCTACATCAATCTCCCCATCGGAGGTGTCTCCGTCGCCATCATCCTCTTCTATTTCACCACTCCACCTCATGCCGTCCCCGTAAAGGCCAGCTTGCTTGAGAAGTTCCTACAGATGGATCTAATCGGTACCTTTCTTATCATGGGCGCCACTATCTCCTTCCTGCTTGCCCTGCAGTGGGGAGGCCACACCCACCCTTGGAACTCGTCCACCGTCATCGGCCTCTTTGTCGGCTTCTTCGTTATTCTCATCGCCTTCATCGTTCTCGAGTGGTACCAGGGCGAGCGTTCCATGATCGCGCCCCGCCTGATCAGTGATCGCACTGTCGGCATCTCCTCCGTCTATGCTTTTTTCTTCGGCGGCGGCTACTTCATCCTCGTGTACTACCTGCCCATCTACTTCCAGTCCGTCGACAACGCCTCCCCGACGGAGTCAGGCGTTCGTAACCTCCCGTTGATCCTTTCTGTCACCATCGCCACCATCGTGTCTGGTATCTCCATCTCGGCGACCGGTATCTACACTCCGATCCTTGTCGGTAGCGCCGCCATTGCCACTGTCGGTGCCGGTCTCATCTACACCCTCGACATCGGCACTGGAAGCGGCAAGTGGATTGGGTACCAAATCCTCGCTGGCCTGGCGTGGGGTGCTGGTTTCCAGGTCCCCATCATCGCCGTCCAGGGCACCGTCAACGCAGATGATCTCGCCTCTTCCACTGCCGTTCTCCTATGTAAGTCCATCCTGCCCTCCAATCAATCTAGAGGAATGATCACTAACAGCCATGCCCTAGTCTTCCAAACCGTCGGCGGAGCCTTCTACGTAGCCGCTGCGCAGTCCGGCTTCCTCATCACTATCCTCAAGGAAGTCGCCGAAAACTTGCCCAGCGTCGATCCGGCCGTAGTTGCCCTCACTGGTGCTACCCAGCTGCGCACTGCTTTCCCCGCCGAGGTTGTCCCCGGTATCATCCGGGCTTACATGGAGGGTCTCAAAATCGCCTTCGCTCTGGTCATCACCGGCGCTGGCGTCGCCTTCCTTGTGTCACTCGGCTCGAGGTGGAGCAAGCTGAACACCAAGAACCTGACCGGTGCTGCTTAAAGTATCCTAATAACGATGCTAGCTTTTTTGGAAATTTTGTTATTGGCTTCCTGTCTAGAGCACAGATACCATGTTGCGGATGCGTATAGAAATCTGTTATAATCAGATGACCAACCGGGGCGTTTGGTGTTGAATTTTGGTGCTCAGGGGACTTCCTTCAAGGTTTTATAGATTGACCGACTCAACTCTTATTATGTCTTACGAGAAGCACATGAATGGATAATAATGTATCAAATAATAACCTAATTCGCGTCACGAGAGACGGTTGCTTCTGAATGCTTCTGGGAAACAACAAGTGCATGATTTCGATGCTGAAGTTCTGATATCTGCTTCAACCGCGTCTCCTATAGTCATCGCCTGTGCTCACTTGGGAGCGACCCAGGAATGCAGCAAAGAGAGATGATCCGCGTACCCATGTGAGGAATGGTTTTTTGTTAAAGCCGTCCCTTAGCGGATCTAGCACAAGAAAGTCTTGTCCCCCCCCCCCCCCCCCCCCCCCTGTCAGGCAAATGGCTCTTGTGTCCTGCGCTTCGTTTCCCCCAAACTCAACTCTTGTGGCAAATGTTCAATCTCGAACACAACCTTCTTTTCGAGGCCTCTGAACGGCCGCAGTTCCGTCTCACTGCCTTGTGCCGAGACGGTCATGGCGCTGTCCCTGCCGCCAAACCGGATCGCACCCTTCTGCCGCCTCATCGACCGCAGAGACATGCCGCCGGGGCCGCCGATCATCGGGCCGGCGTATTTGTTCGTCGTCTTTCTCGCCATGTTTCTGTTCTTGCTGAGGAGAAAGCGGAAGGCCGGCAGCGTCGCGACAATGACACTGACGGAGGACTCGATGTGGCTCCACATGCTGAGAAGCACCGGCCCGTTGGCCACGGTCGTGGGGTCCTTGGCCGCGTCGCTCGTGGCCTTTGTGACCTGTACGAGGCGCGCGATGGCGAAGGCGACGATGACGCCGCCGAGGGAGAAGAGGACGGTGAGGCCGAGCTTGTGGGACCGCGAGATGGTGAGCTTGCGCAGCAGGTTGAGGGGCAGGATCATGACTGCGTGAGCCGTGTTAGTTCGGTCGGGATGAGCGGGTGTGCCGACCTGAGAGTCGCGGCGGGGGCTCACTCAACAAATCCGCGGCAATATCGGCGCCAGTCGCGAACCTGATGGACGCATCGGCGCGCACAAGATCGTCCGGCGCGTTACACCCGGCTGAATCCGAACACGTCAGTTCTGGTCACTAACCGGGACATCCGCCCCCACGCGTACTCACTTGCACGCTAGTCAAGAGACAAAGTACCCGCCCAGAGAGTGGTCCAGAACAGCAGCATCTGCGAGAACATCAACTTGAGGGCCGCAGTCGACCTCGCCACGAACTCGTCGAGCGGCAGCGGCAGCGGCCTTGGTGTACTCGCCGGCGAGGTAGAATTGCGGCAGCATGGCCGTGATGACGACCGATAACGCCGTCAGCGTGGCGAGGCCCGCGATGATGAGGTAGTCGTCCGCGTACAGCCGCCGCTGGAGGATCCATTGGAAACTGCCCCGGAAGACGGTCATCCCCCAGCGCGGCCGCCCACAGCACCCAGACGAGAGCCTGTCGATGGAGAAAAGCTATTAGCGAAAAGGCGGGGAGAGGGGGGCTCGGTAGTCGTAGCTAGCGTGAAGGGGAATCCACCGGAGCACGGATTGGTCATCGATGATGGCTCCGAACGAAGCGAGGGAAGTGGGCCGGCCTCCGGAGGTTGATCTTGCTTACCATTACCTCATTGAAGCCCATCACTGAGTGTGACATGATGCGAGTTCTTATCTCATTCCCCGGCTATCGACGCGGTTTGGTTGGGGGGAAGAACCCTCGTTTCTCGTTTCTTCTCCTGTCAAGTGCAGAGTGTCTCAATGACGCAGCAGTTAGCCCCCAGGGCGGCCGCAACGGGCCTTAAGAGAATGTGTGTATTAATGGAGGCTGTCTGTTGTCGTTCCGGCATTTCCCCAAACCCGCGTGCCGAGCTGTCGGATCAGGGGAGCTGCGCTGAGACGAACCCTTTCGCATCTAGGGCTACATATTGTTGCATGCAGCCCTGCACCAGACGGGACGGCTGGAAATGCGCCATGGAGGCGGAGGTTAAACAACCACGCAATATCGGATGGCCTCTGTTTACTTCATTGGAAACCTAGTCCAACTTGGGCGCGCGGGGGCGGATTTCAGGAGGGGGGAGAACAAGGATCACGACGGGGATTAGCCACCAACACGTAAACCTCATCTCGGGCCAGCGAGGATGCAGCCGGGCTGCCAACGAGAAGCTTGCAATGTGAGGAGGCATTTCTGCATTCGACAGCAGAAGGCGGCATGATCCCAACCGAACTTCGTTAACGATGCAGGCAGGTTCATGTTCCTCCCATTTGGGGTATGGTACGGGATTAATGTAATTCGTATCGCAACGACTTCCAGCCGAGTCTTTGCAATAGAAAGATCGTCTACGTCCTGCTTACCGAATTCCTTGAGGCTTGCTTAGTGTCTCACTTTCTTCCTGGCGCCGAGTTGATCAGAAAACATGGTTCGTTTTTCGTCCTTCTTTGCGCAGCTGCTGGCTGTCGTCGCGGCCGGAGAGCTTGCCGACGCTGACGCTGCCGCCACGTCGGCCGTCGTGTCCAGCCTCCATGGCTCAAAAAAAGTTGCCTGTGGGCTGCTGAGCTTTAGATACCCTGGACAAACTTTTTTCGCCGGTTCCGACGGCTACACGTACGAGACGCGGACCCAGTACTGGTCCGCGAGGGCCTACGACACCCCCGCCTGCGTCTTCGTGCCCCAGAACGCCCAGCAGGCCTCCTTCGCCGTCGCCACGCTCACTCTGAGCCTGACGCAGTTTGCTGTCCGCAGCGGCGGCCATATACCGGTGGTCGGCTACAACAGCATCGGCTCGTCGGGCGTCCTGCTGTCGACCTCGAACCTGACTGTGCTGGCACTCTCCGAGGATACGAACACCGTCTCAGTCGGCGCCGGCCTCAGGTGGAGGGAGGTATACTCCTATCTCTCAGGCTCGGGACTCGCCGCTGTCGGGGGTCGCATCGGCGGCGTCGGTGTCTCCGGCCTGCTGCTCGGGGGCGGCATCTCCTTCTGCTCGAATCAGTACGGCTTCGCTGCAGACAACTTCGTCCGCTACCAGGCGGTCTTGTCGAGCGGCGCCATTGTCGAGGCGACCGCCACCAACGCCTACTCAGACCTCTTCTGGGCCCTGAAGGGCGGCGGCAACTCGTTCGCCATCGTCACGCGCTTCGATCTGAAGACTGTCAACTCCCCCAAGGTCTGGGTCGGTATCTCGCAGTACGCGCAGCCCGACAGCGCCAAGTACTTGGACGCTGTTTACAACTTTGGCAAGTACGGCTCGGCGGACGGCAAGGCGGCCATCATCCCCACCATCCTTGCTTACCCGTCATACAACATCACCGCCTACGCGGCAGCTCGGTTCTACGATTCCGTTACCAACTCAGCTACGGCATTCGAGAACTTCACCTCGCCCGTCCTCACGCCCGTGGATGATTCGTATGCGCTGCAGCCCCTAGCGGACTACGTCAGTGCCGCCGGCGCCCTGCAGCCAACCGGTCTTCGTCAAGAGTAAGCCGCTTTCCATCACACAACGGAGCAAAACACCCTGGCTAACTCGTTCAAGGTTCCGCGTCCTGTCTCTAGTCGTTGACCGCGACGCCGTCGAATACGTCCACAACGCCTTCCTCGCCGCCACCAGCTCCAAGCTCACGGGCGTCGTCGGTCTCTCTGCCTCCATCACCTTCCAGCCCATCACCAAGGAGTTCATCCAGCAGGGCATCGCCAAGGGTGGCAACCCGCAGGGTGTGGACCCGGCCAAGGCCCCCTACTTCTGGGTTGTCGAAAATCTAACGTGGCAGGAGGCCAAGGACGATGAGGCGGCCCAGTCGTTTGCCGACACCGTCACGGCCGATATGGAAGCGGGCCTGGAAGCCAGGGGCGTCGCGGGCGGGTACATGTACCTGAACGATGCAGGCAAGGGGCAAAAGATATTTCAGAGTTACCCGGCGGCGAACCTCGCGAAGCTCAAGGCTATCCGTACCAAGTATGACCCGTTGAGGATTTATACCAACCTCCTGGTTGGAGACTGGAAAGTTCTTGATGCCTGAGTGTGGTTATGACGCCGCGATGATGAAACCATCATGTTTCGTGTTGGGCTTGGACATAATAATTGTACAGATTTCTGCTGCATACCGCTTACATATTCAGTTAGCTCAGAGTAATGTCTATAATAATGACTAATGCAACTCAATGAGGATACCGGCCTTGGGATAAGTAATTTCAAGTATGGGCTGATCTACTCCAAGTAAGCTGAAGCAAAGTCGATGGTGTGTCTTTGCGCCTGTGCTCTTGGCGGAGCCATCGTTCTTGTGGGTGGTCGTGAGCGTCAAATTTGATCACTTTATTTGTCGTTTCCCTGTTTCGGGCAACGAAACATGATCTACAACGGAGAGTGTCGCCAAAATACTATGCGTTGCTGTAGTCTTGCGAAGACACCCAGCTTTTACCATTCAAAATTCGCTCTAAATCAATCATAAAAACGCCCTCACTGGTCACCTATGGGCTGACCGTAACCTTGACGCTGCCGTCCTCCATGCCGAAGTAGGCGGCGACCGGCTTCTGAGCCAGACCCTCCTTGCCAGCCTGGGCCGCCTGCAGCCCGTTGATGCCGTGGAAGATGCCGATCTCGACGATGCCGGGGATCATGAGCAGCTCCTTGGCGAGCGCAGAGACCTCCCACGCGCCGGCGGAGTTGCGACCCAGCTGCTGGGACGAGGCGTCTGTCAGGTCCTGAGGCAGGAGCAGCTGGGGAAAGGGCGCATCGATTAGCCACATGCCGTTGTCGGTGACGACCTCGCCGGCCTTGCCGGGGGCGCCAGGACGCACGAGAGGCTTGACGGCGCCGAGGGCCGTCAGCCTGTCGAGCACGTCCGGGGCGGACATGGGGAGGACCTCGATGGGGATGGCCTTCCAGTTGGTGAGCAGCCTCGAAGAGAGCTTGCGGTAGTCTTTTGTAACGTGTTAGCTCGTCTCCTTTTCATACGTTTGATAAGAGCCTCGGTGAAACATAATTACTCACCAGCTACAACAACAAACTTCTTAGCGGCAATGGCAACGAGTTTCTCCTGGAAGAGACATGCGCCACCGCCCTTGATGCAGTTGAGATCTGCGTCAACCTCGTCGGCGCCGTCAAAGGCGACATCAATGGGTACGAGCTTGCCGTCGGGGCCCAGTGGCCGCTCATCGAGGTTGCACAGGCGCAGGCCGGCAGCGCGGATGAGGCCCTTGGACTGGCTGCCAGTGGGAAGGAAGGTCATGTTGGAGTGGAAGGAAGGGCCCTTTGCAGCGATGGCGTCGACGACGTAGACAACAGTGCTGCCAGAGCCGATGCCGACGAAGCGTGACGAGGGAGAGAGGTGCTCGTCAACGGCGCGGTAGGCGGCGGCCTTCTTGGCCGTCTCGACAAGGGAGGCTGCTGCGGCGGACATGTTGCGGGTGTAGAGGCTTGGTGGGGTGGCGATTGAGGTTTTACGGAAGATGGAGTTTGAGGCGGAGGAGGAAGAAGAAGAGCGAAGGGATGAGACTGTTGATCTTAAGGCCCTGATACTTGTACCGCAGGTCCAGAACATTGAGAGACGCAGGGTCCGTTGGGACGAGGTAGTGATGTTATAATGGGATGAGCCATAAAAACTCAGTGTCTGCGTCTGCTTCCCGCGCCGCCCGGGCTTACTCAGGGACCTGAATCGTGACGGGGAGTGGACTCCGTTCCGGCTGGTGACGGCTGGTCACGAGTGGCGACCCCTCGTGAGGAAGACGCCTCGATACACCGACAAAGAGGCAACTGGAAACAGAAATTTTAATATATTCATCGATAATGAACAGTTTTTGAGTGTAATATACATATCAAGCCCATCAAAATGGCACTTTCTCTTATGTCACATTATCAATTGTCGTACGCATCACACTTCGGTGCGTGTCGGTGAGCCCTTCACTCACCGACCGCGGGGCACTTTTACGTCTCGGGGACCACTTCTTCATCTCCACATGTGACGTATGTACTGCGCATTTCCAGGGACGAGGGATTCCACCGACTCAATGCTCGCCTGTATTCTCGTCCCAGGAACAACGGGTCCGCCGAATCCGACCGAGAAAACTGTCTACTTCGGGGGCCAGTAGCTGCTCCGGGCCCTCAACGGAAGCATCCCAGTGGAACCCCCGGTGGATCAGAGGAAAAGCCCGCATGTACACTTAGAAGATTCAGGGAACTGCCTCGCGTGTATTGCGGACTGGTGAAAACCCAAAGGCAGGACGACGTCATTTACCCAAATGTTGCCGGCGCTCTTAGTGGATGAGAGTAGGGATTCTCGTCTTGGTCGGACAAGTGACTAGTGGATGGTCGAGTGCATATCTAGCTTCTATCGCGATGACAGATAGAGCCGGATAATTTTGCATCCGAAGATTGATAGAAGGGGCGATCTTCGAAGACATTTCTACAGTCTTAATTTATTTAAAGTCTCTATAGTATCTTGACCCGAATTCTTCAAGTCCGTAACCTAGTCTTGCTTCATTGCCCATATTCTTTCCCACAACGCACTTCTGCATGCATGTTAGCGGACCCAAAGTTGGGAAGGACGTTGAGCGGACTCTGCAATCGCCTCAGATTTGTACATTTTGTCTTCAGAGGTTTCTCTCAAATGCAATTGGGAGGTAACATATAACGGTAGCTGCTGAAAAATGGGACGAGGCTTGCCGTTTGGGTCACTATGTACATGCGTAGAGGCAGTTTGGCCTACATACCGGCCTTCGACTCAGTGTCTTCTCAAATAAATCTCATATCCAAGCTCTTGCCAAGTCCGAAAATGAAAACCCAATTCGTAAATGTAAGAGAACAGAATCAACATCTTTCAGTGAAACAGCATCTCATGTCTGCTAGCAGCCATCGGGTTTTGTTAGATTATCATTTTACAGCACTCAACAATAATACACCTCAACTAAGCAAGTAAAAGCATTGCACAGGGTTCTAGAAGTCTGTGACGAATCACAGCGTCTAGTCGTTTGAGAATAAAGCAGTTGTCCTATTCGGAATTTAATATGTAGGAACCGGAGAATGGGTAGCAATACCAATTCAAGGCGGTCCGTGCGGGTGGCACGCCACATCTGTAGCGGTCGCCACTGACACTAGCCACACGAAGCTATTCCAGCTTCACGACAAAGTCCGAACTTCTAGTTACAGAAAAGCATGGTCACTTGAACGTTCTGCAAAATACGAAGCAACTAATGTTGCAGTCTATTTCTCACTATCACTGGCTACGAAAAGAAAATAATCCAGACTAAGAACACATAGTATAATATCATCCAAAATTCCCGTTTACTAGATGAGTATCATTATTACGTTGCAGTCAGTTGAGTTCATTCGAATACTTCGACCCACTGCCATAATTGATACCGTCGTAGTGGAACAAGATTTTCTGCTGTGTGCGGTGAGTCACGTGCTCTCATCCCGTAGCTACAGGGTAATTATATGGTACGAGGCGAGGCCGCAAAAACCAAAACCTGTCATGGTAATGACAGTGCCAATCTCACTTCCGTGCGGTTTGTTTGTATAGACTTGGTAAGTAGAAACCTCGGACTTTGAATCAAGGGTGCTTAATTAATGAGCCTTTGGTTGGAACTGAATGATCTCCCGAATTCCATACGATAGACAATCCAACCTGTCTCACTTACCACTCACTACAAGCTTCATATGTGACTGGGCCAGCATGTGTAGCATAATGATGTCTCATGTTGGCATATTGTGTACGGATTATTCAAGATTTCATGCATATGCATGGCCAATGATATGATTGTGAATGTAAAAAAGAGTGGTATGGACCAAAGTTCCTCCATCACCAAAGGGGTATGGTCGCTCAATGCCGTAAATCAATGCCAAACCAAAAACACAACGCTTAACCCAAATGCATTAAAAAACATTAAGGCAGACCAGTGCCATATATCAGACCCGGATATCCTGCTCCTGGTCGAGATTTCTCTTAGAAGTTTACGGGGTAAGCCGTGTAATTTGACTCTGGCGAAGTAGCCAAATACTCTCTGATCTTAATCTCACGGCATTTCCGCGGGAAGAGGTTGTTCCTCTGACGTTGGTGAATCTTTTTGTAATGCTCCCTCTGTCATCCGTGGTTAGCTTTTGTGTCAAAAAGACGAACATGTTCTCATGCACAGAAACTCACCATATTGTCCTTGCGGCTGAAGATCCGGTCACAATCAGGATGCAGGCAGCGAACGGCAGGCTTGTGCGATCCCATGTGTCGCTGGAAATCCTTGCGGGTCGCGAAACCAACACCCGCTTGCTGGCACTTCTCCTCGGTGCAGAAGAAATACTTGGCGTGGCCGCGGAAGTGCTTCCTGAGATCGCATGCCCGGAGGAAAACGCGAGAGGAGCAGCAACCAGAGTAGCGGCAGCGCCAGTTGCCGGACACGTCAAGATAGCCCATCTGGTGCAGGTCCGTAGGGCCCCAGTTCTCAGGTTCCATCTCTCTGGGAGGAGATCGTGGTGACGCAACTCCACTGCTGGGGGATGAAGCGAAGTCCAACGATTCGGTCGAGGCGGGCGAGAAAGCTGAAGGAGGAGAAGGGGCCACTGGTTGGGTGTTGAACGTGTTGTAGTTGGTGTCCAGATTGGATGTGCAGCAAGTATTATCCAACAAAGGCATTGGTGGTTGAAATGAAGGGAATGAGTAAGGGTAGAGAAAGCTGTCCAGTGCATCCCCTGTTGGGAAGGGGATAAACTGAGGGTCGAATGTGTAATCCAAGGTGTTATCGACACTAGCGAAATAAGTGTACGCGGTTCCCTCGACAAAAGACTCCATGGTGTTTGATGTATGAGGACTGAAAGTTGTAAAATGATGATGAAGTAGGAAAAAGTGCTGACCAGGTTATTCGAAGTCGAGTGGAAGATGCTGCTGAAGAAGAGGACCAAATCTAGCGGCAGCTGGATCGACGATGATGTTTATGTATGTCACGATGCAGGCCGACAGCTGCCAATGTGCCGCACGCAAGTCATATAAACAAGGTCTTATAGCCCGAATCTGGCTGCAACATCGCAGTCCCAAACGCCAGGTCTATTCGCATAGTTTCCGATCAGGACTACTTTGGGCGGTCCCACGGCGGCGGAGTCGTCAAGCTATAGTATGCCAAAGACTCTTTGGCAGGCAACTGAGCTATACATTTACCATCTGGGCAGATCTATCACCAAATTAGGGGCCCGCGTCCGAGCGTTTTGACTGTCAAGTATTTGACATTGATGTTCGACAAGTTTCTGCCAGGGGTCCTGCAGCACGAACCGTTGGGGTGCCGAAGGAACTGGTGGATGAGCTGTGTTTGCTGAAATGCGATTGGCTCCTCAGCAGACGTGGAGACCATGTTACAGTGTCATATTCTCGCGAGAACACGAAAGAGCACCGCCCGTTAGCCAGGGTGATATGCAGAGAATTACGGGGCTGCCTACGGCATGTTGACCAGGGTGACATATTGCGGGACCACCTGCATCTGGAATTTTGTGCTCGTGCGCGGAGGATGATGCCACCGTATTTCCCTCCCAAGAGCTGACTGGATCGACGACACAGAGTTTTCAGCGCTGTCTGGCCAACAAAGTAAGTTACTGGAGATTTCGCTGGTGGTTTACTCGCTCTGCCATTTCCGGCTGCGGAGAATAGTCTCCTGTAATATGCATCGTACGTACGGATACGTGTACGGATACCGGTACAACAACTCCTTGAATCTCTCTGTTGGACTGTGCTTTTCTTTACGTTGCAATCCTGACCAACGGCGGGGCCGAAGTCTTAAAGATTGGAGCCTCAAGGGGGTGAATCTGACAAGCCAATCGGTATCCAAGGATTTTGACATGTCGGATGTTACTGGGATGATCCTATCTTTTGGCCTGTGTTTCCCAGATGACAGCTCTCTTATAACGGGGCCTGTACCAAACAAGATGCCTCATCAGACCCTGTGACCCCTGACTCTCGAATTCATCCCTGACCGGGTTTGACAGGGCCTGGCAGGGCGGGAAGACAGGCCATCAACGTCTCAAGGATAATAAAAGTGGATTTCAGCTTCAACGGTGAAATGCGATTCGCTCATGAGAATGAACCTCAGCCACCCCCAGTTGAGTGATCCGAGACAACTTCCGAAGCCCTTCTCTCGCACTCCCGTCAGCGATGACTGGATCTTCGTGCTGCCCTATCATGATCGCCATGATCCGTCAACGTCACCTTGAGATCTAGCCCTCGTCGAAAACTCCCACTTTCACAGTGAACGATGCATTGATCAAACCTAACGCGGCTATGGCGCATGCTCCTTACAATGCTCTGCTGATGATGCTAGTGACTGGCCGCCTGATGATCAATAGTCGTGGAGGCCTCTTCCCCCGATAGTTCCAATCGTCAATCGTGAATTGAACTAGGGGCTTGAGGCTCATTCGTGAAGAATCTTCTATGGAATTTTGCCTCTACAGGGATCATTCATAACAGGGTTTCAACAGCCACCACACCACGGGGCTTGGTTTTTGATCCTGTGCGAGTTCTTTACTTATTCGGCTGTGTCTCAGCTTTACTTTTTATTCTTTCTAGATGATTGTTTGTTTGGATTCTGTACCAAGCGGCCGGCTTTGCCGGACGTTTTTATGGAGCTAGAACACAAACAAGCGCCAGGTTCCGACATGAAAAATAACGGCTCCAGACACGGCTCGGTGCTCAGCCGGCGTCAAAATGAAAAGAGACAGAACTTTGATTGTTGGTGGAGAAACCAATCCTTCTCCAGGGCTACCTTGTAGTGCTTCGGAAGTTACCCAAAGATGACTGAGCTAGATGCTGTGGAACATTAAGCCCCCTGTTTGACTCAGTCACCAATGTAAGGATGTATGGGGGGCCACATCAAGGCTACGAGCCACTCAGATTCCTACGATCCGGTCAAAGATTGTACCAACTGCGAAATACAATCTATCAGCCGCCCCTGGAGTGGACCGTACCGCGAAGAAGATCTTATGGTACAACCAGAGATACGCTCATGCTTGCCGAGAAACTAAAACCTCGACATGATATGCGGAACGATGGAGTGTGACATTACCGATCGAGGTAGTCGTGCCGGGAAAGAACAGCGCTAGTTGCTAGTCTGTCAACATGGTCCGTGGGGTCCATTGGTCTGTGAGAGACCAACAGTTTGCTGCTGCAGGCCTTCGGATGACAGAACAGACAAGCGAGGACCAGACGGAATGTCTGTTTGGGTCACCATCCGGTCCGTCGGGTCATGATCCAGACATGATGGTGCGCCGGCGACAGCAAGGGTACCACATGTCTCAGGGCCGGGTCGAGGGCCATAGTTTATGTAATCTAGATGGTATTTTATAAGACTACTCTGTGCCTTGCACAGTTGAACGAAGAGAAAGACTAGAGAGAGACCCAAGAACTTGGTCCCTGACTTCCAGGCGGCGATGTCGAAAGTGTTCTATGACTTGGTTACGAGCGCAAGTCTCTGTCTTATCTGAAAGCTGGCAGACATTGCTTCGGTCTCAGTAGAAGCTTCGACAACGTGTTTTGAACGCGTGGCAAACACAGACACAGTGGAGTCATATCAGACTAACTTGTGCCGTGATGCTAAGCTTCAACTGATGTGCATGTGGGGCCACTTTGGTGCCATCGTCACAACATCTCAGCCGATTCGCAACTTTACTGACTGAGAAATTGTTCTCATGGCACAAACGGCCTCTCATAAAGGCTCATATATATCAACAACAAAGGCCAAAACGCTGAACCTTGATGTGCCGTTCGATCCTTTCGACTCTATTGTTCGAAACTGAGCCACCGACTATCTAGCCAGACTTGTAGGGACAGGACCTGTTGCTACGTTCTCTTCCTCCCTTAAGGCAGCAGAGCGTTATCCCATCGACAACCAAAATGATGGTACTCGCTCTCCAACTGGACATTAATATATTGCTAATTGTACACACATAATACGACAATCCCTTGGATCATGTTGTATAGTAAGCAATCCAGCGCTTGATTGTACGTGATTGTCCCTTTTGAATTTGACATTTAGCTTTGTGAGGTAATTACAACGTGAGAACGTGTCATAATATAAGCCGTAATTATGCAGTGGCAATTACAGATCCGCTTTTGTTATCACAGTTATAAGCCTGCTCTACTCTAGACCTCTGTGTGCCTTAATAGTATACGCATAAGCTCTATCAGAGACGCCCCACAAATTCCGTGTGGCCCAGATTCAAGCACTGTTCAGGGCAGTTAAAAACACCACCTATACTTTAGCAAGATGTCCCCAATTAGAAGGTTATTAGCAAGAGTGTTCTATATTACTAGCCTTCCGACAACATATATATTGAAAACCTGGGGGGGGGGGGGGGGGGGTCGTGATATAAGCCGTAATTGCGCAGTGGCAATTACGGATCCGCTTTTGTCATCACAGAACGCAAACAGAAAAGGTGAGGCAACATGTAGGCATTGGTGGTTAATATAAACGAAACTATTGACCGATATTACCACTATTACTACTAGTGCAAACCCAAAAGTTTCAAAGACCGAATCGCTGTACTGAAACCTCAGGGAATGCTGCATCTCCCTCTTTAGTGAACAGCGCTTCAACCTGTTTATCCAGCGATAAACGGGAAAAAGCCTCAACAGCCCTGGAAACCACATTTCCTATCCTGCCGAACTCTAGAGTGCCCAGCTCAACCTCCAGAAGCGATCTCGTTTCCTTGGGTAGAGTCAAATTCAATGACTCGATGAGAACTGGAAGATCTGTGAAGCTCCCATGAGTGGTTCCGGAGACGCTCAGAATAGCCCTTGTCCCCCGTAGACCGGCGTAAAATTCGTCCCACGTCGGGTCTTCTTCAGTATGTCTAGGCCTTCCCACCAGAGCAAAAGACTGGCCGAGACCTATACCAAGGACAGGGTTGATAATCTTGCCGTCGAGGTTGATGCCTCCTCGAATTCGAGAGTCAGTTAACATCGTAGCTGCGGCTGTAGCGCCACCGAGTGAATGACCGAACATGATTGTGCGGTTAAGGTCGACTCCGGGTACAGGATTCGCATGAAAGTGTGACAGAACAAAGGAAGTGTCTTCAACTCGGACCTTTCCTACTGTCAGTATGTATGCAGTTAAATTGATTTAACTAATGACCTGCCTGGGTAAGGGTTTCCAATACTGTTGTGTTGTCTGGGTCGAGGCTCACTGCCTGGTAAACAGTACCATTGGGAAACTCAACAAAGGAAGCATCATAAGGATGATCGATGGTAACAACAGCGAACCCATGGCTTGCAACTTCGCGTGCCATGGCGCCATAAAGTAGACGCGGGTTTCCAAAACCGGGCGAGAAGAGTGCAAGTGGAAACTTGGAGCGACTTCTTTGGCATGAACGAGCCCTCGTCTGGCAAAGTTCCATCTCGAAAGCAGAAAATGTGCCATTGGGGAGACCCACAGTGGTCCCAAGCTTGTCGTTGTCCCTAGCCACTAGCGGCGTCATGTATGGCACTCTTTCCCAACCAGAACAAGGAGTTTTGGCCGTGTCGACTGGTAGGAAAGTTGAAAATATGACTTGGCGAGAGTGAGGCTTGTTCTTGGGGGCGTAGGGGTCAAGTCGGGCGCTGTCGGTGAGGCTTTGAACGGACATAGAAACCGCGTAAGACCCGGTTGGCGGCGACACAAGGACAGCCTGCGTAGCTGAGACCAGAGCTCCAAGGATCAGAGTCGATATCATATTGTCAGATGCTCGGAATCGTGATCTGTACTGATTTAAGAAATGTCAAGGTGATTTACTTCTGTGGTTGATTAGGATGGTGGGAAAACTTAGGAAGAAACTGGGCCATCTTATACTACTCCAAGACTTTGTAAATCGTTCTTCGCACGAATAGTTCCTCTTCGGGATAAGTGTATGGAAACAGAGGCCGCGCAACGTTGAGGCTATGGAATCAGTAGCCAGTAGGTCTTGAATCCCTTCAAGACCCATTTCAGCTTTCATCATAACTTGAGATGTGATTGGCCTATACCCGCCAAGCACTTATTCCATCCAGGGTTCATAACTAGCGTCGCCCGATTGCTTCCGTTTTAGGATTAGTGCTTCACAGCTCGGCCCACTCCAGGAGTCATCTCTGTTGCTCCCAAGATCAGCACATCGTGTCCGATGCCGGCCACTGTTGCGTGTCAGTTCTGACGAAAGAGCTTCAAGTTCCACTCGCTTTTAAAGTCCAAGAGATGTCAGACCTGAAAGAACTGTGCATTTTTCAATCCATGTTGAGATATAGGTGCTCATTCTACAATGCCCCTTGGCCCTTTTGACCGCCGCACTAAACGTTTCCGTTGCATAACTTGCGCGGCAAGCCACTCCAAGGTACGCACGCCACCCTTGCAAATCTGTTCTTGATACTGCCTGCCCTTCCAAGCAGAGATAGATGTGACTGTTTAACAGCTCTTGCTGACTAAACCGAGTGTTCCGGCTGTATCCCCTGCATGCGATGCCAGAAACGCAGCATACGATGCGTATTTCCAGTATCGCCGCCCTCGGAAAACGGACACGTCATTATGCTGGATAGGGGAAAAACACATACAATCAGAGACTTCGTAGCTCCGAGTGCATCCTATCCTCGTGCACCGTTTCCACATGCTACGACACGATATTTCTTCTATTTTGATTTGTTTGTGCGAAGAAACAGCTTCACGGGAAGAGAACCGTTCTTTCTTGCCGACGTTCAAAATGCTGTAAAGAGTTCTGGCACTATGCAACGGTATCCGTGCCCCTGCCTGCTCGACGCAATGCTAGCTTTGGGTGCTATGCACGCAACGCTCATAGGCGCCTTGGAATACCAAGCTGGTTTGCGGTTCGCGACTGAATCGTATATGAAGTCTGTTGCTGGACTCCGAGAAGCTGTCACGAGTTTTTCATCGTCACAGAGAGACACCATACTCTGGACAACTTTGTTCCTCGGTCTCTTTGAGGTTCGTGATCACCGGAAATATCCTTGCTGGTCATGCCAGGCGATGAGCTAAGTTGATGGCTTGTAACTAACACATAAATGAAGCTGATGCAGGACGCCTCCGGCCAAAAGTGGCTTCAACACATGGTTTTCGGCACCTCAAAGGCTCTAATTGCAAGTGGACCGGCAACATGCAATTCCGGGACCATGCGAAGATTTTTTGTCCAGGCTCGCAGCTTTGAAGTCTGCAGGTCTATCATTTTCAACCAACCCAGCTTTCTAGCAGCTCCCGAGTGGATCGATTTGACAGACAGTTTGTCAAAGTCCAGTGTTGCGATGGCTCAGGACTCATTAGACGAACTCTTGAAACTGATTGTGCTATGTTCAGCATTGCGGGCTCGGTGAGTGCCATTCCACAAGATTGTAGCAAAGCAATGGTCATTGCATGTATTCAAGACTGCTGACTCTGGCAATATCAGTACAGCTGAGTTTATAGAATCTATTACGGGTCGCCCAAATGTGGAGGGTCGCTTTTTGGAAGCCATGAGCATTGCAACTGAAGGCTTTAACTTGCGTGAATCTCTTGAAAGCTGGAAAGGTTCTGCTGTTTTCCCACCCGAGAGGCGCGAAGAGATGCTCTTGTCAACTGTTTGGTATTCGGCGACTAGTATCTATCTTTCCGGAAATTACGACTATGATCTGCCTCACTGGCAGGCAATGGGAGTTGGAGTGCAAGTGTTGGACTCAGCGGAGATTGCAAAACACTTCGACGCCATTATCTTAACAGTTAAGGAAGCAATGAGGGCCTCTAGCTTGTCGCCCTTGATGTTCTTGTTTCCATTGAGAATTGCTGGAGCACGAGCGAAACAGAGATGGCAGCAGTGCCTTGTCAAGGAATTGTTGCAGGAAGTCCGCAAAAACTTTATTGTGGCGGATGCAATGTTGACTGAGCTCGCTGAGTTGTGGTCTTTAAGCACTATCTCATCGTAATCACGCGACTACAAGTCTACAGGCCAACGGCAATAACGATGTGCAAGTAGTTGTAAAGGACGAGTCATTCGTTTTGAAACACCATTTACATAATATTCAGAGTTTTTGATTTCCTTTTGACTGGCGATCAAACGTTGAGGGTCGACTCTAATCGCGGTGCTGGTTGATACGGCGACCGAAGGAGATCTAATACCCTTGTGGCGGAATTCCAATTGCGCACGGATAACCTGAGACTTAATTCGCGCTCGCCGGTGGTTATGAAACAGGGAGGCTCGGACTTTTTGGAACGGAACCCTGGGTCAATGCGTCTGTTACCGCCTGTAACAAAGCATCCTACATAGAATAGCTCGGATCCGGGAGACGGAGAATGAAAAACATGGATCATCAGCTGCGGCGGAAAGCTCTGTATTATCTGCATGAAGATGCGATTGTACCGTACTCAATGTTTATTGACATTTACTATCCCTATGTAGATAACCCGCATGAAGTGATAAATTGTAAACCAACATTATCCATACGCCAAACTGACAAATCCGGTCTAACTGACACAAATGCCTCGGTTGCAGTCCTATATTGAGATTCAGTACGATACGCGAACTCAGACAGACATAAAATACGAACATCTCTGGAGTTGGCAACGCATATCTATTGCATAGTTGGTTAGCTGGCATAATCGAAGTAACTAGGGTGTCCCGTGTACGGGAGGTAAGCTTACGCAGTTTTTTCCATCAGTCCTGCAACAGACTTGGCCATCTTGAGGATACACAGCACGGCTATTCAAGTCGCGTGTGAGCTTTGCCAGGGGCTGGGTGGTTGCCGCGGTGACAATGGCCGAGAAAAGAATCAGAGGAAAAAGGATTTTCATGTTGACAATCTTACTTGATCGCACAACTAAGATATCGAATGCCTGGGCGGTGGTAGATGGCTCCATACAAACATCGGCAACGGGTGCTTTGGGTTCTTATACCTTCCAGAAGACTTGCGGTCACAGGAAATCGCACAGGTTTGTCACTGATCACCGGATGATTCTTTCCAGTTTGAGCAATCCAAAGTTACGTTCTGAGCATTTCCCCCATGCCTTGATGATTGGTTTCTGGGAACTCGATTGTGCACTATCCGTCAAAACCTAAAACCCAAAGGTTTCCAACCGGCGCCACTAAGGCTGACTACCCGATAACCTGAATATGGTCTGTACTTCGTAACATTCCAGACTTCTCGAGCACTTTGGCATCGCACGCACAGTCAGCGCACAGGTTGACGTCAATGTAAATGCGCGATCATTCAGCATGCCGTCAGAGCACCTTTATTTGAGCATTGTTCATGACGAGTCCTTTAAAATAATTCCAATGTCCTCAATAAGCAGGAGGGTATAGTCATGCATTGAATCAAGTGCAACTTAATAAGCGGCCCACAGATCTCAAGATCATTTTGACTTCCGCCCTTTGCAGAGAAACTCAGTCAAACCCCTCGGCCGGGGCTACGATAATAGATAGACCGCCGATAAACAGGAAGTGCAACTGGACCACCCCTGAGAGCTGTGGGCAAGTGCGCCGCAAAACCCACAGCGTGCTTGGACGCCAGCTGATGCGTCCTCCTAATCTTCAATAATTCAGATGCGATGTGTGCGGCTGGCAGGCTGAACCCAAAGCTTTGACAGTTATGCCTAGTGGCACAGCGACGGCTAGTATCGCAGATTTGCTGTGAATATTGCTCGTTAGCAGCTGGTCATTCCCATCTCAGACATTATCTATGTATCTATCGCCTCTTAGATGAATGAGGGATCAAACCACTCTTGGAAGCTATTGGACTGATACTGTATTTAACCCCCTGCGTCACTTCTTTATTCACATGATTTCATCACTTTCTACTCTGGCTTTCTGTAACTGGGCGAGACTTCTGCCATTTGTCTCTTGTGCTCTCCCTTGCTGATCATGTCTTCGAGGACGCCATCCGCCACCTTCATAGCCTGAACACCGGCAGGTGCCCCACAGTATACCGTCGCTTGTAAGATTGCCTCGCGAATCTCGAGCTCGGTAAGCCCGTTCGTTCCTGATAGCACCCCGTATATGCGTACCAAACTCGGTCCAGCTCTTGAGAGCAATCAGCATACCGATATCTAGCCCAATTGTTAGAAAGCGGGCGGGCCCTCCTACCATGCCTAACAGATGGAACCGCTTTTCACAATAATGACTTACTAAGAAGGCTTCTCTGCTTGCGTTCCAAGCCTGGACGTGACCATATGTTTCCCCAAGCCCACCTAAGAAAGAATCAGTTGGAACAGAAAACAAATGTACCCTCCCGAATTTTCTTCGTAGAGTTTTGGGACAATGTGTAATCGTCTTACTCTGTAATCAGTTCTTGTTGAGGATAGGCAAATTCACTGGAACCATTGCGCATAGCAGTTTCAACGTAAGCTTCCCCGACCACTTCCCGACGATTTTGGAGCCCAGCCTCGAACAACTCAGCGCGCAGCTTCTTGGTGTTCTCGGAAGTCATTTTGTTGTAGGCGACGTATTTGAAGCAGGAGCCGTGGATTGAATAGGGCCAATGATGAGGCAATGTAAGGGTGAGTGCTCTTTATATTTCATGAGGAGTTCACCAGCTCTCCGCTTTCGGCAGAGGCGGCCTTAGCTAAGTGAGGGGTCTTCCTCCTTACCTTGAAAGTTAGTGACGACGACAGATAGCGCGACTCTAACCGAGATCCAAGTCATCCGAATTCGCACCGCCTTTGTCCCGATGTTCAGCAGCAAAGATGTATTCCCATATCCCGTTGCATCCATCTGGTATGCGCTACTAGGTTATAGTACAGGAGAAACTTTCATGATTTTAAGTCGGGAGGAGGCCATATCTGCAGCCAAGAGAAGGGAACATACAAGAAAATATATCCGTGTCCTTAGGATTTTCAACAAGAATCGGGACGGAATTCGGTCCCAGTGTCGGACGCGAATCAAATCGTGCCCTGCACTGCGATACCATTGTCCACTCCGTACCTAGTTCACTTATCCGTAGTGGATATGTTGCGAATGGATATGCTGTGCCAGGCAAGCCCCTAGGTGATGGGTTGAGGAAGAACCAGGCTAATGGCTGTCATTTGTGGGTCGGTGACGCCCTTCCCCTTACATGATGCGCCTTTCATCCATGCCACTAAGTAGTACTAAGACTCTCCAGATAAGTTTAAAACTCCCGGTCGATATCTAGCTGTATCGATACAGGTAACACAGCCTCCACTAATCGCAACGAGAAAGCACATACCGACAATACAAGGCCTATTGCTCTAGAACAGTAAGCATGGCGAATACCATACCCCTCAACTTCCGGGTCGCAAGGCCTGAGGATGCCCCGAAACTTCAACAGCTCGTGCAAGCCGCCTTTCGCGCAGAAGACAGCCGGGCAGACTGGACGGCGGACATGAGACTCGGACGATCGTTCCACTACTCTGTCGAGGAAGTCTTGACAACCATCAACAACCCCGACGCAGCGATCATCATGGCCTCGGACCAGAATGGTGTGCTCCTAGGATCGATTGGAATCATCAAGTGCAACGACAGCCTTGCTCGTTTTGCCATGCTTTCCGTTGACCCGGAACAGCAGCGCGGAGGCATCGGGCGTCAGGTCCTCACCTACGCCGAGGACTTTGCCCGGAACTGGAACTTGAAGACTTTCGGGCTGAATGCGCTTTCGTCGCGCGAGAAGCTCGTTGAGTGGTACGAACGCTGCGGGTACAAGAAGTCGGGCGAAACTTCTCCGTTCCCAGTTGATCGATTCCACCAACTGGATTTGCCGAAGGACTTGTGTTTTGTTGAACTAGAAAAAGACACTGTAGCTGGGGAGCTCGTGGTTTGACGAAGCTGAGAGTCGCTTCGGGACACGACCCTAGGCATCAAAAGGGTATACCCATGGCGGGAAATCACGGGGCCAACTTTGTGAGAATGGAAACGTAAGGTGAGTAAGAATCTACACGTAAAGCTTAGCATGTCTGCAGCAATTAGTCTGCAGTTGACTTGTAGTTATCTCTCAGCTAATTTAATCACATCGTCAGCCGTTAACCGTCCAAAAGCATCCTTGATCGTAATGTTAGCAATCTTAAGATGATAAAATAAGCAGATCGAGCTTCAAAATTGATAGAGCTTGATACCCAAACGCTCCCGTGTCTCCAGAGAAATCCCGTCAACCCAAACATACCGTCACCTGCAGTGTCAGAAGCGGCAAACCGGGCGAACACTTTAACAGCTACTTACCTGCGCGAATGTGTCTGAGACACTAAATCTGCTTAAAGACCCTGACGAAGAGGGATGTTAGCAGCTCTTCGTAAGTTCGGATATCTCAGTAGTGATTCAGGTGACGAGTAGATACTTGCTTCTATGAAACATTTGATGATAGTGCTAACGAGCTTGGCCTTTTTTCTTTTCTTTTCTTTTTTGTATTTCTTGGGTGGCTCATAGTCGTGTAGGAGGACAATAAGCTTCCAGCCTGACCCGATGTGCTATTGTCCAAGGTCAGTTTAGCAAGACATATGTATCAAGAGCAGAATTGGCTCGAGAGGGAGAAGAACGTTTAGCCTCGACTAAGATACAGATCCATGACTGGATGATTCTCATAGAATCGATGTTTTGCGTCGGGAAAAGTTCTTCATGCCCATATAGGCCGAGACGATACATGAGGGGAATGCTGGCTGAAGACCCAACCTACAGATGAAAACTAGTCGCACTATGGCGATCCTAAATACCCACAATAAAATGACCTATATAGGACGTACTTCGCCATCACATGATGTCCTCGATATTCCAGGGCGGGCGGGGAATAACTCTTTACGGGACGCGAGACAAATGGCCAAGGACGACTTGGATATATTCACAAATTAGAGCACACAGCAGAGCATAGGAGAGATGCGGTTGAAACTTCTAACGCTTGGGATATGCTGCAAGGCAGTATGACCAACACAAGTACCTGATTAGTGAGTGGAACACAAGACTTCGCGTTTCCCATTCCCGAACCACGAGCACAGCATAAACAATTCTCCATCTGAGCGGAGAAAACGATACAGAAACCCTGTGAACAATGCAGCCTAGTCTACGTGGTCACTTGACTGGAGCCATAATGTCGGTACGTCACAAGGTGCAATGAGTTGCGGGCTGTGCGAGTTGCTTTACAACCCCGGATTCATTCGGCCTCAGGGGGCATATACGAAGCCATCCAAGTATACATGTAATTGAGTTGATGACACTAAGAAAGCTGTGACTGGCTCTAGACAGCTCAAATAAACCATGATCCAGTCAATGTGTGGTACCAAGTGGTGTTCAATTCCTCGCGGCAACGCATGATCCCAAGGAATGATACGCCCACAAGCCCTTTAAGCATCAGTCATGCAAACCGCATTACTAATGTGTCACCGCACATGACGCCGGCCCGGCCCGCTTTAGGTAGCATTGGTCACGAAGGCGTGAACAACTGGGCACGAGACTTGGCCGTGGCTGGCTGTGGCATAGGGGCCAGGGGGGGATGATACATGGTTGGCAGCCTGGTACAGATGCCACACCGACGGGCCATACACATTTCTTCGGTTACTGGATAAAAGCCAGAATTTGGTCGTCAAACTTGAATGAATAATCTTATCGGAAGATATACAAGTCAATAACGGACATTTCCAAGCGCGAACGTTGCAATCTCTCATTCCTCATGACTCAAACTTTCTTTTCTCTCCCTATTTTTGTCTTATCTACAGACGGCTGGCTACGCTGCCGCTGTTGTTCTTGAGGTCGAAACGATCCAAGTTCATGACCTTGTTCCAGGTAGTGACAAAGTCGTTCACAAATTTCTGTCCAGCGTCGGCCTGGGCATATATCTCAGCCACGGCGCGGAGCTCGGCGTGAGAGCCGAAGATGAGATCGACACGGCTAGCAGTATACTTCTTGCTGCCTGACTTGCGGTCGAAGCCCTCGTACACATCCTCGTTGTTGGTAGCCCTCCACTCGTTGCCCATATCAAGCAGGTTGACGAAGAAGTCGTTGGTCAGGGCCCCAGGGCGGCTAGTAAAAACACCAGTCGACGACCCGTCGAAGTTGGTGTTCAGCACGCGCAGACCGCCGAGCAGAACGGTAAGCTCGGGGGCGGTGAGAGTGAGCAGGTGCGCGCGGTCAACAAGGTAGTGCTCCGTCTTCGCACGGTCAGTCGACTTGCCGTAGTTGCGGAATCCGTCGGCGAAGGGCTGAAGGTGGTTGACAGACTCGACATCGGTCTGCTCCTGGGTGGCATCGCCACGGCCGGGAGTGAAGGGAACGGTGACATCGTAGCCAGCGTTCCTTGCGGCCTGCTCCACACCAGCAGCACCGGCCAATACAATGAGGTCAGCCAACGAGATCTTCTTGCCCCCGCTCGCAGAGCTGTTGAACTTCTGCTGAACGCTCTCAAGAGCCTTTAGAACCTCAGCAAGCTGCCTGGGGTTGTTCACCTCCCAGTCCTTCTGGGGTGCCAGACGGATGCGGGCGCCGTTGGCACCACCACGCTTGTCGCTGCCGCGGAAGGTAGATGCAGAAGCCCAAGCAGTCGAGATGAGCTTGGAGGGGTCGATGCCGGTGCCAAGGATCTCCTTCTTCAGAGACGCAACATCCTGTTCATTGACGAGAGGATGGTTGGGAGCCGGAATGGGGTCCTGCCAGATGAAGTCTTCGGAAGGAACCTCGGGACCGACATAACGGGAGCGCGGGCCCATGTCACGGTGTGTCAGCTTGAACCAAGCCTTGGCGAAGGCGTCGGCAAACTGATCCGGGTTCTCGAGGAAGCGTCTCGAAATCTTCTCATACTCGGGGTCAAAGCGCAGCGACAAGTCAGTTGTCAGCATTGTAGGCAAATGCTTCTTGTTGGGGTCGTAAGCATCGGGGATGATGGGCTCGGCATTCTTCGCCACCCACTGGTTTGCGCCAGCAGGGCTCTTGGTAAGCTCCCAGTCAAACTTGAAGAGATATTCGAAGTACTTGTTGCTCCACTTGGTGGGCGTGGCGGTCCAGGTCACCTCGAGGCCACTGGTGATGGTATCAGGGCCCTTTCCGGAGCCGTGCTTGTTGTGCCAGCCAAGACCCTGCGCCTCGAGACCAGCGGCCTCGGGCTCAGGGCCGACATTGCTATCGGGAGCAGCGCCGTGGGTCTTGCCGAAGGAGTGACCACCAGCAATGAGAGCGACAGTCTCCTCGTCATTCATAGCCATACGACCAAAAGTGACACGGATATCTCTGGCGGCAGCAACTGGATCAGGGTTGCCGTCAGGGCCTTCGGGGTTCACGTAGATGAGACCCATGTGAGCAGCACCGAGGGGTGACTCAAGCTCGCGAGAGTGTATGTCAGACTTTGTGGACTGGGATCCATCCAGGACGCCCGAATCGGCTTTACCTCGGTGTCCGTGGGCGTAGCGGACATCGTTGCCCAGCCAAGTGGTCTCGCCACCCCAGTAGACAGACTCGTCGGCCTCCCAAGTGTCTGGGCGACCGCCAGAAAAACCGGCAGTCTTAAACCCCATGGACTCGAGCGCGACGTTGCCAGTCAGAATCATGAGATCGGCCCAAGAGATCTTGTTGCCGTACTTTTGCTTAATGGGCCACAGAAGGCGGCGGGCCTTGTCGAGACTGACATTGTCCGGCCAGCTGTTGAGAGGAGCAAATCGTTGCTGGCCCTGTAGGAGAAGGTGGTTAGAAAGATAGTTGGTGCAAGAGCAACAAATTAGGCCAACGTACCTCGCCACCACCGCCGCGTCCGTCGTGGACACGGTAAGTGCCAGCGCTGTGCCACGCCATGCGGATGAAGAAACCACCATAGTGGCCAAAGTCAGCGGGCCACCATTCCTGGGAGTCAGTCATCAAGGCTGTGAGGTCCTTCTTGATGGCGTCGTAGTCGAGACCCTTGAAGGCGGAGACATAGTCGAAGTCCCCGCCCAACGGGTTGGTGACGGGAGTGTGCTGGCGGAGGATGTTGAGCCTAAGCGAGTTGGGCCACCAGTCGCGGTTCTTGGTGCCGCCACCGCCGGTGTTCATGGTCCGGACGAAGGGGCACTTCTCTTCGGCCATGGTGACTGACTGTATGCTTTCTTTGGTGCTGGGTAGATTTGGTTGAGGAGTATATGGGATGAAATTGACGCCTTTTGCCCAAAGCCGTCAATCGGTCGTAAACTCGTATAGAGAGAGAAGGGTGGGAAGCTAGACGAGGGAGAAGTTCTGTGGCAGAAGCCCTCGGCAACAGGGAGGAAGCGACCCCGCGTTTTATGCCACGGCCTCCTCCTTCCCCGACCCCGACCCCGACCCCTCATGGACTGCATGACCAATGGCCTAAATCTTGTTGGCGGCTGGAGGGGGGTGTGCTGTGTGATCGAGGGGCCGAGGGTGCATAGTAAAATTCACAGTGCGCTCCCATCCCCTTTCTCTTCATGTTGCACTGACGTGTGACAGGCAGAGCTATGCCGAACTGATCGTGGATGAGTGGGCGGGGGAGGGGTTGGCCGATAGTAGCCCGGGACGATATTAGGTATGACAAATGATGGGGGGCGACAAGTATGTGTGTTTATACCATGTACACTAGGGTCCTTTGGAACTTGTTCGAGAACGCAGGCAAAACAGACGGACTGTGTAGTTAGTGTATCTAGGCTACGTGTTTGAGATTTCGCCTCATCCCCCACCAAGTTCAAGGGAAAGAAGTCGCTCTGTTGGGGGGAAAATACGCTACTATGCCGGCCAGCCTTGGGGGGCTAGTGGCTACGGTCTAGTAGTGGTGGCCATAATCGATGAAGCCCTGAGGTCAGTTCTCGCGGCGTTAAGAGATTGAGCTGGTAAGGCCTTAGTAAGGCTCTTGGCTGCTATGACGCGGACATTCAGATGGTTCCGAGGAGATCCCAGCAGAGGTTTGGAGGGGTTGCCACTCCACCTTGGTGCGTTAACTTTACAGTTTCAAAAGATGCAACAGTACCGCGAACTTGCGTGACCAGCTCTAGGTAGCTAGCGGCTTGGAATCAAGGACCATGTTTCCACTGGCAAGCAAGCAAGCAAGCACCAAACAAGAGAGAATGGGAGGGGGTAGGTACCTAGGGAAGACGACCCGAGTCACAATGCCGTGC